TCTGCCTGGCCCTGCCCGTCTGTCTGGGGAGTGAACCAGCAGAAGGAAAAGCTCTGTCTTTATCACTCAGACTTCCAGGTGAAAAACAAGAAAGTCTTTAAGCATACAGAAGCTGCCTGGTGCTGGGCTGCAGCTGTTTGTGCCACTGGCACCATGCTGGCACCATGCAGCCTGTGCTGGATGACCTATAAGGAATAGGAACTCATTGTCTCGGAGCCCGCCCGAAGGTCACCTAGAGGGCTTGTTCAAGGGCTGCTTTCTGTCTGTGGCCTCCCCGAGGAGGGTCAGGCTGACCCCCAGGCCTCCTGAGCCTCACCCCAGACCACATGTGCCACCACCTGGGGTTCAGGAACCCCAGTCCAGGGCAGGGGAGGTATCAGCACCCATTGTACGTCTCTGAGGCATTGCCTGTGTGTCATGCACAGTAATGCTTGTAAATGTGTGGGTTGCAGACCATGCAGACTGTAATAGAGGCAGACCGGGGTGAGGTCGTCAGGCAGCACCCCAGCAGTGTTCCTTTCAGAGCCCTGCCCTGCATCTCACGTTCAGAGCTCCCAGCAGATTCATGGCTGACTATTTGCTCCCGAGCAAGGAGTTTTTATTGAAGCATTTTCTGTTTGAGTCTTACTTAAGACTTAGTTCATTAAGTCTCTCTCTACATATATGTGTGCATATGAAGATTTATTTGCGTATTTGAAAGGCAGAGTTTCAGAGAGGAAGAGACCATCTCAAAGCCCTCACCTGCCTGTTGTGTGACCTCAGAATTGTCCCCAGAGGTGCCCAGCAGCCAAGGCCTTCACACTGAGGTTGAGGGCATAACTGTGTTTGCTCCACCTGCTGGCATGCATCGTGTCACAGAGACACGTTGGATTTGGGGTTCCTAGAGCTGGGAGCCCCCTTGCTGAGCTGAGGATGCTATACCTGGGTGAATGCGAGGACTCCAAGTGGGTGTTTGTACAGGTCACCTGCTGAGATCCCCAGGGGGAGCACAGTGCTTGCTCCTGCTGCAGCCTATTCACTCCGAGTCCTCTGCGTGCCACCCACAGCCATCCACTGTGGTGTGGAGAGGCCCCCGGGCCTGCGCTGGACAGCAACATTAAACACTGAGGAATTCCAGGCTGCAGCGGCTGGTGGGTCGGAGTCCTGCGCCTCTTGCTCAGGCCTTGCTTTCTTCCTATCTCAATCGCGCTTTGTCTGCGCTGAAGGTCAGGCCGCGGGACCAGCTGTTCCTTCAAGTTTGGCCGGGGAGGGTGGGCATGTGGACTGTGCCATGTGTCCCTGCCATGTGGACATGCAGCCGCCATAAGGCTGTACCGCACACACATCAGGGTGTAAGCAGAGTCATGTCCGGCAGGAGTGTGGGGGACGTTGTCCTGGAGTCACTGTCCCCTGCTCCCGCCCCCATAGTGCCCATCTCCCCTGTGGGCAGCACCAGAGCGCCTTGTGGCTGAGGTCCTACAGGTGTATGGGGGTGGGGGTGCCTGGAGGAGGGCTGGGTGTGGAGAGCAGCCACCCAGCCCTACTGACCTCCATGGGCCTCAAACTCCCCTCAGCACCCACACCCAAGTCCAGCTCAGAAGTGAGTGCTGGTCTTGTGTCTGGGAGTGACGTCCACACCAGACATGACACCAGGCCCATGTTTCTGGACAGGGCCTGTACCCTGCAGGCTGGGGACTGGACCTGCTTTACAGTTTAGCCAGCTGCCTGTGAGGAAGGGACTCCTGCCTGTCCTCCCAGGGCCCCCAGCTCCCATCACTCCCTGGGATTCCACCAGGGAAGCCAGGATCTGTGCATCCTACAGTCCAGCCCACACACTCTGTCTTCCTGTGGCTTCCCCTGTGACGGTTCCTCATGGCTGTCCCTGTGGCTCCACTGTATGACCCCTCCGTGTTGCCTCTTCCCCATGGCTGCTCCCCGTTGCTCCTCCCAGTGACTTCTGATGGCTGCTCCCCATGGCTGCTCCCAGTGACTGCTCCCCATGGCTGCTCCCCGTGGCTGCTGCCTGTGGTCACTCACTATAACTGCTCCTCCCCATGGCTCCTCCCCATGGTTGCTCCCTGTGGCTGCTCCCCATGGCTGCTCCCAGTGGCTGCTGCCTGTGGTCACTCCCTGTGACTGCTCCCCATGGTTGCTCCCTGTGGTCACTCCCTGTGACTGCTCCTCATGGTTGCTGCCCGTGCTTGCTCTTCATCATGGCTCTTCCCTATGGCAGCTCCCTGCAGCTGCTCCCCATGGGGTCTGGAAGAAGATGCTGTCTGGTGGGTTTTTTGAGGCCACAGTCTGCTTGGGTTGTTCGAGTTTACACAAATAAAGTAGCTGACACCACAGCCTGACAGCCATGTTCTTGCTGGCCACATAATTCCCCCACTACCACTTCCTCTGCCCTGGCCACTGTGAGCCCCAGAACATGGGCCTGGCCAGTGGACCTGGTGGAGAGGCACTTTTGCCTTGCACCACATGAAACTGCTTGGGTGTGTCCGCTAGGCTCTTGAAGGTCCTGCAGCTCTGCACTGGCAGATGTAGATGCCACCAAATCCAGGGCTCCAACCTGCTGGGTTTCTAAAATGACTTTGTAATTATGTGGAGGGCAGAGTCACACACACACACAAATCTTCCATCCACTGGCTCATTTCCCACATACCTGCAACATGCAGGGTGTGGTCAGGGCGAAGCCAGGGCCTGGTGCTCCATCCAGATCTCTCAGGTGTAGAGCCCAGGCTTTGAGCCAGCACTGCTGTTTTCCCAGTGCTTCAGCAGGGAGCTGGACTAGAACAGGAGAAGCCAGCACCGAGGCCAGCGCTGCCCTGAGAGATGCCAGCATCTCAAGTGGCTATTTGACCCATCACAGCACTGTGCCTGCTGCCTATGGGTTCTATTTGGAGTCTGTGCTGAGTTGTGCCTCAGGAAACTGGTCAGGAGCCCCAGGCAGGTGGGTGACAGCTCTGGGATGTTTAGGTCCTAAGGGTGATAACTGACCCTGCGCTGGGCCCTGCAGGGGGCCTGAAGACCCACCTGCCTTCCCACACCTGCCTGGTGCAGGCTCCAGCCCTGTTCTCTGAAACCTGAGAACCCGCAGGGGAGTTGGTTTTCTGACATGGCTCCTGTTCCCTGAACCCCAGGTGATTCACCTGGCCTGCCTTGCCCTGTGTGTGCCCTGAGATTCAAGAGCTGTCTCAGCTGCAACCGCAGCCCCGTCTCTGGGCTGCCCCTAACCCCAGGGCTCCTCTGTAGCCTTCTCAGTTCCCAGAGCAGGCTCCCTGGGGAGAGCATTCAGCACCAAATCAGCCCTCACTTAGGGGCCTCTGACCTGTCACCCTGACTCTGACCCCTGAGCTCTGACCTGTGGCCCTGGTTGTGTCCTGGGCTCTGACCTGCGGCTCTGGTTGTGTCCTGAGCTCTGACCTGTGGCCATGGTTGTGTTCTGGGCTCTGACCTGTGACCCTGACTCTAACCCTGACCTGTGACCCTGGTTGTGTCCTGAGCTCTGACCTGTGGACCTGGTTGTGTCCTGGGCTCTGAGCTGTGACCCTGGTTGTGTCCTAAGCTCTGACCTGTGGCCCTGGTTGTGTCCTGAGCTTGCTCCCTGCCCAGCATCCTGTGTCCCCACATGTGTCTCTCTGGTGTCCGCCCTCATTGTGCATCACTGCCCTGCCCTGTCCTGGTCCAGCGGCTTCCCCTTGGGCTTGGCACTGACAGGCTGGAACAGGGCTATTGTATTTGTGTGAACTGCTCTCTCTCTGCCTGTCTGGATGAGCGCAGCGCTGGGGACCTGGAAGATGCTTGTCTGCCGAGTCAGCCCCCTGTTAGCTCCACAGGTTCTGAGGGAGGAGGCCTCATGACCAGCGTCCACATGCGTGATCCTAACCAGGCCGCGTGGGGCCCTGGCTGCCCTCATCCCGCTTGCATGGCCACTCCCCTACCTGGCAGCCACCAGTGTTCCGACTGCAGCGGCTGGTGGCCATGAACAAACTCACTTCTCAGCCCAGGGCTGGCTCCTGCACACTGCCTGCAAGGTCCCTGACAAGGACAGGGGGTCTGTGAGGGTGAGAGCTGAGAGGGACTGGGCGGGCAGGGCAGGGCTGAGCCCAGTGCCTCTGAGCGTGGGTGAGCAGGTAGACATCTCATCCACCACCATGAAGTCAAGGCTGTGGAGCTGCACCGATGTTACCACCTCGTGTAGGAGCTGCTCGGTGGGACAGGGACAGGGAGGGGCCGGGGCTCGGCAGGGCGGACTGGCCAGAGCTGCGTTGGAGAACAGTGCCAAGTGTGAAGGGCCAGTAGCAATTCCCAACTTCAAAGTTGTCGCTGGGCTCTTAAAGTCTCCACCGCTGTCCATGTCTTCTGCATGGAGTGAACTTGGGGTACTAGGGCCTGTGACGGGGGGCGGGTGGCCCTGGGGAACTGGGGCCTGTGACAGGGGAGGGTTGGCCCTGGGGTACTGGGGTCTGTGATGGGGGAGGGGTGGCACTGGGGTGCTGAGGCCTGTGACAGTGAACTTGAAGGGATTATGATTCTGTTCATGGCCTGTCACCTCTGCATGTGTGGGATACAGCGACCTACCTCCATGAGCTAGGTCCCAGGCCGTCCCAGCATCTGCTCCTAGTCCCACATCTTGTAGTGTCCCATGTCTCCTAGTCCCACAACTGCAGATCTTCTGAGTAAACTTGGAGAGACTTGGATGGCTCTTCTCGGAGCCCAGGTTCCTCCTGCAAAGCCCAACAAGGTCCCAGGTCCTCACTGTGCAGCCTCATGGGGTCGATGCCTTTGTCCCTAACATGGTCAGCAGGACTCAGTCCATCTGCACATGTGACTTGGTACCTTCCCTCAGCTGCAATTGGGGCAGTGGGCTCAGCGCCTTGTCTTCTGCCGTTCCCACCAAGTTCCAGTCCCTGCAGCATTCCACTTGTCCACCAGTGGCATTGACAGTTCTGTGTCGGTGCTGTGGAGGCACTGGCCTTCCCGCAGGGCTGTGATCCCTGACCAGGCTGTGATCCCTGCAGGTGGATGGAGGTCTGCCTGGTGGAGGAGCTGCCGCCGACCACGGAGCTGGAGGAGGGGCTCCGCAATGGTGTGTACCTCGCCAAGCTAGCCAGGTTCTTCGCCCCAAAGTTGGTGTCAGACAAGAAGATCTATGACGTGGAGCAGACGCGCTACAAGGCAAGTAGGGCCCCAGCAACCTGGCTCCCTCCCTGTGGGCGGGCGGTTGGAGGTGAGGGCTCACTGCTGCCTTCCCACGTGTCCCTGCAGGCCAGGAGTGTGTGGGTGGGGCTCCCCAGGTGGCTGCAGCCCTGGCCTGGCCTGGCCTCCTGGTCAGTTCTCCGTGGAAGTGTCTGCTGTGGAGAACGCAGCGGCTTCCCACCAGGCTGTGTCCCTGTGGTACCCACAGGACTAACCTTTATGCATGCGCCTGGGTGAGCTCCCCACCCTGTAAACAGAGGCAACTGAGGGAAGTCTGAGACTTGCTTGCTGTTTAGCGGGGACAACTGAGGATACACGAGTGGCTGCCATCTGGTTTGGGGTTGGCCAGGTGGAGGGTCTGGGTTGGTGATTCCTCAGGTCGCTGTTGGGTTTGTGTTTCAGGCTGTGGTTAGGTCTAGGGGCATATGCTGGGTGGGTGCTGTGGCTAAGGTTTAGGGTTGGGATTAAGGTATTAGCCTTAGATTTGGAGCCTGGGCTAGCATGAGTGTGGATGCTGATAGGTGCCTGTGTGCCTCTCCAGGTGACTGGAAGACTCTGCCCAAGCTTGGCCCACAGCCACTACCCCTTCCCAGAACTGTACACCGGGATGAATCTGCCGCTTGGCAGCAGAATCCTGGGCACAGCCAGCTGTGTGGGCCGATGGTAGACAGGTCAGCCGGCATATCCCCCCCCTTTCTGAGTCTGTGTCATTTCCATAGGGAACTATGAAGGCGGGAAAAGTCTTTTGTGCAGGCAGTGGGTCTGGGGGCAGCAACCAGGACTTCAGAGATGCGCAGGAAATGCTGTCTGAGTGACCCCTGCCCCTGCACCCTGCCACGATGTCTCAAGTCCCTGCCTGGAATCTCAGTGAATCATTTCTATTGCCATGGCTGTGGTGGCAGCAGGGGAGGGGGCATGTTGGTGTTGGCACCCATGTGGGCTTGGAGCAGAGTGTGGCTGGGCACCCCTCCTCTCCCTCAGGCAGGTACAATGGTGTCCAGGACACAAGACCCTCGGGGCAGCCAGGCGAGGGCCCACCCAGATACCTGTGAGCAGCTGTGGGGGAGGGGCCTAGAGGCAGTTGCAGGCTAGGACAAGGGATCCCGTCCCTGGTGCCAGGCCCCCAGAACAAGGGCAGTGTGGATGGGAGCTGCCATCTATGCGTTCCCTGCCTGGGACTTTTCCCGTGTTTTCTGTAGTTGGGGTGCTGCCATGCCTGGTGTTTCTGGGAGTGACAGTTGTCCTCGGTGAATGACCCAGTCTACCCCAGGTTAAGCTGAGGTGACATGACTGTGACCGCACCTGTGTCCGCACTTCTATAACTTCAGCGCTGCAGTGGGCCACATGTCCTGGACCAGGAACATTGGATCCTGGGGCTGAGGAAAGGCTGTGGGGTCAATGGATAGCAGGAGCTCTCCTGATCTGAGGCCCTGCCAAGTGTGTGCCCAGCAGGCAGAGTCAGTGAACCTCACTGCAGGTCTGCAGGGGCTGGCCTGGCACACGGGGTTCCTGGAGCAGGCTGAGGCCTATGAGCCAGGCACCCAAGATCCCGGGGCAGGCCAAGGCCCTGAGCCTGGCACACGGGGTCCCTGGAGGATGTGTGTTCTTGAGCCTTGAGGGTGCAGTGTTGGCTGACAGCTTCACTGTGCGTGGACACTCTGGCTCTTCATTGATGTAGGGACAGGAAGCTGTGTGCTCCGGCCCTAACCCCCTTCTGTTGGCCACACATGGTGGTTGCACAGACAGTGTTGTCACAGCGACAGGGACCCCACATCCCCTCTCTGCCCTGGTCTGCCCCATGGAAGGAGCTGGGTAATGGCTCTTGGGAGGAGAGGGGAAAGTAGATTAGGGTCAGCCAAAGGCCCTCCCTGTTCCTCTGCAGCTTGGTACTTGGGGTCTGACATCCCCCTAAACATGACACAGACCTCCTGCAGAGCCGTCTGGCTGTGTGTGGAAATAGGACACCTGGGCATGTCCAGACAACTGGGCCAGGAAGCATCTCTTGGCCAGGGTCCCAGGAATCCCCACTCATAGCCAGTCACTTGCAGCTGATTCTAGTCATAAACTGAGGCATGTGAAGTGTGACTCACACTGATGCAGTGTGAAGAAGTGATGGGGAGACAGGATGGAGCTGACCCAGGGCAGGATCACATGCAGGCAGAATGCGCTGATCCACATGGTTCTCATCAGAGGCTGACCTGCTCCAGCTGCAGCTGGAGAGGCCGAGAGCCAGTAGGTCTCCACTTGGGAGCTGCAGTCAGTATGTGAGGGAGAAAGGAAAGCCAGGTTCCTGACATGTTGCAGCGGGGGCAGGGGGCCCTTCGGAGAGGAGTTTGCTGGGAAACTAGGAGGTAAGAAGAGTGACTTCTGTGTGCAGTCGACACCAGGGGCAGGAGGAACAGAGGGACTGCAGCGGGGGACAGTGCAGGCAGGGAGGAGATCATGTGTGACAGTGTCTCAGTTTCCTGTGACTTCACCTGGTATGCACGGAGCCATGGAAGGTTAGTCAGAGATTCAGGGTGCAGGCCGCAGAGCTCACCAGAGTGAGCAGCAGGGAGGGTGCAGGTGGGGACAGATCTGGTGAGCAGATAATTCAACCCTCCTGACAGGTGCATAAGCAGGAAGTGCATCGCTAAGAAGAAGTATAAGACAGGAAACTGCATAAACCAGCAGGAAGTGCAGGCAAGAAGTGCATAAACCAGCAGGAAGTGCAGGCAGGAAGTGCATTTGTACAAAGAGCATAGCTTCCAGTGGAGAAGCAAAGAGTAGATTCTGGAATGGAAACGAGAGGAGGCTCTGAGAAAGCTGCTGGGGCTGGGAGACCCCTGGAGATTGCCTCAATTCTGACAGGGCAGGGGCCGTGGGGGTCTCTGAGCATGCTTGGCCATTTTCTGTTGCTGTCAGTCTCCCAGACTGGGAGCTTTACCAACGACAGGGGTTTCTGTAGCTCTGTGTTGTGACTTGGCAGGGGTCAGATGATGATGATACAGGACAGGCCATCAGCTCGGTCTCTTCCTCTTCCTGCAGTGGCACCCAGCCTTCTTGAGGACATGTCCAAATGCATTTGAGGTCAGGTTTGCGACATGTGGATCGGGGGGACACATTGAAAATCAGAGTGAGGATTCCAAGCCAGCTGGGACAGACAGGACAGAGAGGATGGTCCAGGTCATGGTGTGGAGAGGACTCCAAGATAAAACAAAGGTCTAGATGGGGCCTTAAGATGCACAGCCTGTGGTGCTGTCGGTGCATTGGGTGAGCCTTGCACAGGGCCAGCACAGGCGAGGTCACTGGTGGGAGCGGCAGAGTCCAAGTCCTCCAGAATCCACTTTGGCACTGATGCTGCCAGCCTGCCCTTCAGCCCAATCTGGAAAGGGAGGTGCCCTGCACCCTTTACAATCCACCTGCAGCTGTGGGCAGTGGGTACTAGGAACAGACAGTGAGTGTGGGCGGCAACTGGAGCAGGGTACTGAGTGGAGTGGTTGGCTTGCAGTCAGAGCTGCCAAAGGGAGTGTGCAGTCTGGGCTCAACGCTCATGCCCCAGTTGACCCAAATGTAGAGCAGGTGCCTTGAGACATGCTGGTCCTTTCTGAGCTGTTTTGTCATACTGGAAAACTCTAGGAAGCTGGCTTTGTTGGTCCTAAGTGGTCCTGTATGGCCTTCGTACTCAGCCCTTGCACTGCTCAGCCATAGAAGGTACAGTACTGGAGAGAAGTGAGAAGGTGGACACAAGCCAGCCTTGGCTAATTGGGCATGTGGGCTGACACAGATGTCTAGTATTGGGGACAGCAGACTGGGTTCCCATGACCCTGATAGATCACAGTTGGAACCCATTGATGCCCACGAGTCTGGGGACACACTACCACCGTGTGGTGTCTGAGGTCCTAGGCAGGTGTGACCAAGCGTGTGCACGATGCTCCCGAGCTTCGTGAGGGCTCCTTGTACATAAGCAGTGCTCCAAGAGGACATATGGCTGCAGAGTGAGGCCCCTGCAGAGTGAGGCCCCTGCAGAGTGAGGCTGCTGCAGAGTGAGGCTGCTGCAGAGTAAGGCCACTGCCAGCAACTAACCTGTGTGCTCTGTCCCATCACCCCACACATGTTCCCATAGACATCCGGCCTGCATTTCCGACACACAGACAACACAGTGCAGTGGCTGCGAGCCATGGAGTCCATCGGTCTGCCCAAGGTAAGCCGTCCCCTGTATGTGCAGCCTGGGGGTTGGTATCCAGGGGTGTTCAGGGCCCAGTGCTCAGGTCCTTGCTGTTACCCTTGGCCTGGCTGAGCCCATGCTGCTCTGGGCATTTGGGAAATGAACCAGCAAATAGGAAATCTCATTGCCCTTCTCAGTCAATGAAAATTAGCATTTAAAAAGTTGTATAGCTATTCCTAAAGATTCTCATTCTGAAATTACAAAATCCAAGTCACCCATATGTGTCCTCCTCCTGCGTCCCCCAGTGGTGACAGAATTCTGGGTTGAGGCAGTGTTTGTGTATGGGAGATTGTAGGCTTGATACAGTCTTATGCTCTTCATGGGGCACACATGTGGATGTGGGGTATGTGCGATTCCATGTACTTTGTCCCTTGAATCCATGCACGCAGCCAGTACCGAGCAGGCACCAACCACAAGGTCAGACAGGCAGCTGGGGCTGACCCTGAGAGCCAGGCATTGTCCCCTGTTCCTGTCCTTGTTCCTGACTGGTAAATGGGATCCTTGGCGATGTCCTCTGGAAGGGGTGCCCTACAGGGTGGTTGCTATCCACTACACCAGTAGCTCACATCTCCGCTTTTCCTGAAGAATCCTGCTGAGGGCACTCGGTGCATTTATGAAAGATGGGTTTGAAGGAAGAGGCTTGTGACTTGTACACATGCAAGCTGTCTCCAGCAAGGTCTTGGGAAGTGGCCATCGTGAAAGCATGCTGGGGCTGTGTCCTCCTGCCTGGCAGAGGCTGGGGGAGCCATTGCTGGCTTCTGGCTACAGGTGGACATGTGATGACCCTAACCACACAGCAGAAACCAAGACCCTCTTACAGACACCATGAATGCCTACATTTGATGTAGTTGCATTCACTTTAGTTATATCTCACATTTTTCAGTAGTTGTTTTGTTGGGCCATTTCCAAACACAAATGTCTGGAACATGAGGTGCTGCCTCTCCAGGGCCCTGATCATGAAAATGATTTCATCTGTGACTTTGTGTATGTGCTTACAGGGGCTGGGCAGTGAGAATGTCACACGTGGTTTCTGCATGAGTGATCTCATCAGATTGGATAAGTTTGATTTTGTTTTTTTCATGTTGGGCCCAACAATGGCGCTTGAGAGCAGATCCAGGGAAGATGCCCAACAAAACATCAAAGTGTGAATTCAGTTCCCTGTTTATACTTATTCATCTTTGTTTGAAAGATGGAGAGACAAAAGGAGACAGAATTACAGAATTCCCTCCTACCAGCTCTCTCCCCAAATGCCTACAATGGCTAGGGTTGAGATGGGGAGCTGGCAACTCAGTCCAGTCCTGGAACCATGGCCTTCTGGGCACACATTAGCAGGAAACCAGTGGGCAGAGCCAGGACTCACCCTCAGGTCTCACACTGGGAAAGACAGGCATGCCAAACAATGCCTTGGCCCCATGGCCCATGCAGCCCCAGCCCTGCCCACTGTGGGACATCGAGGCTGGTGCTCTCTTCCAGTTGGGCCTCACTCGGCACGGACTAGGCAACAGGCCAAGATCTGGAGGCCACCTGACCCCCTGGGCTGTCTGCTGCTCAACTGGGACCCCTATGCAGCTCACGGATCCCCCTCCTTCTCTGCTTTTTCAAGTCCCACGGGAAATTGTACTTGGGTATTGAGTATTCCCATATGGGACGTGATTTTGCTTTGGTGTTTGTCAGAGTTTACAAAATATGTACTGAAAGCGAGTCATGCAGTGTGCTTATCTTCTATTAGAAGATTAATGCTGATTATTTGTTTTTGTGCATAGAAGTCTGAAAATTTAGCGCCTTGCTCTGAAATCTGTTAATTACCAGGCTTTTCATTTCAAACTGGGAAGAACAGTGTGAATGTGTGTTTCATACCTTCAAATTGAGACCTTCAGTCTGGTCTTCCCACATGTAGACTGTACCCGTGGAGAAGGAAGCAAAATGCTGAGGAAGGCAGGGGGGCTCAGGGATGTAAAGGAAGGTGGGACAAAGCAGAGGGTGAGCCATAGGAGTGGTCAAGCTGGGGCTCAGAGCAGAGAACCGCACACACTGTAACACAGGGCTGGTCAGCGTCCAGGACAGACTGCAGCGTGCAGCCAATAAAAAGAAAAGAGTACCTGCTTCCTTGGAAGGACACAGCCCCTGGGGAGCAGCCCCTCTCCCACAGAGTGAGGACACAGTCCTGGGGAGGACACAGCCCCTGCCGAGCATCCTCTCTCCCACAGGCCACTAGGGCTCAGACTGGCCAGCCATCAAGGACAGGCAGCTTGGGTGGGACCTTGAGGTAGGCCAGGGAAGTGAGTGTAAAACACCCCCATTTCCTTGTCTTCCAGATATTTTATCCAGAAACCACCGATGTCTACGATCGGAAGAACATTCCGAGGATGATATACTGCATCCATGCACTGAGGTGAGCAGACATGGCCGCAAGACGAGGAGTGGATTTACGTAAAACTGATTACAGCTCTGAACAACGTCAAGAGTTCTTATCAATCTCAGTTGTTTTGAATTTACTGATGCAAAGTTAAGATAATTATCACGTAGAAACAATTCTCAAACCTGGAAAATGTTTCTTTAAAAAAAAATCTAATATAAAGTAGAAAGCCACAAAATGGAGCCCCTCCAGTGAAATGAGGCATACCTTGAGCTGTCCTGGGACCCACAAGGGCTGTGGCACGCCAGTGGTGACTGGCACCGTGGTTCCCCCACAACTGCAGGTAGCCAGGGAACCACTTCCCTAATCACCATCACGCCTGCTGTTTGCTTGAACACTGGCTACGGTTAGACTAAATTCCCTTCAGGCACCAAGAAAATCCAGCTGAAGGGTGGTGTCTTTGGTGCTGTACAACTCTAAGGAAATCACACACAGTCACAAATATCACTTCAACAAAAGCCACTTTTCATTTTGCATGATGCAGAAGTTCTGGTTCGCAAATTGTTTTATCTCACTGGGCAGAAGAGCTGTGATTTTGAGGAAGAAGGTTCTAGAAATGGCTGTCGGGACTGTTGTTCTGCGAGCGCCTGTCCTGGGTTCCCATCCCCCTTGATCTCTTCTTGCCAGAGGCTCACAGCCTTCATCCTGCATGGTAAGGAGTGCCAGGCAGCCTACTGAGGGGCTCGCCTCAGTGGGCATGGTCTGCCTAACTCCAGGGACACCTGTGACAGCTGTCCTGGGTCTGCCGCATGCTGGTCCATGGCTGAGGTTTCCCTGCGGCAGGCTCTGCCTGTGGAGAGCAGCTCAAAAGGGGAGTGTGCACCACTCCCACACATCACACTCGTTTGGCATGCCCCACCTCATACCTACACATCACACCTATGCATTGTGCCCACACGTCACCCTCATATGCCACACCCACAATCACATATGTCATACTCACAATCACCCCCACGTGTCATGCCCACATTCACCCTCACACATCACACATGTCACACCCATAATTACACATGTCACACCTGCACATCACGTGTCATGCCCGCATGTCACCCCCACACATCACACATGTCATACCCACAATCACCCCCTCGTGTCATGGCCACACGTCACCTCCATGTGTGACACATGTCACGTCCACTTGTCATACCCACATGTCATGCCCATGTACCATGTCCACAGCTCACACCCACACGTCGTGCGCCGAGGGCATCTATATGAGGCTGGTACCAGTCTGAGGGGTCTCCCATGAGTCTGTTGGAATCCTGCGCTTGTGTGTCACAGCCCAGGCCCCCACAGGCATCATGTACCAGGTCTGGGTTCCTGGATGCAAGGTCTCCATGGGTGACAGAGAAGCGCAGGTTTCAAGCATACCGGGTTGAGGGGCTGGTGGTGGGAGGAGCCCCTTTCCTGTGTACCCTTGGCCTGTGGCCTGTGCCCTGTGGGCTGGATTCAGGCCTTGAAGCCTCAGTTATGTGGAGACTTGCCCTTGCTTGAACTTTTTTTTCTCTTTTTTTTATCTGAGAAGCGGGGCAGTCGAGGCCGACTGGGGCCATCCACGTTGTCAGCTCTCCCCGGATGCCTGCAGCCCTGGGCTGGGTGGGCAGCCTGGAGGCTACCTGGGTGTCCCCCACGCAGAAGGGACCAGCTGCTTACACCTGCCAACTCCCATGCACATGAGCAAGGATCTGGTCTGTTTTCTTACAAGGTTGCCTGTTTATATGCCTGTGCACTCCTGGTGGGAAGCCTTGGCACTCCCAGAAAGCGCCAGCGTGAAGCAGCCTCAGTGTTTATACATAGGTTACGAGCTGAATGCCTTTAAGCTTCTTAAACTATTATTGTTAAAAAGAGAGAGAAAGTGTGATTTTTTAAAATGTTCTAAGTTTTACAAAATCGAATATCTGGAAAGGCAAGTGAGCTGCCTGGATGCTAAGCAGCATCCTCCTGCTGGCCGAGACACCGGCCTGCCCGTGTTGCTCACTTCCTCCTGAGCCATGAGGTATGGCTGCACCCAGGGCCGCAGTGTTATTTCCATGCCTACCCTGAGCTGACCTTCTAGCCACCACATAAACAGAAGGACCCCGCAGGGCTGTAGGACCTCAGGCCTGCGCCCCGGCTTGCCCTCCCCGCCGCCAGACCTGGGCTGCCACCTGCCCTTCCCCACCTCCCAGACAGGCCTGGGCTCCTCCTGCCGGCTGCCAGTCAGGTCAGGTGACTCTGACCCTGGCCTTGCAGATACTAGGCCCACCCTACATCAGTGAAAGACACCCTTTTTGTTTTTATCTGAAGGTGCAAGGCTCTGGGAGATTTTGGTTTGAGCTCAGGGCACCCTCCCCTGTCACCAAGCAAGGCGTTTCTTGCCAAGTTGCACTGGGTGGCCATCCTCAGCCCACCTCACTGGCCAGTGTCTGCCTTGCTCCCCAGCTTGTTTTGGGGTGACACATGGCCTGCCCTGTTAGTGCATGCTGTGTCAATGTTTTCTGGGAATTTGTGGGGCTTTCTAGAAGTCTCCATATCCAACTGGCTGTACCCAGAATTCTCTGACCAGGTGGCTGGTTTACCCCAGCCAGCTGAGCTCAGGCCTCTCTGTGCTGGAGTGTGACTGGCAGTGCTGGGCTCTCTGTCTCCCTAGCTGGTTTGGCCACCCCTCCTTGCTCTTGCACCTTCCTCTTGAGATGCTGCCTCTCTTTTCTGAAACTGTTCATTTGCTCAGAATCCCTGGGATTTGTTGGCCTCAGCTGCCCTCAAGGGGCCTGTGATGCTCTGTGTGTGTGTGTGTGTGTGTGTGTGTGTGTGTGTGTGTGTGTGTGTGTGTGTGTGTTTTCCTACTGAGTTTTGGTGAGCGAGGTTCTGCTTTGCCTGCTGGATCCTGGCTCTCCAACACCCACAGCCTAGGGGATCCCAGGCATTGGGGTGTCCCCTGACCTGAGGACAGCTATCTTGCTGTGAGTCCTCCTATGTCCCCACATGTTGATGCCAACATGGTACAGAGCTGAGGCTGTGAGTGTAGCTGACCCAGATCAGATTAACCAGCTGCACTGAGGACCTGTGCTCTTCTCTATAGCCCTGCAAACAGACAGGGGTCGGTGCATGGGTCTCCTGTCTTCCTGTTCCCTTGTTCCCCTGTGTGTGTCGCCTGTCTGTCCCCGTGTGTGTGTGTCTCCTGTCTGTCCCCGTGTGTGTGTGTCTCCTGTCTGTCTCCGTGTGTGTGTCTCCTGTCTGTTCCTCTGTGTGTGTCTCCTGTCTGTTCCCGTGTGTGTGTCTCCTGTCTGTTCCTCTGTGTGTGTCTCCTGTCTGTTCCCGTGTGTGTGTCTCCTGTCTGTTCCTCTGTGTGTGTCTCCTGTCTGTTCCTCTGTGTGTGTCTCCTGTCTGTTCCTCTGTGTGTCTTCTGTCTGTCCCCGTGTGTGTGTCTCCTGTCTGTTCCCGTGTGGGTGTGTGTGTGTCTCCTGTCTGTCCCGTGTGTGTCTCCTGTCTGTTCCCGTGTGTGTGTCTCCTGTCTGTTCCTGTGTGTGGGTCTCCTTTCTGTTCCTCTGTGTGTGTTTTCCAGGCTTTCTGTTGCCATGTTTTTGTGTGTCTCCTGTCTTCCTTGGCTGTGTTTCCATATGTGTAGGTCTCCTGTCTGCCTGTTCCTGAGGAACCCACACACCAGATGACGTAGCCTGCTCAGTTTGTATTTCATCGTGCAGTCTGAAAGTTGCAGGAAAAACCCTGGCAGAATTTTAAAGATGCTTGCTTCCTGGCCTCTGAGGGGGTCTTGTGTGGGTGCCTGAGGGCCTCAGCTGCCTTTGTCCGGCCCTCAGTCCTCTACTCCGAGCCACAGCCAGCTGCTCAGGACCTGTCTTTACAATGAGGTGAACTCCCTGGAGAATTGTTTCTTGTTCTGGTGCCTGCCCAGCTCTGCTCTGCAGAAAGCTGGCTTCTCAGCGCCACCTTGTGGCCACGCCTAGCTGAGCAGGACTGTGGAACTGGCTATCGGGATGGCTGGCACCAGCCAGGGGCCAGACATTCACTGAGAATAGCAGGTTTCTTCATCTAGCCAGTGGCAGCCTGGCCACACGTAGGGACCACGTGGTGGAGGAAAGTGGCCCTGCTGTCAGCTTCCCGTGAGCAGGGAGTAAATGAGTGAGTGGGTGGTGGATCAGCAGGAGGCGTGCTGTCTCCCTGGCTAGGCCATCCCACAGCACACACATGTGGAACTTACACAAAGAGTTTAAAAACTAAACTCAGCAGCCTATTCAAATGTGTATGTGCGGACAATAACTGTTAGTGGATAGCACGTGAAGTGCTAGAGTCACAAAATAGATAAAAATCCAGTTTTTAGTATTTTCAAGAATGTCACAAATTTTCTGATCATGTTCTTGAAATTCTTAGAATCTAAAAAAAAAATTGGTTTATGTATAGTACAATTTATGTAAATTAAATGACCTGGGAGCTGTGAGAGGGGAGGAAGAAAATGCTGAGCAGACATTTTCTGATTGTTGTGACAGCCCAGGTGCGGCACCACAGCTCTTGCCTCTACTGCCTTGCAGTTCCTGTGAGGAGAAAGCAGCCAGCAGGCGGTTCCCCATGACAGGAGCCCACTGACCCCGTGCTGCAGCAAGTGCGTGGGTCATGGAGGGGCTGACACGGGGTGATCCTGATGGTTTGTCAGCTTCAGGCCTGCCCCTTGGGACTGCTGTGTGAACCCCTGTGTCCCTGGCAGTTCCTGAGGAGGTCTCCTGTGGGTCCAGCACTGCCTCCTGAAGGACAGTGACTGTGTCACACTGAGAAGTGTTCACACTCTGACATCTCTCCCCTGTGGGTACGGTATGAATGTGCTGCTCATCATGAAATTTGGGCCAAAAATTATCCAGTGTAAAAGAAATCAATTCTTTTTTTTTTTAAAGATTTATTTTTATTATTTTTTCATTGGAAAGGCGGATATACAGAGAGGAGAGACAGAAAGGAAGATCTTCCGTCCGATGATTCACTCCCCAAGTGAGCGCAACAGGCCGATACTATGCCGATCCGAAGCCAGGAGCCTCTTCTGGGTCTCCCACGCGGGTGCAGGGTCCCAAAGCTTTGGGCCATCCTCAACTGCTTTCCCGGGCCACAGGCAGGGAGCTGGATGGGAAGCGGGGCTGCCGGGATTAGAACCGGCGCCCATATGGGATCCCGGGCATGCAAGGCGAGGACTTTAACCACTTGCGCCACTGCGCCGGGCCCAAGAAATCAATTCTTTATCCTTTGACCTTAAAGGGAAAAGGGGGAAATGACAGAAATGTAATACCCACGTATCCCAATCCCTAAATTGAAGAATTCACTGCTAAGTCTTTTCCGGGAGAAATGATAGCACACATGCACATGGAATGTTCACACCATAGCTAATGACAGGAAACAGACTCAACTGCCCATTGCCATCAGACTGTTCTGCCACAGCTATCATGGCTGAGGAGATGGGAACTGTGGGTTTGAGCCATGGGACACGCGTGGTGGGCCTCAGCCAGCACATGCAGCCTCACCGAGTGGCCAGCCAGCTCCCTGCAGGGTCACGGAGTGCAGAAAGTCCACGCCGGGCCTGCGGCTGCCTGTTCCTCTATGGCAGCACCCCCAGCGAGGGCAGGAGCTGACCGCCACAGGAGGGACCCTGCTGGAGCCCAGTCCTCCACAAGAGTGGACAAGCTGGAGTTCTTCTCCGGCACACACCCTTGCTCCGTGTGGGTTTTAGGAAGGACTGCCATGGGTGAGAGATGCCTGCCTGTTCCCAGGCACAAAGTTGGCACACTGAGTATCATTAGCAGTTAAAAGTGACTGGCACTTTAAATGCCCAGGAATTGTGGAAGTAAATCTCAAGAAATCTGTTCTCTGTAGGAGTGTTAAGTGTAGATAACCCAGAAGCAACATTCTTATTCTGGAAGTGGGGGAAGAGAGGGAAGAGAGGGGAGTGTTTGTCTCTGATTTTCATAATGAATGATGGATCTTCCATCTGCCGGCCAGGACTGGGCCAGAGCCTGGAGCCAGGAATTCTGTCCAGGCCTCCCATGTGTGGAAGGGACGCACGCACCTGAGCCATACTCTGCTGCATCTCGGGGGCGTTTTCAGCAAGCAGCCAGGCCTTGGACCAGCACTCTGATAAGGAATACACTGGCCCTCAGTGGAATTGTAATTGTGACCATGTGTTACTTTTCTAAGTAATTGGTGTTTTACAAAAATTATGATTTAAAAAAGCCAATTTTGGTGTAGGCTACTTGCATGTAATCATAGTCTTTTAGAACTTTATTTGAAGGGCAGGGTTATAGGAGTGGAGGGGGTGGGTCTTCATTTGCTGGTTTAATCCGCAGATGGCTGTAATGGGCAGGATGGGACCAAGCCAAAACCAAGAGCCAGGGGTTTCTTCTGAGTCTCTTGTGTGTGGCAGAGGCCCAAGGATTCAGGCCACCAGCAGGGATCTGGATAGGAAGTGGAGCAGCGAGGCCACCAACTTCCTGCCATCCACATAGGATGCTGTTGGTATGGGCTGTGCCCAGACCCACTAGGCTACGGCACCAGGCCCTTAGTCGTAAACTTTAGGAGTTTGTTTTTATCCAGTTAGGAAGATTGATTCCCAGCTTCTTTGATGTGTTTCAGTGAAGTGTCCCATGTGTTACAAACCACTGAGGCCATTTCACTTTGGCATCTGCTGTGACAGACACTGGGGTATCGCCACATCCCTCTTCTTCCTTTTTCCATTTGTGCTTTAAAGTCTCCAACCGTAAGCGTCTGGGTTGGTGGCTGGAGAGGAGCCGATGTGGTGGTTAGGTGTGGGCGGTTCCCGAGCGGGGGAGCCAGGGTGGAGCCAGGGCCCTGGCCCTCGGGACTCCTTTTTGGCAGTGGTGGCTGAGGGCTCTGAGAAGTGTGGCTGAACCTCGCCCTTTCCACACAGGTCCTGGTGGCTCCTTAGCCTCGTAGCACCCAGCTTGGCCTGGCAGCTCTGTTGGCTTTTTCTTTCTTTTTTAATTATAGTTATTTTTATTGGAAAGACGGTTTTACAGATAAAAGGAGAGGCAGAGAGATGACTTCCATATGTTGGTTCACTCCCCAAATGGCCACAAAGGCCAGACCTGAGCTGATCTAAAACTGGGAGCCAGGAAGTTCTGGGTCTCCCTCACAGATGCAGGGTCTTTAGGCTTTGGGCTGTCCTCTGCTGCTTTCCCAGGCCACACGCGGAGAGCTGGATGGGAAGTAGAGAACAGTGCATGAACCGGCGCCCACAGGGAAGCTCGGCGCCAGCAGAGGGAAGATTAGCCAATTGAGCCATCATGTTGAGGCCTGTTTGCTTGATGGCAAACCCTAAGGTGAATGTGGCCTCACAGGGCGTGCTTGGGCAATGCTGGGCATCACCACTCGGCTCAAGCTGTATTTTTCATCCAGGGACATGGCAATTGCTTTTGACCCTACTGTGTGTTATTGGAGGAACCATCTCAGGGTGCAGAGGGGGCTGACTCTGCAGAATTCGCAGTGCCCCACGGGCCGTGTCCCCCAGTGTTCTATGCGTTCGGTGTTTGTCCTCCCTCCCCTCGGTGGATGTATTCAGGATCTCTTAGGTCATTCTCCACCAAATGACGTGGCTTGTAGCAATAGGCTCTCTGATGGTTTTTTGGTTTTGCTTTCAGCCTCTATCTGTTCAAGCTGGGAATCGCCCCTCAGATCCAAGACCTGCTGGGCAAGGTGGACTTCACAGGTACAGTTCCCCTTGGCTCTTTGCACCTGCACTTTTTTGTAAACTCTGATGCTGCCGATGCCCTTTCTTCCCCTCAGTGGACAGCTGCCTGTGTCACCTGGCCATGCCCAGCTGGGCCCGGGGCCTGGCCTATATGACGTCACCTGCTGACCGCATTCCTGGCCCGAGGCCGGCGCCTGCCCCCACCTCCCCTGAAGCTACCTTTCACTTTGTCTTTCACAGAGGAGGAAATCAGCAACATGAGGAAAGAGCTGGAGAAGTACGGGATCCAGATGCCGGCGTTCAGCAAGATCGGCGGCATCCTGGCCAGCGAGCTGTCAGTGGACGAAGCTGCCTGTGAGTGTGCCCTGCCCTGCTCCTGTAAGAGAGGCCACTAGCTGACACCAGCACCCAGCACTCTACACAGGCCCAACCCTGTGTCCTCGGGGCTCATGCTGAGGCTGTCAAACACAGCCTGGTGGTTGGCTGTGCACCTTGCTGAGCAGTGGGAACTCAGACATTCCAAAAACATCTTCAATCTGCACAACACTCCTCTGTCTTTTTAAAAAAGGTTTATTTATTTTTACTTAAAAGTCGTAAATAGAGACTAAAAGAGAGAAAGATCTTTCATCCACTGGTTCATTTCCCAAACGGTCAGATAGTCGGGACTATACCAGTTTAAAGCCAGAAGCCAGCAGCTACCTCTGGGTCTCCCGCATAAATGCAGGGTCCCAAGGCTTTGGGCTAACTTCTGCTGCTTTCCCAGGCACAAGCAGGGAGCTGGAGAGGAAGTGGAGCAGCTGGGACATAAACTGGTGTCCAAATGAGATCCTGGTATCAAAGGCTGAGGATTAACCTGCTATGCCATGGCACCTAGTGTCAGAGTTACTGCTGAGTTCTCTGGCATCTCTCAGTACTGGGTGATAGCTGCCTGTGTCACCCCACCACAGGCGAGGACAGATAACCCTCAAAGCCCCCATGGATGGCTCAGTACCAGATTCCGTTTAGCTGGCTGGTGCAAAAGGAGCAAGCCGGCAGGGCTCAGGCAACAGCGCAGCAGGTGGGATGGCTGTGTTCTTTACCAACATGGTTCCTGGCTGCCTGGAGCGGGGAGAAGTGCCATCTGAGCATGCCTGCCGCCATCCTGCTTATGAACCCTGTGTGTCCGTCTGCCTCTCCCACAGTGCATGCCGCTGTTATCGCCATCAACGAAGCTGTGGAGAAGGGTGTGGCAGAGCAGACGCTGGGAACACTGAGGAACCCCAATGCAGTGCTAAGTGCCGTGGACGACGGGCTCGCCCAGGAGTACCAGGAGGAGCTGTGGGGAGCCAAGAGGAGGAAGGAGGGTGCCTCAAGACTGAAGGTACTTCCCACTCTGCAGCTGGCCAGCTCCTTGTTGGCCAGGGTGCAGGGAGCCCCCTCCTCTGTGGGACCCTCCCCTTGCCTTCTGTGCAGACTGCCGCAGGCTGGGATTAGCAGGTCCCCCATGCAGCCATCAGGAGGTTAGCAGTGCAGTGTGCTGCTGTGTGGGGGTGGGTGCTGTTTACCCTCCTGTCACCCCTCCCCGGCAGGATGGCCTATGCCCGACCCGAGCTCCCACTGCTTTGCCCATGTCCTCCCAAGGAGCTGATCTGGTCAGTTCTACCACAGATAAGATCTGCTGGAGCTTGGGAGCCTTTTCAGAGCTGCTGGCCACCCTGGGTATCTCTGCCCGCCTCTCTTTCTCTTCCTTTGCCCTGCTTTGTGGAACTCAGTGCTTATGGGGGTGTCAGCTCGCAGCTGCTCCCCCAGAGCCCCTCAGTGTAACCCAATGGGGCAACAGGGCTCCCTGCCTTCCCAGGCTCTCTCAGGGCTCCCTGCCCACCACTGGTTCTCTCTGGGTTTTCTGCACGCCCTGGCTCTCCCCTGGCTCTCCCAGCCTCCCTGTCCACCCCTGGCTCTCCCCCTGGCTCTTCCAGTGCTCCCTGCCCACCCCTGGCTCTCCCCTGGCTCTTCCAGTGCTCCCTGCCCACCCCTGGCTCTCCCCTGGCTCTTCCAGTGCTCCCTGCCCACCCCTGGCTCTCCCCTGGCTCTCCTAGTGCTCCTCCCTCTGGCTGTGGCTGTGTGACTGCCTTCTCTGCCAGGTGTGACTCTACTGCCCACTTCACCCCTCTCCTGACTCCTTCGCCAGCTCTGGTTTGCAGAGACGGCAGCACCAAGTGCTCCAACCTGGGTGTGAGCATGAACTCACTCGTTCCTTGTCCAGGTCCTTGTCTCAGAGATAGTGTGTCCCGTGGGAGCTGACACACTTAGCAGAAAGAGAACAAACAAGTGTGGCCACCCCACAGAGAGCAGGCAGGGCCACCATGAATAGAGGGGGAGGGCAGCACTGCCATGCTTGCTGTCCTGCCCTCCGCTCCTTTCATGGGTTCTTAATGAGGACATTAACCGGAAGGACAAGACAGGTGCCCCTGAGAGCCAACGGGTAGATTTGGTTATGTGGCAGGGTGGGGAGGATTCCAGCTCATCCTAGCTTGCACCGACTGCCTGTTCCACCATGCAGCCTCCTGCTCAGTGCCCCGCACAGAGCTGGCAAGTCTCAGATGTGTGTGGGGCTCTCTCAGAGGAAGCCAGTTCTTACCAACTCTGCGTCCTTGCATTGGGCTTTGAGACTCAGAGGAGCTTCACTGCATCTCAGGGCTCCGTGGGGACTTTGCTTTGCAGAACAGCTCTGTGGCCGAAGAGGAGAGAGATGCGTATGAGGAGCTGCTGACGCAAGCAGAGATACAGGGCAGCATCAACAGCGTCAACAGTGAGTGGCATTCATTAGAGACCTCACCATGCCAGAGCCAGGAGCCACCCATGCGGGTGCAGGGGCCCAGGCATTGGGGCCGTTTTCCTGACTTCCTGGATAGAAGCAGAGATGGGATGGGATCCCCAGCCCTCTGACACAGGATGCAGGCTTCCCAGCTGGTGGCCTAAGTCACTGCACCTGGGTACTGGCGCCAGCTGCCCACTGAGTAGGCAGTCCTGAAGGCTTCTCCTGGTGACCATGCCCTGCCCACTGCTCCCCCCATGCTCAGTCAAAAATGCCATCTGTGCCCTGGACACTGCTGCATGCGCTGCTCCCAGGCACTTCCATGTGGCCCTAGCATGTTGGAGACTCGCATCCAGGTGCCAGCTTCATCCGGCCTCCCAGCTGTGGGTCTCCTGGAGCCTCAGGATGCACCTGTGGATGCTCTGTAAGGGCATCAGGAGGGCATCTGGTGGCTCATGGGCTCCCTGTGGGCGGCACCCCACTGTGTGTAACATGCAGAGTCAGCATGGGAGGTCCCAGGAGTGGGACCATGTGCAGTCAGCAGAGAAGAGGTGAAGTCAGAGCCAGTCTTGAGAGGGCTTTGTGGGGTCACTGCACTGGGCAAGGATGAGCTCGAGCCCACAGTGGACCTGACCCTGAACACCAAGGTGACCACTGGGCTCATCCCACAGTGGGCCCGACCCTGAGTGCCAAGCTGATGCCCACTTGCACCTTCTGCTGCTCTGCGGAAGCCCTGTGGAGGAGTCAGGTGGGACGGTCAGCTCTGGGACAGACTCCCATCATGACAGATTGTGAAACTATCTTTAGGACTAGCTGCTGTGGACCGGATCAACACTGCCATTCGGGAGGGTGACCCTGAGCTCACGCTGCTTGCCCTGATGAAGCCGGAGGCCCAGCTGCCCACTGTGTACCGCTTTGCTGCTGCTCTGTATCAAAGCGAGCTCTTCACCCTGCAGGAACAGAGTGACACGGTGAGTTGGGAAAGCCAGGTATCAGAGGAGTTCCCCCTAATGTGTCAGGAGACCCCTGTGTGGAGGTGGGCTGTGTCCCAGCAGTGCGGAAGGGCCTGGCCCTGTACACCTCGACTGTGTGCCAAGTCCAGCCTTGCTGGCCCATCCCACCCAGTCCCAGACTCTCCCTTCCTTCACACCTGCCTCCATCTCCACTGGCTATGGAGAACAGCACTAGGAATTAGCTTTGAGAATGGCTCCTACTGTGAGTTTTGAAGAACTTTGGATAACTTTTCTGATGAGGTATTGCTTTTAATATTTTTTTAGGAAGATTTATTTATCTGAAAGTTAGATTTGCAGAGACAGAATATCTTCCATCCACTGGTTCACTGCCCAGATGGCCACAGTGACCAGAGCTACACCAGGCCAAAGCTGGGAGCTTCATCCTGGTCTCCCAAAGGAATGCCAGGACCCAAAAACCTGGCCTGCCTGTTGCTTTTTCCCACGTGTGAGCAAGGAGCTAGATGGGAAGTGAAACAGTCCAGAGAGACATGAATTGAAGCCTGCATGGGATTGCCAACCTTGCAGGTGGCTTTGTCCACTGTACCACAGCAGCAGCCCCTGGAGAAAGAGGCCCCAGCCACACAGCGTCCCATCCTCCATGGAGTACCGAGGTCAAGGACAGGAGACACAGGCCCCAGCCCACACAGCATCCCAACCACCTGGGACAGGCACAGTCATTTTTACAAGTTGGGTGGCCTGGAAGGACCTTGTAAGGGAAGTACAGGCATTTGGAAAGACACGATCAATGGTTGTGATTACCACCGTCCCCAAAATGAGCACCTGCAAGAGGCCCCGGTCCTCTTCCCCTGCCGTTTGAGGAAATGACTCCCTTGCTGTTTTACCACATGAGAACCAGTTCAAGTTCTGGCTGCTGTCCTGCAGATCCAGCCTTCTGCTAATGTGGCTGGAAGAGCAGCAGCAGGTGGCTCAGGCGCTGGGGTGCTGCCCCGTCCCCCAGGAGGCCGACCGAGGTGGAGCACCTGGTCCTGGCTTCAGCCTGGAGTCGGGTCTGCTTTGGTTATCTGGGGAGTGAACCAGGCAACGGAAGGTTTCTGTTTCCAGTCAGTCGGTAGATAACAGAAATCTCTAGCCTGGAGAGGGTCCTGGGGCTCATGTCACCGCGTGTTTTCCTGTAGAAGCACCTGGCACATGAGGAACTCTCGATTGCTGTGGAGATGCTGTCTGCTGTGGTGCTGCTGAACCAGGCCTTGGCGAGCGGGGACCTGGAGTCTGTGCAAAGCCAGCTGCGCAGCCCCGCAACTGGTTTCAGCAACCTGGACAAGGCACATGTGGAGCGGTAAGGACACCTCCAGCTCCGTGGCACCCATGTGCAGCTCCCTTGCAGAAGATCTGCAGGGTGGTGCATATGCCCACCTGTGTTATGGGGAGGGGGCTGCCTGGGTGTGCTCACCCTGTGCTGGTCACTGAGCCTGGGGCGGGCATGGGAACTGACCCCATGCCCACCCCAGGGACTGTGAATTCTTGAGGACAGGTGGCCAGGCTCTTGGTAGTTTGGTTACAAAATGCCTGATCCAGAGCTAACTCAGGGCCCACGCCCTCTGATCCCATGACTACCCTCAGGGAGTAAAGACTCCATGAGTGGAGCCAGCACCATAGGCATGCTTGTGAATCACTGCAGGGTCTGCAGGAGCAAGTGGCCCTGAAAGGAGCCCAAGAGGAGCCCAGTCAGGGCCTTGGCAGGCAGGGACACTGGTGACTTCCAGGGGACGCTCGATGCAGACCCTCATCTCAGAGCCTGCATCTTGGCTTCCTGTTACTACCCTGTTTTCTTTTTTTTTTAAAGATTTATTTTTATTATTTTTTCATTGGAAAGGCGGATATACAGAGAGGAGAGACAGAGAGGAAGGTCTTCCGTCCGATGATTCACTCCCCAAGTGAGCGCAACGGGCCGATACTATGCCGATCCGAAGCCAGGAGCCTCTTCCGGGTCTCCCACGCGGGTGCAGGGTCCCAAAGCTTTGGGCCGTCCTCGACTGCTTTCCCGGGCCACAGGCAGGGAGCTGGAAGGGAAGCGGGGCTGCCGGGATTAGAACCGGCGCCCATATGGGATCCCGGGCGTGCAAGGCGAGGACTTAACCACTTGCGCCACCGCGCCGGGCCCTACTACCCTGTTTTCACTTGGGATCGTAATAGCACTATCCTGAGTGACAGCCGGGCATCATGAGTGGCAGCGGGTACTCAGAAAGCTCCTGTGCCCTGGACAGTGTGGAGTTCGGGTCTGGGTGAAGAGTGCTCAGCTGGTGATGCCTATGCAGATGCCTTCAAACCCAAGTCAGTTCAATTGCAGGCGTGCTGGGTGCCCTGTGCCTCCGCGAGCTGTGCTGCTGGTTACTCCCTGCGCAGGAGCCCAGGGTGCAGAGGGGGCTGCTCCCCCTCCCTGGGGAGGGTAGAAGAGCAAGCTGAGCCCTCGGGGGTGGCAGGTCCTCTGTGCCTGAGGAAGCTTGTGGGATTCCTGACCAACCATGCTGTCCGTCACTGTGGTGGGCTTTGTCTCAAGTGTCTGCAGAGCAGAAGCACACCCTGGGGCTCGGCTAGAGGCTATGGGAAGCCGAGAGGGCTGAGGGTTGGGGGCAGAGGTGAGCACTGGGCACTGAGTTGTCAGGTTTGGAGCCTTGGGGGTAGGGACAGGGAGCCGGGCCCTGGGGTGTCTGAGCCTCTCGCCAGGCATGTCTTGTTCATGATTTATCCTAGGTGAGCATGCTGGGCCTCGCTTGGGGCTTCAGTTGGAAACTCCCCTGGAGGCTCAGAGTGACTGGGGACGTATGGCATCCCTGACCTGGGTGTCCCCTCCCCAACAGGTACGCGCGTGAGCTACTCACCGCCAAGCTGGAGGCCGCGTCCCAGGGGCAAGAGAGCTTGAGCTGGAATGAAATGCAGAATTGCATCGACACAGTCAATGCCCAGATTGAAGAAGAAAACGAGTGTGAGTGTGGGGCCCTGGGGGAGGCCTCAGCTCAGGTATTCCGTCCTCTTGGGCCTGGTTTCCCATGTGGGTTCTGGACCAAGGTCTTTTACCCCTCACAGGGCATGCTGGGGTAACAGAAGTCATGCTGGCTTCTTGTCCTGCAAATGGGAGCCCCATGCAGCACCCAGAACCGAGAGCCCCATGCCGGCACCCAGTTCTATTTGGAGCCCTGACTGCCATGAGGTGGACAAAAACACTGAAGGGCCCTGTGGTCACAGCAGTCTGGGGTCACTATGAACACTGGCCCTGGGGCTGGGTCCACCCCCCATGAGCTCATCAGAGCAGTGAGCCATCCTGCTGACAGGAAGCACACAGTGCATGCTGCCTCCCAGGCTCTGAGCCCTCGGAATGACCACAGCCTCTGCTGCAGTCCCTGCCCCTGGCCACCCTCCCACCCCGCTGAGCTCACAGGCAGGCAGCAGGAAGCGGCCTTCCCCTACAGCTTCCCAGGTGTGTCCCCGTCTGTTAGACCCCCGATGAGGGTCCCTTGAGACGAGATGCGTAACGTGGCTGCTCCTTGTGTCTGCGTGGTTTCCCTGTCTCTCAGCCATTTTCCGCAAGCCCTGCGCCACAGCCCAAGGTCAGGTTTGCTCTTCAAGTGTCGAACCTGGTGGCTTCTCACCTTGAAGCAAGATCCAAGGGGCCTGTATGTACACTGTGTTTGTGGGTGCAGCCTGGGGAGCAGCCAGATGTGTCCTCTCCACTCCCTGGGGGACAGCCAGCTGTCTGTGTGTCCTCTCCACTCCTTCCTGGCTCTCCGGCCCAGGAGTCTTTCAAACATTTGAGTTCTCTCTCGTGTTGGGGAGGTTGTCTGCACCTCATGTGTGGCACGTCTTGTGTGTGGCTCACATGCAGCTTGTCTGAGTCATGCTGGTCTTGTTCCTGTTGTCAGAATGATGTACTTTTGCTTAAAGCTCCTCAGGTATTGAGGCTGGCATCCTCTGTCACAGGTGGTTGCTGAAACAGCTGAAATTGTTAAAAAGTGAGGGCATACACTGGGCCTGGTGGTCAGATTTCTGGCTAAGATGCTTGCCTCCCTAGTGTGAGGACCTGGGAGGCCCTGGGGATGGCTCAGGTGGCTGAGCCCCCACACCTATGAGGCAGACCCCGCTGGAGCTCCTGGCTTCTGACTTCTGCTAGGGCTGCTGTAGCAACCTGGCGACTGGACCAATGGACAGATTCTGTGTGTGTGTGTGTCATTGCCTCATAAATAAATAACAAAACAAGTGGCAGTTTTCAGCACAAAGCAGTGTAAACAGGCAGGAATGGTCCAGCCTGCTACCTGAAGGACGGGGCATGCAAGGGTGGCCTTACCTGTGCTGTTGTAGGGTGGTGGCAGAGGGTCCCTGGTGGCAGGGAGGCTGAGTGTGGAGAGGATCCCCCTCTTCCTTGAGTTGGGTTGCTGCTCCAGTCGTGCGTACTTGTGGGGTGGGTCTGGATGGGGTTCTCTGGAGGAGCTTTCTGGCGTCTCAGTGTGGCCTCTGCATGGGGAAGGCCCCAACCTCCCACCCGGTCACCAGGCTGCGTCTTAGCAGAGCCCCTTTACCTGTGTGGACATGAGGTGAGGGCCCCAGCAAGCTCCTGGGCAGGCCTCCCCAAGCTCCTGTGAGGTCACTGACTGTGACCTCAGCAGGCCCCCCCCAGCAGGGGGCTTCAGTCCAGCCTGGGGCATGGACTCACTGCCAGGTGACCAGCTGGAAGGATGCCTGTACGTTCAGACCTGGTGTGTATGTGTGGTGGGGGGTGGGGAAGCTCAGAGGGACTTAGGATGGCGCATCCCAGGGGGCAAGCTTAGCAGCACCCCAGGGACGGAGGTGCCTTGCCCTGGACAGAGCTCCGATGCCCAGAGCTGTCCCCAGGCTTGCACACCCTGCAGCCCCCAGGACCCAAGTCCTTAAGTTCTGTGATGTGGCCTGATACCCAGCATCGCAGGGGACCCATGGCCTGCAGCCAGGTCTTCTCGCTGTGAGTGATCAGCTGTTTAGGGGACACTGAGCTGACTGTCCCATCAGCCTGTGGACACTTCTTCATTCTACGTGAGTGTCCACTCTCTCCTGGAATGGCACACTGCAGGGTGACTGGTGATTGTTTTTGACAAAAAGCAGCCAGCAGAGTGAGATCATGCCTGGCTTTCAGAGTGTTAATGTCTCATTCCATTGCTTACTCATGTTTAGTTCTTTATCTGTTCATCTGCAGGAAATGCAGAAGCTAGGGGTGCCAGCATCTATAGGAGTGGGTACACCTCAGCCACCTTGTGCTGTCTGTGTGACAAGGTCTTAACAGGGGCGGGGACCTTTGGGTGGGTGCAGACTACTGGCCTACCCAGCCTCTGCAAAACCCCCAGCCGGGCTACACTGCTGTTTGTCCGTGGCTGACGTCTTCCTATGACCCAGCAGACGTGCTTCGACCCCTTGGCTGCAGCCACCCGTCGGGGCTCCTCAGAGATGTGATTAACCCGGCGTGGCATAAAGAAAACCAGTCCATCATCCTGTATTTGAACAATCCCGAGGTGTGCGCGGAGGCCCCCACACCTTCCAGATACAGTGACAATGATTAATTCACACAAAGCTACACTTGGGAGCATGTAGCAGCTCGCTGTGGCCATGGTTGCCACACTGACCTCCACCTTGACCCTGTCTGTTCACGTTCCAGGGAACAGCCTGACTGTGCACCCCCGTGCAGCATCCCGTGCAGTGCTGGACTAGGATGCGTCTCTACGAACCTCTCGGTACTTGGTCTTCCCCCTCACAGCAACACAAGACCCTCCCTGGCCCTGCCTGCCGCCTGGCGGGATCTGAGCATCCCCCTCACAAAGACACGAGACCCTCCCTGGCCCTGCCTGCCGCCTGGTGGGGTCTGTGCATGGCACGCTGGCACCGAGTGCCCCTTGTCTTGAGAGAGCCTCAGACACTTGGGAGACATGCATGTTATGAAAACACTACACATGTGTCTTTAGGCTTTTTTAGATGAAACGTGTTTTCTAACTCCATTCTCCATTAACTTTAAACAGTAGCCTGATCTCATGGTTATCCTGAGATTCACGCACGCAACGTGGAGTCAGCCCATACGGCCATGAAGTCATTATCAGCCCTCCATGTCTACTCCCATAGGAGACCCCCACTTAAGTGGGGGTGCCAGGGCCAGGCACTGGGCTCAGTGTCAGGAGCATAGCCTGTCACTCAGTGGAACCAGTGTGGCTCCTGTGACCCAGAGGCTGTGGCTGTGACCACATGCCCAGTGCAGGATCCCTGGAGCCCAGGATGGTATCTCCAAGTCAGGCTCTGGGTGATGAATGCAGGGAGTGCCAAGGGTCCGGATGCTACATTTTCCTCTCTAGGCCCCATGCTCCACCCTCAGGTACATTTCCCTGTCTACTCATCAGCAGGTGGGAGCGCCAGAGCTTTTTACTGTGAGTTAATGATACAGTGACAGCGCTGTGCAAGCATGTCCTCCACTGATTAGTTGCCCAGGAGTGAAGTTGCTGAGTCACACAGATGGAGTTGCTCAGCTATGTGGGCAGGTGCTGAGTCGCGTGGGTATAATAGCAGAATCACAGAAGTGCATTTGCTGAGTCATAGATTTAGTGGCACCTGAGTCATGTGGCTTAGTTGCCAAGTCAGAAGGGTACAGCTACTGAGTCATGTGAGTGCAGTTGCTGACTCACAGATTTAGTGGCTGAGTCATGCGGGTATAATTGTGGAGTTGTGGACACTTAGTTGCTGAGTCACACAGATGTGGCTTAGTTGCTAAGTCATGTGGGTATAATTGTGGAGTCATGGGGGCTTAGGTGCTAAGTCACATGGGTACAGTTTCTGAGTCACATAGATGCAGTGGCTGAGTCATGTGGCTGTAGTTGCTGAGTCATGTAGGTACAGTTGTGGAGTCATGGACACTTAGTTGCTGAGTCACACAGATGCAGTTACTGAGTCATGTGGCTGTAGTTGCTGAGTCGCGTGGATGCAGTTGCTGATTGATGCTGGTGCTGTTGCTGGGTCGGTCTTGTCTCTAGCGATGAGTCTCCTGAGCTCTGGGTGCCCAACATGATGCAATGCAGCCCATGTCTACTCTCTCAGCTGAGTCTTCATTTTCCTCATGGTGATCTTTGCTGCCCAACAGGGTTGATGGTGAGAAAGCCCTGTTCGTTGGTTTGTGTGAGAGGGGAAGTAAGGTGGGGGACCGCCTCCTAGTGTCTGTGGACACCTGGTTTTCCCAGCAGCATGTGTAGGCTACACCATGCTTTACCACTGATGTGCCTACCATCATTATAAACATTATAACCCTATGCTTATTCACAGCATCGTGACGCCAGGTTACTCCCTGTATTTATGCAAGGTTGAACTTGGGAAATGTCTTTGAACTTTGTCTCCCTTCTTTCAAGATTTCATTGTTTCTTATTTGCCCCTATTTTTTTTTTTTTACTTGCGAGACAGATGGCAGGGATGAGCCCCCATTCGCCATACCTGCAATGGCTGAGGCTGGGCCAAGATGGAAGCTGGCCCCTGGGGATTCAATCAGGGGTATCCTCGTGGACGGCAGGTGCCGGCACAGCCATCCCGGGGTCTACCAGGACAGCAGACTGGAGAAGTGCCAGAGGCAGGCATTGACCCCAGGCCCTCAGTATGGGACATGAACATCCCAACTTCTGGGCTAACCTCTGCCAGCCATGGGCTGCGCTTGGTCTCTGCCATGTCCTTATGACCTCTGCTCGGTGCGAATGTACAACACAGGGAGGAACTGGGGCCTGGAAAAGAGTCTGTGCTGATGTGGGTCCATCCCAGGTGTGTCCCATCTGCACGAAACTGTATCCTCCAGTCTGTGGGCCCAGGTTGCTGTCTGTGTGTTCAGGTACCTGTGGGCCCAGGCTGCTGTCTGCATGTTCAGGTACCTGTGGGCCCCAGGCTGCTGTCTGCCTGTTCAGGGCCTATGGCCTTGGGCTGCTGTCTGGCTGTTCAGGTGGCTGTGCACCCAGGCTGCTGTCTGCGTGTTCAGGTACCTGTGGGCCCGGGCTGCTGTCTGCGTGTTCAGGTACTTGTGGGCCCGGACTGCTGTCTGCCTGTTCAGGGCCTATGGCCTTGGGCTGCTGTCTGGCTGTTCAGGTGGCTGTGGGCCCAGGCTGCTGTCTGGTTTTGTTCTGGGCGTACTGTTTGTACTTTTCAGCACCTGTGTCATGTTCTAGTGTTACTCTGATCTGTGGACCTGGGGGAGGGGGTCACTGGATACCCCAGGAATGGAATGTTTTACCTCCACGTCAGGACGCCCTCTGTGTGCAGAGAGGCCCGCAGAGGCATCGTGTAATCCTGCCTCCTGCATCCTGCTATCCTGCTATGTCAAGCAGAGCACAATGGTGCAAGCTCAGTGTAGGCACAGGAGGTAGGTACAGACACCCTCTCTTCCTGCAGTGTAGACACAGGAGGTGGGTACATGACACCCCTCTTCCTGCAGTGTAGACACAGGAGGTGGGTACATGACGCCCCTCCTTCTGTGGTGTTGACACAGGAGGTGGGTACACGACGCCCCTCCTCCTGCGGTGTAGACACAGGAGGTCCTGTATTAACCTGTCCCCTTTTTCTCTCACAGTGGTGGTGGCCATGGGCTATATCAATGAGGCCATCGACCAGGGAAACCCCCTGAAGACCCTGGATGCGCTGTTGCTGCCAACTGCCAAGATCCGAAACGTGGACCCAGCTCACGCCCAGCACTACCAGGATGTGCTGTCCCAGGCCAAGTTGCGGAAGCTCAGGGTGAGCTGGGGCATGTGTTCTAAGCAGGGCCATACTGTTGTGCTGCTTGGGAACTCAGCATGGGCCTGGGAGGGCAGGCGAGGGGCCTCACCCACCTCCATTCACAGCTGGTGCCCTTGAATCAGATGTGGGTCCTTGGGCTGTTGTCTTCCTGTGCCAGATGTGCACATGTGAACATGACAAGTGTACGTGTGATTGTGGGTGCTGTGTGCATGATGCGTGCCCCATCTGCACGTGTGTCAGCAGTAGTGGGTGCTGTGTGCATGATGCGTGTCCCATCTGCACGTGTGTTGGCAGATTCTGTGGGCACATGTGGTGGTGGGTGCCATGGGTATTGTGCTGATACTGAGTGCACGCATGCAGTGGCAGGTAAATGGTATCAGGTGCTGTGTACGCCATGCAGCATGCAGCCTGTGGGAAGGCGGAAGGACACGAGAGGGATGTGTGATTTACGGGCGTGTCCTCTGTCCCCACTTAGAGGTGCCTGGAGACTTACCAGGGAAAGGGTGATTAGAGGGCAACAGAGGACATAGGAGCAAGGAGCCCCTGGCGAGACTGCAGTCTGCATGTGTGAAGGACATGTGTGGCTTGGACATGGAGTCAGAGCCATTGGGAGAGTGTGTACCCTGGTGGAGGGACAGGGCAGAGCGGCCACCTGGCCCCTGCTGAGCCAGCAGCTCCCGTGGGATACATGGCCATACTGAGACGAGAGGAAGTGAGGAGGGTGCTAGACCCATTGCCAGGTGTGTGGCTGGTCATCCTGCGGTGCCAGTGAGGCTCCTGCAACCCAGAGGCCTCAGCTGCCATGTTTCTCATGGAGGATCTTCTCTGTGTGGGCCCTGGGAGCCCAGCATGCCACCTCTGAGTCAAGACACTGAATGATTCACACGAGTTCTCGAACTCTACCCTCATTGTGGTACAGCACCTGGACCCTATACCCACCTCCCTGTCATGCCACGGACGTGGAGGCCAAGGCTGAACAGCATCCACAGGTGCCAGGAAGAATCCTGATGTGACAGCAGCCATGTGTCCTAAGATGGGGCTGGTCATGCTCCTAGGCAGACAGGAGTGGGATATCACAGCCTGACTTGCAGTGATGGGGTGATAACAGACTGCTGTGGGAGAAAAAGCTGGGTGGTGTGCTGGTGCCTGAGTGCCCTGGAAGGGCAGGGTCAGGAGCCTGGAGGACAGAGTGGGCTGCCTGGGTGCCCGGGAGGCAGGGTCAGGAGCCTGCCCCCCCAAACCTGGAGGACAGTGCGGGCTGCCTTTATGCCCCAGGAGGCGGGGTCTGCAGCCTGCCTGGAAGATGAGCGGGCTGCCTGTGTGCCCCAGGAGGCGGGGTCTGCAGCCTGCCTGGAAGATGAGTGGGCTGCCTGACATGTTATGAGTGCTCACCCAGAGGTGTGGCACCCAGCACAGCCAGAGCCCACCATTCCCCTCTGTACCTCTGCTGCCTCTTCTCGGGGTCTGTGAAACCCAGGGTACCCCCTTCCCACCCTCCCTGCTCTGACCCAGTGCCTAGATGCACTGTCACTCTTACAGGGCCACAACCCCACCCAGCCGATCTCTGTGCCAAGTCCACAGTGGGCCTCATCACATCTAAGCGATTATTGCCACACGGGCTGTCTCCACCACACTCAACTTACTAGTAGCAGCCACATCCTTCTTTTGTTTGTTTCCCTCCAAGTTTGATGACTATGCATCGTCTGTTTCCTTTCACTGGAAATATTCCCTAGGAATGCAGAGGCACCAGGGGGAAGAGCAGGGGAACCTCAGAATGTGTGTGGTTGGAGAATTTGGTGTTGACAGGAGCAGCTGGAAGAGCCTTTCACGGGGGGTGGTGGCAGGCGCTAACAGAACAGAGAGGTACAGGCTAGTGTCACGAGTGAAGGGGACGGGGTAAGGTGTGGACTATGGGTGTGTAGAGGTGAGGTGTAGACTGTGTAGTGTGTAGGTGTGCTGTATCCTGAGGTTGTTGTGAGTTGTGGCCTGTGGGGTGTGTAGGAGTGAGGTGTGGACTGTGGGGTGTATAGGGGTGAGTTGTAGACTGTGCGTGTGTAGGGGTGATGTGTGGACTGTGGGTGTGTGTAAGGGTGAGGTGTGGACTGTGGGCATGTAGGGGTGAGGTGTGGACTGTGGGCATGTAGGGGTGAGGTGTGGACTGTGGGAGTGTAGGGTGAGGTGTGACTGTGGGCGTGTGTAGGGTGAGGTGTGGACTGTGGGTGTGTGTAGGGGTGAGGTGTGGACTGAAGGAAGTGTGAAGTTAGGTGGGAGTCATGCAGAGTGCAGTGGTTGTGGGGTCTCTGCTGTAGTGGCCACTGTGCTCGAGGTCACTGCCTGTGAAGTGTGGTGTGACAAGCAGGATGAAAAGCAGAGAAGCAGCTGCCCTCCATGTGGCCCGCTCACTGTGGTCTCTGTCCCTGCTGCTGTTCCCAGGATGCCGAGAGCACATCCAAGGCGCTGTGGCTTGATGAGATCCAGCAAGCCGTCGATGAGGCCAACATGGACCAGGACCAAGCCAAGCAGTGTAAGCCCCCGGCTGCACCGGCCCTGCTCACCTTGAGCATGTGTGGTCAGTGTGTCCCTCCATCCCAGGGGTGGTGGGCAGGTGTTGTCACCTGGTCCCTGCACACTGCCCCAAAAATGAGATGTTACCGTGTTGAATCCACATGGCACACATGGTTCCTGGCCCTCAGGCTTCATGGCTAAATCCTGAAACTGACCTATTGCTGCTTCATGCACCCCACCACTCCTTTTCCTCCTCTCACGCCCTTGGCGTTCTCCCAGGAAGCACGGCCAGTAGGATGGGTGGACAGGCAGGCAGACAAGGAAGTGAGCGAGCTGGCTGGCAGAGCACAGGTCAGGCCCATAACCAGGGGCCCAGCCGACTGCAGATCCTTGCTTGCCTGGGTGGGGTAGGAACGTCCCAGTGTGGGGTCAGCAAGCTAACTCATGCCATGCAGACAGCGTCGGAGTGACTCAGCCGGCTCCCCACTTACAGACCACAGAGTGGACCCATGGGCCACTGGTTGGGCAGCACCCAGCATGGTCCAGTGGAACCTCGCCCAGCTCCCAGTGGACCTGTGTGGTGTAGCATGAGGCAGCAGCGCTTACCATACTTCAGCTGGGAGTGTGCTGGGTTTCCAAGAGGACTGTGGGGGAGCAGAAGGACTGGATGGGGACCCCGGCCATGTCCCAGACATGCAGCCCTTACCCTGCACAGAGGAAATGTACCAGCCAGGGACTATCCTCTCGGGCCAGACCTGGAAGGTAGTCTGGTCCCAAGCTCCTCCTTACTGTGAGCTTGCCTAAAGCGATGCTCTGCTCGTCAGCTCACTCCCCAAAGCGTCACAGGAACCGGAGCTCAGCCAGGCTGGAACCAGGAGCCCAGAGTTCCCTCGGGGCCCCCCCATAGCTGGCAGGACCCCTACACCTCGTCCGGCTTCTGCTGCTCTCCCAGAGGAGGCACAGACGTGCCCAGGAACGGCCTGACGCCCTGCACCACGAGACTCACCCCTGCTCTCCCCTCAGCTTCCTGGAGTCCAGCCAGCTTTTCATTGCCTTGAGGAGTCCTTGGGACATTTGCCCCATGAAAAGTTTTCTCACCCCTACTGGGACATCCTGTGGCCCCCCAGGAGTGCCTTAGAGCGCAGTTGTTGGGGCTTAGCAGTGAAGCCAAATTCAACCCCGTGGGAGGTCCCGGGAAGCCTTCCTTCCCTTGTCCCTGAGCAGGGGTGACACCTGGGTTTTGTTGGTCAGCACGGTCAGCTGGTGGCCCAGAGCCTGGGAAGACACTGCGCTGCTGTGTACCTGGGGCTGTGGGGCTGTGGGGAGATGATCAGCCAGACAGCGAATGTTCTGTGAAGACATCTTGGGCCTTCACAGGAAGCAGTCCCCACAGAGTGAGAGTCGGTGCAGAGCACACCTCGCATGGGCTGTCTCCCTCCTCCACGTGGCTTTCCTGGGGAGCAGGAGACGGTGTTCGCCTTGTCCTGGGGTCTACTGGGCAAGGCCGCTCACTCCCTCTGTTGTATGAAATTGGCTTGTATGAAATTGAGCTGGCAGCCCACCCCTCATCACTCGTAGTCTGCACACATGTGAATGCAAATGTGGTTTGGTGGCCATGGCAAGTGTTGCACGCTCGGGTAGCAGAGTTTGACACATGTGAGTGAAAAGGATGGGGGAGCTGTCACACCCTTCTTTCTGCTGGGAAACCCTGTGATGTGGCTTCTGCTTGTGGTGTGTGTATGTGGTACGTGTGTGGCATGTGTGGGGGTGTGTTTGAGGTGCAGGTGTGTGGTGTCTATGTAGTGTGTATGTTATCTATGTGGTATGTGTATGTGGTACACAGGTATACATGTGCTATGGTGTGGTGTGCAGTGTGTATGACGTGTGTGGTGCCTGTGTGTGGTGTGTGTGTTATCTATGTAGTACCCAGGTATACATGTGTGCAGTGTGTGTGATATGTGTGGTGTGTGTTGTCAATGCTATTGTTCTACTTTTCTAACTCAGTGTATTTCTAGATGAGGAGAACAGTGGTTCTGCTGTGTGCACCAGAATATTCTGAGCTGCAACTAAAATTGATGAAGAGATCATTGAGTTAGCCATCTTTAAGTGACCAGGAGATTCATAAGTTTCCTGCAGGGGGAGGGGCAGAAATCTGAGATGGAGAAGATGCCTGTGGTCAGCACTGGCTCCTAGATTCTCGATTCCAATGCAGGGATCTACCAGCTGTGCCTTTCTAGCATGTTGTAGAACATTTGGTCTTACAGGCTAAGTGGTCCGGTATGGGTGCCGGCAGCACAGACTCCCAGTGACTCAGGCATTCTTAAATGGCTGAGTGAGTGACGCATCTGTGTGCCTTTGAAGTCCGTGGAAACCAGCCCTTCACACAAGTATATTTCATCGCCAGGGGTGACACTGGTGGTTGACGTCAACCAGTGTTTGGAAGGGGTGAAGTCCAGCAACATTTTGTCCATCTTGAAGTCCAGCTCGTGTTACCCGAATGACATCCTCCCTGAGTGTGCCGACAGCTACCATGATGCCCTCCTGACGGAGAAGCAACGCAAGTCTGAGAGGGGTATGCCCTTGCCTCGCGGCCCACCACTGTGCATGTCATTTCCCACACGGCTACACTTCACATGTGGTTACCACTTCACGCAGTCCGTCATTTTGCATGCGGTGACTGCGTTTTCTTTCCTGTACCTGCAGCTGAGCGTTTCTGAGATGGTTTCTGTCATCCGTGTGAGGCGGAGTGTTTAGAAGTTCCCTCACTGCATGGTCTTGGAGATTTCTGTTTCCCCAGCAGCCCCCCTCATTGGGAGTGTACCAATGTCTCTCTTCACATGCTGTGAAATGTGTCCTTTACAAAGTGTGCAGCAGCCTCTCACCTCATGTCAGTCCCACCAGCCAGGCAGATGGAGGGAATCCTGGGGCCCTTGGCTATCTCCCTCTCACCTCATGGTGGTCCCACCAGCCGGGCAGACGGAGGAAGTCCTGGGGCCCCTTGGCCGCCTTCTGCTGCCGTGCTTGGCTTCTCACAGTCCCCTATACTCCCAGTTCGCCTCCCATCCCTGGGTCTGACTGTTCTTGGGGCAGAAATGCCATGGTTACGTGACCTCCCAGCCTCACTGTATGCCATGGTGGTTAGAACACCAGTATGGCTCTGTGGGAGAAAATTTTTAAAAGATGTGTTAGATAGAGCACCTGAGCTGCTGTTTGCTGGTTTATTCCCCAAATGGCCATAATGATCAGGGCTAGACCAGACGACAGCCAGGGTCTCCCACGTAGATGCAGGAGCCCAAGGCCTTGGGCCATCCTCCAATACTGTCCAGGTGGCTCAGAAGTGGAGCAGCCACATGAGGTGCCGCTGCACTGCAGTTCTGATCTCTTGAACTCTGATCCACCTGCAAAGGCTGGGAGGGACATCACAGCAGGTGGGTCAGCTTGGTCCAAATCAGAACTTTGAAACCAAGTTTTTTGGCTTGTTTTACGTGTGTGTAGGACTCTGTGTTCTTGTGCAGATGTTAACTAACTTTCATTTGCAGCATCTGGTGAAGAGGGACCGTGGCTGCGATTCACTGTGAAGGAAAATCATGATTACTACTACAATGTGGAGTCAGGAGAGGGCGTCTGGGTCCCGCCCGAGCCCTGCCTGACCAAGGAATCCTGGCTCATGGAGCAGGAAATCGAGGTAGGTGGTCAGTGTGAGAGTAAGGTGGCCATGTCCTGGTGTTAAAGCATGGGAGAACCGGGAGGACCGGGTCATCAAACTTCCCAGGAGTGAGGCTGGAGGAGAGCCCTGAGGCTTTGCTGAACATGGCCGCGTTGTGCTGCTTTTGGGGTTGTGTCCACATGGGACAGGGTAGGTTCCTCGGGGCACATGATCCTCCTGAGGAACCAGCCCCTGGGCTTTCCTGTAGCACACAGTAAGCTGAGATCTGGAATGTCTTAACTATTCCTTTCCCCCACTTACACCTTAACATGATGCTTTTCGAGCCACAGTGCCACATGTTTCCAAAGAACGGGGAGGGTGTGTTTCCCACATGCAGCACTGGTCCTCTCCCCATGAAGTTCCCAGGCTGTGAGCAAGCAGACCAAGGATCAAGAGTGGGCATCAGCTGGGTCCATCTGCGTCCCCCAAGGCGGCCACTGTGGCATGCTCAGCACGGTTCTGGAGCCTGAGCACACCCCTCCAGGGCAGTCAACTCAGCTCTATGTCTGTCGTGTGGTGTGTGGATGCCCCTCCCAGGGGGTTGCCCCAGTGTGACGCTGTTGGGTGGCAGCATGATCTCTGGCACTGAGCGTGCTTGTCCACAGATGAAGTGCAGAGAGTAGAGTTCTATGTGTTTTACACATGGCCTGTTATCAGCTAACCTAAAAGCAAATGGCATGTTCACATGTTGTGCTCAGAGTGATGTAGTGAGGTAGATCTACAGAACCACTCACGGTCTCTTACAGGTAACATTCGAGACATTGATTATCAAGGCTACCAGATTTTGCCATCCAAAGCCGCATATCCCTTCTCCCTCTGCTTGTAACTAGCAATTTATGTGAGTGGTTCCTCTCTGTGTATCCTGCAGGGGGCAGAGGGGACAGAATGGGTCACCCCTCACAGCATCACGGCAACCGTGAGGCTGATCTGTGAGCTCCAAGCGGAAGGAGCGATTGAGAAGAGTGTGCGTTAATATATCCTGCTCAGAAGTTTTTTCTCATTCTGTGGGACGCCTCCTGGTCCGTTTTAGCCCTGTGTCCACCCCGAATGTCCACCAGTTTGTACTTCTGTGCGAGGCTCCCCTGTCCACTTGTGGGAGGCCCAGGGGCCACATTGGAGAAACAGGAGGGAGAGGAGGCAGAAGCCCTTGAGTGGGAGCCATTGGACCTCACAGGACGTCTGAGAAGAGGTTTGGCCACAGGTTATCGTCTTAAGCACCATGCCCAGCGATGCCCCGTGATGTGTGGCCTTGCCAGCCGAGGCTGCTCAGCCCTGCACCCCAACTCTTCTGTGTGTTTGCACCTCATTTGGATCCCAAGTGGAGGCAGAACAAATGTCACCTGCTTCCTTTGTTCCAGGCAGGGAAACCGAGGGAGCCTGTGGGGAGGCACCATATGTAGCACCCTCAGCAGGCACGGGCCCATCCCAGGCCCCGCCCCAGCTGGGCTTCACTGTCCACGCAACCTGGACTTCCAAGTGGTTCTGGCAGTGAGGCAAGACAGGCGTGGCAGGCCTACCTGTCCCAGCATGGACACCAAGACCAGAAGCTGGGCCTGAGGCACGTCCAGCTATCTCTTGGGAAGTCCTGGTGGTGATCAAATTGCATTCTAGAAGCCTCAAACAAGACATGCAGTGTGGGTCTGTCTGGTCAGTAAGGCTGGGCAGGCTCTCAGAGCAGTGACATCACAGTGCAGCCTCTACGGAGGCTTGCCCAGGCCCCTTTTGGTGTGATTCAGTCACAGAGGGCAATAGAGAGCCTGGCTTGTATGGCATCAGGAAGGTGGTGGCGTGCCATGGCTTTGAGAAGTGAAGTAGTGGACCATGCCAAAGACATGTGGCCTGGCAGAGCCATGAGAAGCAATGTGGCAGAGGTGACGGTCAGAGATGACCAGTGCCGGCTCCAGTGCCGGCGCCCCCCAGCCAAGACAATGAAGCAGTGCTGGCTCCCACCCCACTCAGGACAGATCTGCACATGGGTGTGGACACTTGTGTGGCTCTCCTGCCAAGGGGCTTGTGTCTGCTGTGAGCCATCTCACCAGCCTGCTCCCCCACCCAGCCCGGAGGAAGCATGTGTCATCTCTGCCTTTGCCTCTCAGAGTCCTCTCACCACCCCTGCACAGCGTCCTTCGACTCCTCCTTCCCGCCACATCCCCTCTCCGCCTTCAGCCTGCTTTCTTGTCCTTGTCTTTGTCTTTGCCCTAGCTCTGCGGCGCACGCTGGGATGGGTCTGTCTAGGCTGGCAAGAGGTGCTGCCCCCGACTCCTCTGCCCTCTCTTCTGCCCTAGCTCTGCGGTGCACACTGGGGTGGGCCTGTCTAGGCTGGCAAGAAGTGCTGCCCCCGACTCCTCTGCCCTCTCTTCTGCCCTAGCTCTGCGGTGCACACTGGGGTGGGCCTGTCTAGGCTGGCAAGAAGTGCTGCCCCCGACTCCTCTGCCCTCTCTTCTGCCCTAGCTCTGCGGTGCACACTGGGGTGGGTCTGTGCAGGCTGGTAGGAGGTGTTGGCGCTCCCCCCACTCCTCTGGCTGCTGTTGTCCTCTGTGTGGAGGAGCCCAGGTTTGGCACCTGGCCTGTGCCAGCGTTATCTGTGCAGCTTGGCCACTGTCTGCCCTCTGCAGTCACACTCCAAACTGAGTCTCAGCTGGGCACCGTCTGTTTAAGCCAAGCAGAAAAAAAAAACACCTTTCTCAGTCATTGCCCGAGGGACGACTCCCCCAGAAGTCATCACGTGTGTCCTTTACATATAACGCGAGCCATGTTTCTTGCCAGGACACCGTCGAGAGGGTCACGCGAAAGTACATCCGTGAGCAGATGTGGTCGGCATCCCAGGATTCTCTCCTTCGCTTTCAGAGCATGCGGCTCGGACCCGCCCTTAGGGAGGAGTTCGAAGCTAGGAAATCATTCTTGCATGGCCAGGAAGAGAATGTGGTCAAGATCCAGGTATGTGAGGCTCTTCCCTCTGCTTGGCGCTCACGCTCATAGTCCTGGAGTGATCCACTGGCAGGAGCTCAGCCAATACCAGCCTTGCACTCCAGGTATGGGATCTCTAATCCTTGCCCCCAGGTGCCTGCTGCCAGGCCCTGCAAAGGGGACTGTCCTAGTGATGCAGACCCCCGTCACAGTGTCACTCTGACGTCTATGTGGGCATTCTGTGGTTGGCTTTTTGTGGCTGCGTGTGGCAGATGGTGTCACAGTCCTGTTTCCTTCTTGCCTGGAAGAACTGATGGGCAAATGGTGCACAAGCCACTGAGCGCCCCCTGCCTTCCCGAGTCTGCAGCCCTGGACTGTCCAAGGCCCCTGGCTCTCAGGCTCACCCCCTGCCCTGGCTCCCTCCGCCACCTGCTCCCTGAAGGCCCCGTCATACCTTCACTAGCTGGCTACCCTTGGTCCCTGGCAGCTCCCCGACCTGCCCCACCTGGCTGTTGCATGCAGGCTTTTGCCAGCATGTGTCTTGCGTGCTCTGGGCACTATGTGTTTGTGTATGCCCAGAGCCTAGAATGTCAGCATGACAGCAGTTTGAGAGGTGTGAGCCTGATATATACAGGGTTGCCTGGGAGCTGGTGACGTTTCTAAGTTATTCCCTGACAGTCATGCTAAACAGCACACGCGGGGAGTGAGTACAGCCCTGAATGTACGGTGGCCCATACTATATTCCAAGTGACCATGAGTGAGACCGCTGGAGTCCACTGCAGGCTTGGCAGTGCGGGCCATGGAGCCTGAGGAGCCTTCCAGGAGGGGTCCCCAGATGCCAGAACCCAGCCTTAGCCTCCGGCTGCTGCATTGGGAATGATGGGAGGAGCGGAGGGTGTGTGAACAACCCCAGCCCTCAAGGTTCGCAGTGAGCGATGTGGGGAAGCTACGCAGCCGGGTGTCCATATAGGTGGCAGAGCCCTGATGGCCTTAAGAATGAGTGAGCCAGAGGTGTCTGCTTGTCACTGAGGGTGAGAACTTGACGTGGACGCAGAGAGAGGAGGACAGCCTGCTGTGGACACTAAGGATGTCCCTCCGGGAGGCAGAGTCTGCTGGACTTGCCATGAGCTCCTGAGGAGGGAGATGTCAGATGGGAGTGAAATGAAGGGGCAGCTGGCAGCCAAGGAGGCTGAGACAGACTGTGAGACAGAATTATGTGTCCACAAGGACCAAGCAGTGCCAGGGCGAACCGTCATGGTGGGCATAAACAACCCAGCAAGGGCTGTTAGAACCTCCTCTGTGGAACTGCAGAAGGTGGTGGAGGAGGTGGCGATGTAGGCACCAAGGATGGGCCACCCCGTGTTGGGCTGCTGGGCACAGAAAGGCCCTGGAGGAGAGCAGGTGGGGAAGGTGACAGACCACAGCAGGAAGCTCCCCTATACTTAGTGGCTTGAGGCCACTTAGAAGGGAGGGACTTGGTCTGGGGGAACCCTGAGGCTGGGGTAGGAACCACCAGTGGTGTGCAGGACTAGAGTGCAACCCAGCCAGCCTCAGGGGCCACCTCCCCTGTGCCTGCCCTGGTGTGCCAGAGGCAACTTGGTGGTGAGTTAGAAGGTGTGTCTCTATCCTCAAGTGCCTGTTGCAGGCCATGGAGAGCTCACATAAGGAGTTATTCCAGCTGGCCATGGTGAGGGGCCCTCCTTCCTCAGTCCAAGGCCCCCAGGGAGGAACCAGACATCAGCCCGGCGTGCTGGTCAAGAGGCAGCATTCCCCTGCCTCGCTTGTGCTGTGGGGAGAGGGCAGAGCGTCCCAGGATGCCCATGCTGTTCCAGTTTCAATCTCTTTAATGTTTCCAACGTGTCAATTATAACACCCTCTAACCTACAGCAAGAGAATCATGATTTCAGTAAAAGCACCGGTGGACACTGAAAGAGAAACAGGCTCCAAAGTCATCTGCAGTGGTGCTGCAAGTGGCCTTGCAGAAACATGACAAGGAGTCATTGTGGACCCATTTGAAACACAAAGTCTGGGAAGAGAAGTGGGCCATGCAAGGAGGACCATATGGCAACCTTTAAACATCAAACAGGGGCAAAACTTGAAACAGCAATGGGTGTGAATTGGTCAGTGGGCAGGCCAGGCCGCTAGACGCACAGGAGCCATGAGTAAATAAGACCCAGAAAACCCCGAGATTTGAAGAGCAAGCTGAATGGAAGGAACGGGGTGAGCAGAGCCCCATGTTTATGGGTGCGTCCCCCTCATCCCAGAGAAGGAGGGGCAGTGCAGGGACGACGTGTGAGCACGTTCACCAGGAGGCATGCCCCACCTCCAGGCAGGGCCCACACAGAGGGCTCACATAGAGCCGCGTCAGCACCCGCTCGGCAAATGAAGACTCCAGGGAGCTGCCCTGTGGCCAGACAACAGCCCAGCAGGGCCGGACGTGAGCACTGTCCTCGGAGTAACCTGCTCGCTAGAGCACCGAGGTTTCAGGCACTGAGAGGGGCTGTGACAGCAACAGCATTACAGAAGTGAGAAGATGGACGTGAGGGTGGAGCAGAGGATCCCGTGCACCTGTCAGCATGTGTGGCCAGTGAGGGAGAGGGCCCTGGGGGAGCCGTGCCTGCACCCCAGGGATCGAACCCCAGAAACAAAGTTGGTCCTGTGAAACCGAATGAACTTTCAGCATTGTTCAGCAGGGGGCGCTGTGGTCACAGTGGCTGGTGCTCAGGAAGGCCAAACAGGGAGGTTGCAACTGTGGAATTATCCTGGCTGTGTACAACTTAGAGATGTCGTCCCTGGTGTCAGCGGGCCTGGCTGTGTGGCATTGTCCCCAGCGTGGCTACAGGCCTGGATGTTGACATCCTTGTGTGAGCAGGCTGGTTGGAATGTCATCATGGTGTGATTGTGCTCAGTGTGTCCCCTTGGACAGCACCCTATGCGTGCACATGTGTGTGATGACCTAAGTACATGGGTCGTGTGGGCCTGTGTTTCCCAGGACAGGGCGCTGAGAACTGGGAGGCCGGGGAGGTCAGTCTTGCTGAGCCTCCGTGTTGTTTCTCACCCTCCTCTTCCAGTCCACGCTGCCTGTCCCCTGCTGGACACACGGGTGAGGACCATTTCCCTGCGTCACTGTTGACTGCCCATGGCTCCCCAGATTTAGAACACCCCACAGAAGTGCCGTGGCTTCTGAAACTTTCATCCTTGTGACTGTCCATTCCTAACACACTGCATCTCCCACTTGCTTGCTCCCCAGGGTCTCGGGACGGGACAGCACTGAGTAGGGGGGTGCCTCCCCTGGGGGCAGCGAGACGCAGGGCAGTAGACCCCAGTGTATGGCTCCATACGTCCTGGCCGTAAACAGACACGCGTCATGTTTCAGGGGCCAGGAACAGGCACTCGTGCTGTCTGGGGGGCCTAGAGCAGGTGCTTGTGGTGTCGCAAGGGCTGGGAGCCCAGAGCCTGCGCCATGAGGACTGTGGCTCCATCCTGCCCACTCCTGGGTCCAGGGCATGCATCCTGTCTGAAATAATGAAATGAGGTGGGTTGGCACGTGTCAACAGGAGAGGAAACGCGATGTTGGGCTTAGCAGGCAGCTAGGGCCAGGATACCTGAGTGACATGGAGGGAATTGGGGACCCTCAGGGGGTCCTTCTCCCTGAGGACTTGCTCCTGGGATCTGTGAGGAAATAAATGGATGTTGTCACAGTGCTCACTCTGACCCCTGCGTCCCAAGGCCAGGGATACCAGCCTCTGGAGCCCCTGGCTTTGAACTTCAACTTCCAGGTTGCTGGGGGCCCTGGGGGACGAAGCACTGCCTGCTCTCTGCTAGGCCTAGACAGGGCTCAGATCCAGTCCTGGTTTTGCTAAGCATTCCCCAAAGCAGGTATCCAGGAGGCCAAGCTAACAGTATCCTGCCTGTAACTCCTCACTGAGTGTCCATCAGAGACACTCAGTGTACAGGGAGGCAGAGTCTGGCCCTCTGTGGGGGCACCAATGCTCTCAGTGACCCTGTGGCCCCTCTCCTGCCCAGGCCTTCTGGAAGGGACAGAAGCAGCGCCAGGCGTACCAGCAGAAGCGGAAGACGTTCGCTGCAAGCGTTTCTGAAATTGTGAAGGTAACCACCATGGCCATCCAGCTGGGCACCACTGGCCTTCCTTGTGCTAATGTCGGGGCTGAGGAGGGGGGATGTCCTAAAGTGAAGCACTGTGTAAGTGAAGGAGAGACCGACATGAAGCTGTGTATGGGAGTGTGTGTGACGTAACCTGCAATGAGGCTGTGTGTGTGAGGTGACCTGCAGTGAGGTTCTGTGTATGTGTGGGGTGACCTGCAGTGAGGCTGTGAGGGGGAGTGGGGTGGGGGGTCACCTGCAGTGCAGCTCTGTGTGTGTGTGAGACCTGCAGTGAGGCTGAGTGTGTGTGTGTGTGTGTGTAAGACCTGCAGTGAGGCTGGACGGGAGGACCTGCAGGTCACATGGGCAGCTTAATCCCGTGTCTGATCATGGGCACCCTGTGGAGATGTTCCTTGTAGCTGGCCCACAGCACCTGAATTCATTCCTGTGGTGGAGGGACCCTGTTTTCCTTTCTGTTCCTCCCACCGTGTTGGCTTGTAATGTGTGGGCAACCTGAATACCACGCAGAACCGGGCTGTAGAACAAGGAGTCCCCCAGACTCCTTCCTGTACAGCTCTGGGCACAGGAAGGTCCTGCGGGGTCCTGCGGTCCCTGGAAAGCAGGCACTTCTTGCTGTTCCCCCTCCCCACCAGTGGTGCTGCATTCATTGTCCCTCATCTGCTCCCCTTTGGTCATGAGACCTGGTGGCGGCCACCGCTGATGGCCTGGCTCACTCTGTCCCTCTTTCAGATCCAGTCCTGGTTCCGCATGGTGGCGGCAAGGAAGCGGTACCTGTCACGGCTGAGCCACTTCAGAGATCATGTAAGCTACATGCACGCCAGCGAGCGCCAAGCGGTGGCCCTGCAGTGTTTTACACAAGATCAGTTGGTGTATTTGAAAAGTTGGGGATATAGAAGGAGACGCAAAGATCCTGCCCAGTGTTGACTCCCTTCCCAAGTAGGCTGGCCAAGGCCAGCAGTCTGCAGCTCTATCCAGCTCTGCCAGGCACTTGGCCTCTCACTTGCTGCGTCCCCCATGCTTCATTGGGGAGCTGGATTGAGAGTAGCATAGCCAGAACAGGTGCCAGCACTCCAGTATACAGTGTGAGTCACTGGTGGTAGGAGCCGCGGCTTAATCCACTGCCCCACACAGTGACATTTGGTGTTCACGTCTGATCAGCACTTGTGCTCAGAGTGGAAGCTTTTTGAAAAATCTGAGTGCTTTCCAGTACAACATAATGTCATGTGCTGCCTGTCTTACTGGCAGTTGGCAGGCTTTCCCCAGAGCGTGAGCGCAGATGGCCTGAGCCAAGTTCTGTGCCCAGCCCTTTCCCTTTGGGTCCACGCAGTCCCCCGTGGCCTGTCTGAACTGTGAGTAGCCCCTAGGCCCTCCTGCAACAAGTGACCAAGGGCAGTCCTCAGCGCAGGTCATGCTCAAGGTTACACAGCCTGTCCCCATCTCTTACAGACACCCGAGATTGTGAAGATACAGTCGCTGTTGAGAGCCAGTCGCGCCCGGGGCGACTACAAAACACTGGGTAAGTTGAGGCCTAGCTTTCCGCAGTTGCCCCCTGGGCTCTGCTCCAGTGACCACTGAGAGACATCCTGGGAGGGGACACTGCTTCCTCTTTGCAAGTCAGTGGGAGGTTGGAGTCTATGGCCTCACCCAAGATTGTCAGGGCCGTCAGCAGCCTGTGCCACCCCCTCCCTGCCCACACACACACACATACTCTCTAGAAGATGTTGAGTTAGTGCGAACCATGAGAGTAAACCCCTTCCTTGTCTCTGCCCTGGAGTAGACGCTGCAGCCCCCTTGGTTCCCAGCAAGGACCCTTGGAAGTGGTTGGTCAACGAGGATGCTGGCATGGGGCTTGTGCAGGATTTGGATCCTGAGTCATTTCAGGCCCCCCATTCCTGTGTCTGGGGTGGCACCTAGAAGGGCATCTAGGACAGAGCCAGCAGTTGGGGGTTGGCCTAGCTGGGTCTCCCCAGCCCTTGTGTTGTTGGATCTGAGCCCTCATCCCTGAAGATCCCCTTTAGTCTCTCTTCATGGTTTTTAAACTTTCTCTGTTTTCAAGTTACTTGAGAGGTGGAGAGATGCAGAGATCTCATAGCCACTGAGTCACTGGCCAGTGCCCACAACAGCCAGGGTTCGGCCGTGCCAAGGCCGGGAACCAGGAACTCACACTCTCTCAGGTGGGGGCAGGGACCCAAGGGCTTGGGCCATTTGATACCTCCCATGGTGTGCACTAGCAGGGGCTGGATTGGAAGCTGAGCAGCTGTGATGTCACTGCTGTGCCACTTGTGGCATTTACCCAGAGTTAGTCTCACTGAGCATGTTGGGAGCCATGTTGGGAGGAGCCAGAGGGCTGGCATGGCAGGTACCAGGGAAAACTTGCGGAGTCAGCGAGACCTTGGGCCCTCTACATGGTTCTGGGCACCTCTCTGGTCAGAGTTCAGGCTGAGGGCTAGGCTGAGGTTCCTGAACGCTCTGGGAACCCTTGCCATCTCCCCGGCTCCTAGCTGGCCCCTGGGGTCCTGCCCTCTGACCCTTTCTCGCCCCACAGTGGGAGGCCTGGCTCCTCTCTGAGGCCTTTGGGGCTGGGAAAAACTGCCTTCTGCCCCTCCCCCTGAGGCCACAGCATCTCCCTGGCCCACCCCAGGTCTCAGTGAGGCTCAGGCCTCCCTTAGCAGGGCTCACACGCATGAGTTGGGGCCTGCATGGGACCCCTGAGTAAGTGGCAGATGGTGGGAGTGGAACCGCTTGGCCGCCTCAGTGTGGTGTGTGTGTCTGCCATGGGCATGGACCAGGCCGGCCAATCGTGTCAGCATTCCTGGCTGTGTCCCTGGCCATGTTCCAGGGGCCTTTGCGGACAGATCTGATTTCCCTCTTTGCCGGGCTATCCTCTCTCATGCACACCCTTCCTCCCCACAGTGGGCTCAGAGAACCCACCGTTGAAGGTCATCAGCAAGTTTGTCCACCTGCTAGACCAGAGTGACCTGGACTTCCAGGAGGAGCTGGAGGTGGCACGGCTGCGAGAAGAGGTGGTGACCAAGATTAGGGCCAACCAGCAGCTGGAGAAGGACCTCAACCTGATGGACATCAAGATTGGGCTCCTGGTGAAGAACAGGATCACACTGGAGGTCAGTGGGGTGGGCTGCAGCCATGTGAGCCCCCCAGGGGTCCTTGGGGGGCCTGACCCCTCCCCTGCCTTGGCCAGTGCCTCTTGGGCTGGCACATCCACAGCCTCCATTTTGTGACACACTTTGTCCCTTGGGCTCATTTCACGCTCCTGGGTGACAGAGAACCTCAGACCTGCTGTCCTGGGGGCCTCAGCCAGAGAGCCAGGCCTTGACAGCCCTGAGACAGGAGAGTGACAGCATGGGAACCTGCAAACACGCACAAGCTTGAAGATGTGACAGCCAAGCTCCTGTGGAGGAGCTGCTGCCTCATGCAGCCTAACCCATTGCTCAGGATGCCAGCATCCCATGGAAGATGGGGCGGGTTTGGGTTTCAGCTGCTCCACTTCCCATCCAGATCCCCGACCTTGGCCCTAGGAGGCAGCAGGTGACGGCCAGGTGCTTGGGTCCCTGCAACCCACTTGGGAGACCCAGACGGAGCTCCTGGCCCAGCCCTGGCTGCTGTCGCTATTTGGGGAGGGTAACAGGGCTTTCAATAAAGCAAAGGATTTTCAAAAAAATATTTATTTGAAAGGTGCCAAGACAGGGAAAGATCTTTCCATCCTTTGGTTCACTCCCCAGATGGCTACAACAACCAAGGCTGGCTCAGGCGGGAACCAGGAACTCCACCCTGGTCTTCCATGGAAGTGACAGGAGACCACGGACTTGGGCTGTCTCTTACTTCATTTCTAGGCCCATTTAGCAGGAAGCTGGACAGGAACTGGGACAAGACTTAAACTGGCATCCATACGAGATGCCAGTGCCAATGGGGCCATGAGCCCAGCCCCTGCCCACTTAACAGGCCAGTTTGTGTCTGCTCACATCCTCAGCCTGGAACCCCGACATGGCCCCATGTCCAGGAACCTCGTTACCTGCATTAAAAATTGAGGCAGGTACTTGACAGTCCTGTGTTCTGTCTACAGAGATGGGGATGTTAGCCCATTCACAAATGAGGAGGTGAGGAGGAAAAGCTGACTGGTCACAAAGCTGGCTGTGCGCTGCAGGAGCCCCTGTCAGCAGTTGGCAGCTTCTGCAGAAATGTCTGCCTCGTGGCATGTTAAATGGGGAGCCTGAGGCCATAGCCAGAAGGGTGAGCTATGTGGATCTCTCGAGCAGGCTAAGTATCAGTGCTCTCTGAAGCCATGAGCCTGAGTGTGCAGTGTGTATGTGTGTTTGTGTGTGTGAACTCCCTGCCCTCAGTGCAGTGTGCTCCCTGTCCTCAGCGTGTGTGCTCCCTGCCCTCAGTGTGTGTGTGTGAACTCCCTGCCCTCAGAGTGTGTATGTGTGTGTGTGCTCCTTATCCACAGCATGTGTGTTTGTGTGAGCTGAGAGCTACCCTTCTCTGTATGCCAGGCTTGGCCGTCTGGCGTGTCTAGAGCCTGCTGAGGTCCTGCCCTGTGGGAAGTGCATAGAAAGGTTCATGCAGTGAGAGGACTTTGTCACAGGTGTGTGGGAGGGGAGTACACCTCTTCCCCCTGTGTAGAAGCTGGTGTCTGTGGCCCTGGGGTCCAAGGAGGAATGTTGCACTAAGCTGGCTCTTGGACTGTCTGGGAGGTGCTTGTGGACGAGGGAGCCCTGCAGCCACCTGCCCACATGTCCCCACGCCCCGTCTGGTGGCAGCTGCACTTCTTTTCTCAGTGTTGACATATCTCCGAACCAAGCACTTCATGTCCCTGCTCCCTGCAGGGCATCGAGGTGACCTGGGGAGAGGGACACCAGCTTGCCGCAGAGCTGGGGAGTGGCCACAGGAAACTTTGTCACCCTGAGCTGGGAGCTGGAGTCAGAGGGTGCAGAGCTGGGGGACAGACCATGGTGTCTGCTAGGCAGGGCCTGGGGCAGAGAGGACACAGCTCGTGCACAACACCTCCTGTGCCCACACATGTCCCTGGCATACACCTCCCTGGGTGCATGGCCTTGGTGGGTCCCTGGGAGTGAAATGTAAGATTTGTAGGTAGTTTCTCCTGCTACCAGCTGATCAGTGGATCTGATTCCCGTGGATCCCAGTGTAGCTACCTTTTCTTTGTCATTTTTGCTTTTGGAGTCACAGCTGAGAAACCACAGACTCATCTGGGGGTCACAAGGATGCGGGCCTGACTTCCTCGCCCTCCTTCATGGCTTAGCTCTTGGTGTATCGCTGTGGTGTGGAACCTGGCTGTCCAGTTGTCCCAGCATGTTCATCTCCCTCTCCCCCCAGTGGGTGACCTGCTGTCCAGGTCACATTTGAGGGTTGGAGAAGCTCATCTTAGAAAAGCCAGACTCTCCCCAAGCCTTCTCTCTAACTTTCTTGGCTTCCTCATAAAGGGAGGGAAGGGGTGAGTAGTAACAGGTGGCAGCTTCCTCCCATCTCCTAAATTCTTCTTGCAGGATGTCATTTCCCACAGAACGAAGCTGAATAAGAAGAAAGGAGGCGAGATGGAGCTCTCCAACAGCCTGGACAATCATGGCATTAAGAGCCTGAGTAAGGAGAGAAGGAAAATCCTGGAAGCCTATCAACAGCTGTTCTACCTCCTGCAGGTGAGGGCCGCCAGCCTTCCCCAGCCAGGGCACATGCGGCCACAAGAGCCCATGTGTCCTGCATACCTGCTGTGCACTACGTGCAGCCAGGCTAATCTGATTTCCTACTGCATCCCAGGCCTAGAGCATGTGAGCACCCAAGGTATCCCCAGGCTGCAGAGTGAGACGTGGGTGCAGCTAGGCAATGCCCAGAGTTTGGCTTCAGAGCCATGCTGGGGTGATGGGACTGGTGCACTACATGCTGCTCACACCCGTGCTGCAGGGGATGGGAACCCAGCAAGAGTGGCCCATGGCCTTAGGGCTCCTGTGCAGCCTGCAGGTGCCTTGGTGCTGGTTGGAGGACAGTACAGGACACAGGGCATACACCTACCGAGTGACAGTGGCAGTGTTGTGGGGCCAGAAGTAGGAGACTCGGGACCCAGCTCCTCAGACAGGCATGGCTGCCGCTCAAGGGACATGGGGGAGCATGGCCAGGAGGCAGGCAGTTCCTGGGGACGTCCAGGAAAAGGGTACTTCCCAGCAAGCAGAGGGTGTTTTCCTGCCTGATTCAGATTGGCTGTCAGCCACGACATGGACACAGACTTTTTCTTTTAAGATGTGTTTGTTTAAAAGTTACAGAGAGAGGGCAAGACAGGGAGACAGGGATCTTCGTTCTACTGCTTCACTCCCCACTGACTACAACAGCCAGGAGTCAGAAGCCTCATCTCGGTATCCCTTATGGGTGGCAGGGCTCTAAGGAGCTGAGGCATCCTCTGCTGCCTTCTCAGAAGCATTAGCAGGGAGCTTGATTGGAAGCAGAGCAGCCAGGACTCAAACCAATGCCCATATGGGATGCTGGCACCGCAGGCAGCAGCTTTACCAGCTGTGCAACGCCAGCCCCATGCCAACTGTGTTTATGCTCATGAATTGACGGGCTGTGGAGTTCCTTCAGGTTTCATTCCCTACTCATCCGGCACAAAGGAGTCAGACTCCAGTCATCACTGCCCTCAGCCAGGCACCATGATCCCTGATGTGCAAGTGAAAAGCAGGAAAACCAGGGACCTGCCTAGAAACACCCAAATTCCTGTTGCCTGAGCAGCCTGCAGCCCGCACCTGACCACTGGGCTGTGTCCAAGGAATAGGTTAGAACCATGGCCCACGCCTGACCACTGGGCCATGTCAAGGGGACAGGCTCAAAACCACAGCCCGCACCTGACCACTGGGCCATGTCAAGGGGACAGGCTCAAAACCACAGTGCAGCCTGCCCACTGGGCCATGTCCAGGGAACGGACTCGGAACCACAGCCCACACCTGACCACTGGGCCATGTCAAGGGGACAGGCTCAAAACCACAGTGCGGCCTGCCCACTGGACCATGTCCAGGGAACGGACTCGGAACCACAGCCCACACCTGACTACTGGGCCATGTCCAGGGAATGGACTCGAAACCACAGCCCACGCCTGCCCACTGGGCAGTGTCCAGGAAAGGGAACAGGCTCAAAACCACAGCGCAGCTTGCCCACTGGGCTGTGTCCAGGGAAGGGACTCGGAAGCACAGCCCACGCCTAATCACTAGACCATATCCAGGGAAGGGACCCGGAACCACAATCCATGCCTGACCACTGGGCTGTGTCCAGGGAAGGGACTCGGAACCACAGCCCACACCTGACCACTGGGCCATGTCCAGAGAATGAACTCAGAACCACAGCCCACACCTAACCACTGGGCCGTGTCCAGGGGACAGGCTCAAAACCACAGCCCGCACCTGACCACTGGGCCATGTCCAGAGAATGGGCTCAGAACCATAACCCATGCTTGACCACTGGGCTGTGTCCAGGGGATGGGCTCAAACCACAGCCCATGCCTGACCCCTGGGCCGTGTCAAGGGAAGGGGCTTGAAACCACACATTCCTCCCTCTGTTCTGTCTTCCTTTGCCTCATTTCTCAAGATCCGTGGGAAAACAACAGAGCTGTGAACCGCCTGGGTTTCTGGTCCCCTGGATTCCTCCCGAACAGGACTCCTTCCCTGCATGGCAGGTGTGCTGCTCCAGGCTTTGCCTCAGGGTGCTGTGCCCAGAGCCAGCGTTCAGAGTCCCACAGGTTGCTGGAGGGAGGCATGGTTCTCCACCAGGAATCCAGGAGGCAGTGAGAAATAATCCCTACTATAGAGCTGTGGTGGGAATGGTCCCCCCGGAGCTGTGACAAGGAGGTGCCAAGGTCCAGGTAGCCACCACTGACCTGAACAGCGGCATGTCACATCAGCCTGGTGTGGGGATTTCTTTGAAAAGTTTGCAGTCAAACTCCCTGAGTGGATGCAGTGAAGTGAGCCCTGGGTTTACAGCCAAACTGGCCGAGTGCGTGGGGTGCAGTGAGCCCTGGGTTTACAGCCAAACTGGCCGAGTGCGTGGGGTGCAGTGAGCCCTAGGTTTACAGCCAAACTGGCCGAGTGCGTGGGGTACAAGGAGCCCTGGGTTTCACATGCAGGAGATGCAGTGCAATTGTCATGCTGGGAGCCCCTCTGCAGCCCAGCCTCAGTGGCCCCTCTGCCCTCCCCTCATCCCAGATCCTTCTGGGGTGGGGAGACGTCATCAGTCTTAGCAGTTCCATGTCCATCCTGGTCACCTGGGTGCCACTGATCCCCCACCAGCCCCCCTGACTTCTCCCTCCCCACTTACCTCCTTGCAGAGTGCCATGGCTGCTGTGTTCTCTCCCTGCCGTTCCCTCTGTTTCTGGCACCTTCTGTGCACTGAATCCCTTGTGTCTTTGGAGATCCCTGGGTCCACCCTCTTCTGCGTCTCAGTAGTGATGTAGACCTGTGACTCCAGGTCTCCAGGGGAAAGCATGTTAGCCTAGGCATGGTGTGGGAGATGTCTGTGACACTCAACCACTCCTATGACTTGTGACACATGTGACAATATTAAGATATGGCCATGTCCTATGACACATCTGACATGTCTGACAAGACAAATGTGACCGTGTCCTGTGATATGTGTGATGTGACACTCAGACATACCTATGACACATTTGTGACACAATATTAAGATGACCGTGTCCTGTGACAGGTCTGTGGCAAAGACATTCAGATATGATCATATCAAGGGGCACATCTGTGAAATGGCTGTGTTAGGAAGCGCCCATGGCATGGCTTGCTTTGGTGGCACCCTGAGGCACGGTGACAGTGGTCTCAGCTGGCACCTCTGGACATCTCACTTTTGGCCAGCTAGTGATATGTAAATGAGACGCTACTGTCCAAGGGGTCATTCCCTGACCTGTGTTTTGTGTGCTTGGCTTTCCCCACAGACCAACCCCTCATACCTGGCCAAGCTGATCTTCCAGATGCCGCAAAACAAGTCCACGCGGTTCATGGACACCGTGGTCTTCACGCTGTACAACTATGCCTCCAACCAGCGGGAGGAGTACCTGCTGCTGAAGCTCTTCCAGACAGCACTGGAGGAAGAGGTCAGGTATGTCGAGGCAGCGGGGTGGCGGGGATGAGACCACCAAGATGGGAGCCTCAGGGTAGGCTGACCTCAGGTCTGTACCTAGTGTGACTTCCTCTGGCCAGCAGAATCCTAAGTTGCTGTCAGGCTGTCACACCCTCAATAGGGAATCCTTCCATCAAAGTCAAGTGCAGCGGAGGGGGACACATGAGAGGACGTTCCTGGACCTGTGCAGAGCCTCATGGCCGGAGTGACAGGGCCTGTGCCATGAGGGCAGTGCAGGGAAGGAATTGCTGGTGTGTCATGGAAACAGGCCTGTGGTGGGGGAGGAAGGCCTTGTAAGGAGGAGAGTGGGGCTGGTCTGGCCCCTTGGTGACGCCCTGGGTCACTGGGCAGTAAAGGCAGGCGGTGTGGCTATGCCGTCCACATTCTCGAAGCTGAGAGATCTGCGGCTCCTGCCACCTAGCAACAGGGATGTGAACATGACGGCCACCTGCAGCACGTCTGTGGGTGGGGTCAGAGGCACGGAGTCTTGATGCTCCAAGTCATGGTGTGGGTGTAGACAGAGAAGTGAATATGTGCAGCAGGCCTCTGGGCAGGCGAGACAGCAGGCAGGAGGCTCAGGTCAGGGGCTAAGGTGAGAGCACGGGTCCTGAGGAGATGGGGAGCGGGCCGTGCTGTGCGTGGGTAACAGGGGTGGCAAGCCAGCTGCAGCTTGTTATCTTCCACTCACCCTGTCTGCCCTACTCCCACATGCAAGGGCTCTCAAAACAGCTCATGGAAAATGGAATGAAAATTGTTTATTTTTATCCAAGTGTCTTGAAGTCCAGGCATGTTTTTCCATCATAGCATTTTCCATGACCCCTCACATGCTTGGATTTCAAACACTGTTGGCTCCAAAAATAATTTCATTCCATTTCCTGTGCACAAAGAGTCACAAAGTCAAGGAAAGCAGAATTCACCATGGCAAGATTGAGTGAAGGTGATAGGAAGCGGGGAGCAAGCAGGATGAGGATTAGAATAGGGCCAAATGGGAAAGGGGTGAGGAAGGGCTGGGCAGCTGGGGCAGGGGTGAGGGAGTGAGGAAGGGCCGGGCAGCTGAGGCAGGGATGAGGGAGTGAGGAAGGGCCGGGCAGCTGGTGCAGGGAAAGGGCATGGGGTCAGCCAGAAGAGGTGCTCTCTACCCTGGAGTAAGGCTGGGTTGCAGTGAATGTGGGTATGATAGGAAGAGGAAAGGGTTCGTTCCACTACAGGATTTCGTTTGCAAGTGGGCAGCTGAATGGGGCACCGTGTCTACCTTACTGGCATCCTGCAGTGTTGTTGCTGCCCTGCACATTTCCAGGTCCGACTGACCTTCAAGATTGACCAAGAGAGTGAATCCCATTTACCAGATGCTTAAAGTGCTCATTTCTTGGGCTGGTGCTAAGGCATCTTTGGTTAAGTTTCTGCCTGCAATGCTGACATCCAATGTGGATGCTGGGAAAGCAGTGGAGAATGGCCTAAGTGCCTAGGCCCCTGAACCCTCATGGGAGACCTGGAAGAAGCTCCCGGCTTCCAGCTTTGAACTGGCCCTGCTCTGCGTGTTGTGGCCATTTGGGGAGTGAGCCAGCAGATGGACAATAACTCTGTCTCCTTTGCTTTAACTCTGCCTCTCAAATGAAAACAAATCTTTTAAAGAAATGAAAATAAACCTTATTTTTAGGGAAAAAAAGAGGTGTTATTGCTTATTTGAAAAACAGAGTCACAGCAGGAGAAGGAGAAACAGAGACCTTCTGTCCACGTATGTGTCCCCCAGATGGCTGCAATGGCCAGGGATGGGGCAGGCCCAAGCCAGGGAGCCTTATCCAGGCCCCACCTGGATGGCAGGACCATCTTTACTGCTTTTCCTAGGCTGGGAGCTGGATTGGGGATGGAGCAGCTGGAACACCAGCCAGTGCCCACATGGGATGTCGGGGTTGGCTTTTCTGCTGCACCCTAACACTAACCCCAAGAAGTGCTTTTTACAAATGGTCTCTGCCAAAGAAATGTGACTCCAGAATGCCCTGGAATGCATGTTGTATAAATGGTGCCTGGGGTTGGTTTTCAGATCCAAGGTGGACCAGCTACAGGAAATTGTCACAGGAAACCCCACAGTCATCAAGATGGTTGTGAGCTTCAACCGGGGCGCCAGAGGGCAGAGCTCACTGCGGCAGCTGCTGGCACCTGTGGTGAAGGAGATCCTTGAGGACAAGGCCCTGGTCATCAACACCAGCCCCGTGGAGGTGTACAAGGCCTGGGTGAACCAGCTGGAGACGCAGACCGGGGAGGCCAGGTGAGACGGCCAGCAGCTCCTGCCACAAGTTGCACCTTTCCCTGTCCAGACACAGCCGCCTGTCAGCGCCCACATGGGTCACATTGCACACCAGACGGCCTCAGCCTCTGCCAGCCTCCCTTTGTCATTTCTGTTTCCACGCTGTCGCACACAGACAGCACAAACTTTATACAGTCACCACAGATTCAGTGCATGAAGACTGACAGCCCGGGCAGGCCTGGCCTCACTCCACATGTTCTGTAGATCAGGCAGGGCCAGCGATTCCCTCCTGATGAGGAGGCTGCATGCACTGACGGAGAGGCTCAAGAGCATGAGCAGCTGTTGCAGCACTGCGTGCAAACGTGAAAAGGCGGGAAAATAGAAAAACTTACGTATGGGGGTGTGCACGGCACCAGGCAGGGTGGGCCTCTGTTTGGAATGACAGTGTGGATGGAGGAATATCTTATGTCTCAGTTACAGTTAGGAACATTGACCTGTGTTCTCAGGTATAACGGACATGCAGGGTTCATGTGGGTGTATATACATGTATTAACACCACACACAGGACAATATGGAGTTGATGCGCACTGTATTACATCCACACACATGTACACATGGGGTCTATATGGGTGTGTACATGCTGTTACACCCACACATGTGTATACATGGGGTCTGTGTGAGTGTGCACGCCGTTACACCGACACACATGTGCACATGTATGATCTTGTGGGTGCGCACACTGTTACACACACGTTTACATGTGGGGTCTGAATGGGTGCACACATGTGTATGGGTTGATACACTCCTCCATACATACAGTTTGGATGTATGCAGCTCAGTTATTGATGTGCACAAAGGGCTGATGGTGTTAGGTCTGAGGGATGAGAACTAATGTTCTGCATGTTGGTAGCTTGTTTGTATAAAGGCTTTTTTTTTTAATGGACAGATTGATTGACTGTAATCAGGAAAAATGAAAAGAAAGCCATTTGGCTGGGTCTCAGTTCCCTGGGAGTGTCTGTTTCTTTGCCCTAAGGCCCAGAGGCAGAACTTGAAGTCCCCCGCCCGCCCCATCCCCTTGGAGCATGTTGCTGTGTGCAGGTGTCCCGTCCACTGGACAGATCGTGGCTCTGACATCCATGGGCAGATTTAGGGCTTGGAGGAAGCTGGGTGGTTGCGCCACTGGCTGGAAGCCCCTGACACTGACACCTGCCTGTATTCCAGCAAGCTGCCCTACGACGTGACTACTGAGCAGGCGCTCACTCACCCTGAAGTGCAGGCCAAGCTGGAGGCATCCATCGAGAGCCTGCGCCGGGTCACAGACCGTGTCCTCAGCTCCATCATCTCCTCCCTTGACCTCCTGCCGTGAGTCGTGTTTGTGGCCACTTTGACCTTGGGGCGGAAGGTTCTGGAACACTGTGTGACTTAGGCACCAGGTGCAGGCAGGCATCCTCCCTTGTGTTCATACAAATTATCCACTGTGCCTGCCCCTCAGGTGCACCGCCTTAGGCCCTGGCGGCTCTGCTGCCACCACAGCTGTGGACACTGCCTAGTCATTGTCAGGCAGGATCCTGGGGTTCCATTTCCATCTCACTTTATGTTTGATTTTTAGGAAAATCGCACAGCCGCCGTGTCTCCTTTTCCATGATTTTCTTTTGTCATCTGTTTTACATGTAGTTATGGATTGAGGTATGTAGCCAAAGTGCTGAAGAGTTCCCTGCATGAGAAATTTCCCGATGCCACGGAGGAGGAGCTACTGAAGGTAGACTATCTGGGGCAGCCTGGTCTAGGAGCCCCACGTGCCACCCATGTGGCATGACTGTTGATGGGAGACCTCCGAGACTGCTGCCCTCTGAGGGACACATGGGGTCGGCAGCCTCGGTGAAGGGCCGCTCAATGAAGCAGCTTACTGCTGCCCCCTGAGGGCCCCGTGGGGTCAAGGGCCTTGGTGAAGGGCCCCATGAAGGAGCAGCTTACTGCTGCCCCCTGAGGGACGCATGGGGTTGAGGGCCTTGGTGAAGGGCCGCTCAGTGAAGCAGCTTGGTTTCTCCAACCTCTGTCAGGCCCCCGCCGAATACGGCATCTTCATGACCTGTGCTGAGCTCCTTGCTAGAAATCAGGGCAGAAGCGGTCTGCTTTCTCTTGCAATGTAAAACTAACATCAGATTTCCATTTTTTTTAAAATAAATAACCTGACACTGTGTCCTTTCTCATGGCCTTGGCAGATTGTGGGAAACCTGCTCTACTACCGCTACATGAACCCTGCCATTGTGGCTCCCGATGGCTTTGATATCATCGACATGACTGCCGGGGGCCAGATCAGCCCTGACCAGCGCCGGAACCTGGGCTCGGTGGCCAAGGTGCTGCAGCATGCGGCCTCCAACAAGCTGTTTGAAGGGGAGAATGAGCACCTCTCATCCATGAACAACTATCTGTCAGAGACGTACCAGCAGTTCAGGTGACAGCGCGTCGCTGCAGGGCTGTGGACAGGCAGGATGGGCACAGAGCAGGAGAAGGCCCAGCCTATAGCCTCCTGTCTGCCACACAAAGTCCTCCCGTTGTCCTGCTGCCGACACACAGGCTGAGCAGCTGGAGGGAGCGTGGCATCAGGTCCTTGTCTCCCTCCATGGAGCTCCAGGTCATGGCATGGGGTTTGTGGTGAGGTGTTCTCCAGCCTCTTGGCCTAAGGCCTGAGTTGGAGCCAAGGCTCTTGCTCTGAGATGCTGTTAGCCGATGGCTGTGTCTACCTGTCCTGTTCCGTCACAGAGCTGTTCTCGGCACGGATGCCACAGCCTGCGTCGCTGGGGAAGGAGGATGTCCAGCCAGGTTACAGGAGAGACACAGAGTTGGTCTCTCTTCATCTGTCCACGGGAAGTCACGGCCTCTTCTTCCTCTGGTTTGAAGAGTGTGGACAAAGGTGTAACTGCCGTGACACCCATGTTGGAATGTGGGGCGTCTTCTGGCCCCTTACCCAGGGCCTGTGGTGTTCTGGATGCTGATTTGGCCCTTGGAGCTTCCTCCATTTCCCTCCCTCCCCCGACTTCCCTGTCAGCTGTGCAGGCCACTACCTCCCAGGCACTTAGAAACAGCCTCCAGGCCCAGCCTCAGCTCCTTGGAATTCCTCCTTTTCCTCTTGACTGCTTTGCATCCTCATAGGGGCATTCATGGCCAGGTTTTGACAGGTAGAACCTGCCATCCTACTGCCCCTGGGGACACAGGGCCTGCAGTCCGGTTAGTGGGGTGGGAACACTGAGAAGCCCCAGAGGAGATGGTGACAGCTTTATGGAACAGACCTGGGATGTATGTGCTTTTGACACATGGCTCTTCATGCTTCTGTCCATGTGAGCATATGATGGTCTGGGCTTGGGGCATGTGACTACCGTGGGCCTCCGTCACAGCTGTCATTCCTGTCAGCCGGGAAGGGGGTGGACTTTCTCAGGTTTGCCCCACTGGGCCCTCAAGCGGTGAGTGCACTCGCCCAGGCTGGGCCGCCTGAAGCAGCACATGTCATGACATCTGACCAAGAGTTCCTTCTCAGATCCAGAATTGCCAGTCTGGATGTTTTTATTTGAATTTCAGAGGCTGTTTCTTAAACAATAGCCTTTTCAGGGTGCCCTGCCCCAAACTGGAAGGTGTAGAGCCAGGAGAGAACTGAGGGCTCTTATAGCTCTCCTCAGCCCTGTGTAACAGGTGGGTTCCATGTCCAGAACATGGACACAGAAGAAGCTGTGATAACTGGAGAACAACTCACCGTCACTTAGAATTTCCTGTATCTTCCTTCTTTCTTTGGAAGAGAGACAAAGGGAAATCTCTTGAGTCTGCTGATTTATTCTCTAAAATCCTACAGTGGTCAGGTCTGGATCGGAACCAATCCAGGAGCTCGGCCTGGGCCTTCCTTGGGTGGCTGTGTCCCAGGTTTGCACCGTCACCTGCAGGAAGCTAAAACTGGGAGCAGAGCAGGGACTTGGACCATGTCCCCTCCTACAGTGCCCAGAGCTGCCCCTGTTTCCCTGCTTGAGACTGACTCACAGATTTGGCTCTGTCTGAAGGAACTACTTCAAGGAGGCCTGTGATGTCCCTGAGCCAGAAGACAAGTTTAACATGGACAAGTACACAGATGTGGTGATGGTCAGCAAGCCAGTCATCTACATTTCCATTGAAGAGATCATCAACACGCACTCGGTAAGGGCGCTGGGCCCAGCACCTGATGTGGGGGAGCAGATGTGTGCAGTGGGACAGGCATGGTTTAACATGGGTGACCAAACACATTTGGACTTGCGAAATGCAATGTGGGCAGTGATGGAAGTGGACAGTGATGGGAGTGGGCTGACACCGGTGGTCAATCCTGAGCACACTGGCGTGCCACGTGGTGGTGGATGTGTGTGCCCTGCCTGGAACTCTCTACACTCACCTACTCCTTCATCCAGTCACATCCCCAACCCTGGCCTGGTGAGATCAGGCCACTAAGCCAGGTGGCCAGCACTTGAGGCCCTGAGAGTCAAGGTCTGTGTCCCCACCAGACAGAGCCAGTGGGAATACCCCAGCTTTGGATCTGAAGCAGGAAGAAGGGAAGAAGCTGTTTGGGGAAGAGGAGGGGCTCCTATGCATCAGAGCTGCCTGCCCAGGATCTCTTCTGGATGTGGAAAGCTGTCCCTGACCCCGTAGTGAGGAATAGGGAGCATCCCTGACCCCAGGATGTCACAGGTTAAGCACCTGTTGGCGACAGGAGGCGTAGGAACCTTCAGCAGATGTCCCTGCATTCAGAGTAAAGAGAAGCTGAGCACTAAGGCAGTTTGAGACCATATGAAATTCATTTTCTGAAAAATCTAGGCTCTGTAAAGTAACTTAGAGGAATTGTTCCATAATTGGATCACCCAAGCAGGGGCCAGGAGACCCGTGAGATGGGCCTGAAGCCTGGATGAGAGCTGCTTCATAGTACGTGCCTGGGGGCTCAGAAGCTCCAGGTTTGAGCCCCCAGCTCAGGGTCTCCTAGAAACCCAGCCAATACACTTCTCAATGTCCTGAACCTGCCACGTGGAGCAGATCCACTCAAGGCCGCAGACTATCCTCACGAGCCTCCCTCTCTCACCAAGCTGCTCTACATGCTGAAGCTTCAGCAAGGGCCTGGAGGAAGGGCTGTGTCGGTTCTTCATCCCATCATCTGTTCGTTTAAAAGGCAGCTACAGAGAGAATTCTCCCCTTGCTGGCTTATTTCCTAAATGCCCACAAAATCCAGGCCAAAGCAGGAGCTAGGAATGCCAGCCAGGTCTCCCAGAGGCTCAGGAACTCCAGCTACCTTCTGCTGCTTTCCCAGGTGCATTAGCAGGGAGCTGAACCAAAACTGAAACAGCTGGGTCTTGAACCAGTGCCCTGATGCAGGATACCAGCGTAACTGGCACCATCATGCCTGCCCCAGATGCGGTTTTGACACTTCTGGACTGTGACGGGGATTGACTGTGATGTTCACAAGCTCTGGGCATACCCAGGTCAAAGGGCAACTGCCCAGCCATGCCCGTTCACAAAGGTGCTCCTCAGGCAGGCAGGCAGGCCCCTCTGTATGAGTCCTGACCCATCCGGCAGGCTGGCAGGCCCCTCTGTATGAGCGCTGGCCCACCCAGCAGTCAGCTCCTGTGGCACCTTGTGTATCCTGAACCCTGCGTCTACGCATTGCTGGGGTGGATACATTCCTGTCACAGCACATTGCTGGAAAGGGTACGTTCCTGTCGCGGCTTGCTGTCTGCTTCTTTGTCAACAAGAATTGAAAACAGAGCTCATCTCTGGGAACGGGGCTCGTGGCCAGTTCGCAGTTCTCAGTGGGCTGGGCTGGGCGGATGTCAGGTGGGGCCACGTCTCTCTCGGGGCCACATGCTTGCCCCTCCTGAGGAATGTAAAGCTAGAGATGCTGTCATGAGCTGGGGAGGAAGCCGCCTGGAGCACATACCCATACATGCAGGCCTCTAACATTGCATCCCATTGCCTGCCTCCCAAAACACTGCCAGCACAGCCTGTCCCAGCACCACTGTCCGCTGTTTCTGGCCATTGATGACAGCATGCACAGAGCACCTCTGGCTGTGCCTCCCTCAGGCAAGTCAAGGGCATGGACACAGGAGAGCTACACCAGGCGCTGCCCAGCTGCGGCTCTCCTCTGCTGACGCTCCAGGAGGATTTGTCTTTTAGAGCCGTGCATGAAGTGGATAATGCTCTTGTTGATCATCTCAGTAATGGGAGGAGGATGCAGTGGCTGTTGTCCACTCAGGTCCTCAGCAGTCAAGGAGACCTTGTGTGTGGTTCATTTGTTCTCAGCAAAGACCAAGGCAGCCCTCCCTGACCTCCATGGGAAAGAGCCTAAGAGCTGGCATTGTAGCATAGCAGGTAGTTGTCGCCTGCTACGTGCACCGGCGTCTCTTATGGGCTCCAGTCCGAGTCCCAGCTGCTCGACGTCCCATCCAGCTCCCTGCCTGTAACCAGGGAAAGCAGTGTGGAGAATGGCCCAAGGCCTTGGGATCCTGCACCCACATGGGAGACCTGGAAGAAGTTGGCTTTTAACCAGCCCCACTCCTGCTGGTGTGACCATTTGGGGAGTGAACCAGAAGATGAAAGATTTTTTTATGTCTCTCTCCTCTCAGGAACTCTGCAGTTCAGATAAATAAATAAATATTTAGGGATGGAAAAGAAAGAGTGGCAGGAAGTAGTACTGGGACAGCCAGACATGCACATCCCAGGTCCTTTCCATGACCCCATACAAAAAACAGCTCAAAACTGACCCTGCACCCACACGAGGAAGCTGGAACAGCAGGGAACTCCCCAAGCGAAACCAGAGTAAGTTTGCAACCCGGGCTCTGGCAACAGACTGAGATACAAACACTGAAGTCATAGGAGAGGTAGACAGTGTTTCAACACGGACAACTGTGCTATGAATGGTGCCGTCAGAAGATCAAGAGACCTTGAGATGGACTATGAGGCAGTTACTGCCACCAAGCTGCATGGCCAGGACACATATACAAATCCCGCAACTCAGTGATGGATAAATAGTGTCAAATGTGTCATTTCCCTGGCAGGGCGCATGGCTCCACCTCAGCTATACCTCAGGTGAACCATCCACAGTGTAAAGGTGCACCTGACGGGGGCTGCCGGCCCTGTGCCAGAATGCGTCACGCTGTTAGGTGCCCCAGCAGGAAGACAGGCAGGGAGAGACCTGGTATAGCCAGGCGGCAGATGGCGTGACAGTTCCTCAGGAATTGGAGAGTCATATGATCTGGCATTTCTGCATCGAGAGTGCTCCACGGAACTGGAACTAGAGACAAGAGAAGGAAAGCCCTCCCTGACCACCACCACCTCCTCCATTTACAAGAACATCAGTCCTGAAACCAGGCGTTCAGTAGTAGGTACAAGGATCGCAAGATGCTGTGAGGGCATCCCTGAAGACAGAGGTGTGAGAGGGTGGAACCCTAATACCTGCCCAACACGGGGGACCCCGAGGACAAGCCACTGTAAAATGGGCACATGCTGGCAGATTCCACAGCAATGGGAAGGCATGGCTTCAAGGGACTGCAGGGAATGGGCAGTGGGCAGGGTCCATCTTGCCAGAGTGGGCAGTGATGGCTACTGGGCCCATCCTGACAGGATAGGCAGTGATAGCTGCTGGGCCCGTCCTCTCAGGGTGGGCAGTGATGGCTGCTGGTCATGAGCTGTCAGGGTGAGCAGTGACTGATGCTGGGCCCATCCTGTCAGGGTGGCAGTGATGGCTGCTGGGCCCGTCCTCTCAGGGTGGGCAGTGACGGCTGCTGGTCATGAGCTGTCAGGGTGGGCAGTGATGGCTGCTGACCGTGTCCTGTCATGTAGCCCCATTCTTGTTCTGAAATCAGAACAGGTGACGAATACCCACCTCTGAGCATGCCTCCAATGTGGTTACATATATGTAAACTTTGGTGAGTTTGTGAGGTTTGACTCGTGTCTCAGTAAAACTGTTGGAACTAAAGATTAAAAACAGAAACCAGACTTTAGAGATGGCTGAGGTACAGACATCCCTGACTGTGCCTCTTCCAGAGAACCCTGGGCCCTTGTGTGGGGATGTTGTTTGGATTTCATCAGGGTCCCTAATCCAACAGACAAGAGTGTCTTCAGCCCTTCCCCCAGCACTTTTCTTCCTGTAGATGTTCCCCCTGAGACCCGGCCCCATTTCCTGACTCAGCCCAAGTCTTTGGGTCCACCCCACAGGAAACCACCCACTCCTTCTGTCTGAGTCTCAGACAAGAAACAATTTGGTTTGGCGGCCAGCAGCCAGGCCAGTGTGATTAAAGACAGCTGAGTGGAAGCCATGCAAATGGGCTTCCCTGGCTGGGGCACATCAGCCCTCCCCTACCCTCCCCAGTGGGCGCTTTGCTGTGCAGCTGGGCAGGAACAAAGGGGTGGCGGGAGTGACCTCACTGGATGAGACATTCTGAACACTTCCTGCTGTGGTTTCTTGATGCTGCGAACGTACTTTGCTCTGGGGAAGTGAAAATCTCTGATCGCTCATTTTATTAAATCTCAGGCTTGCATTCTGACTTGAACAATACTGAGAGGAAGCTGTGACTTACTTGAAGTGTAACACTTTGCATAGCTGACACGTGTTTGAATGCATGTCACTGTAGCAGTTCTGACAGCTGTGCGTTGACGTGTCACTGCAGTAGTTCTCACACGTGTGTGCTAACATGTGTCACTGCAGTAGTTCTCACACGTGCTGACATGTATCACTGCAGTAGTTCTCACGTGTGCTAACATGTGTAGCAGATCCCAGCCCTAGCTCACTTGCACGCCTGCTTCCCTCACAGCTCCTGCTGCAGCACCTGCCTGCCATCGCCCCTGAGAAGAACGATTCCCTGAGTGAGCTGCTGGCATCACTGGGGGAGGTGCCCACTGTGGAGTCCTTCCTGGGTGAGAACTACTCCTTTGCCTCAGTCACAACTGGAGTTCATTGTGAGGTTTCCTGTCCTAGGGAGAAGGAATGAAAGCTTGGGAAAGGGGTGACAACTGCCCTGCTGGGGCAGAGCTCATGGTGTGGGCACTGTGATTATAATAGTGCCTGAAGATAGACTCCGACTGTGGCGGGTGCCCACAGCCTATGCCACCAAGGACGAACCCTGTCTGTGGACACCGCAGCCCCTCCTGTGTGTCCTGGGGATTCCTCACTCGGCAGTGACCACTCTGTAGTCTGCCCAAATGGGAGGCTCTGCATCCCTGGTTCTTATAACAGTGCTGCCAGCTGAGCCGAGGCTTGGTTCCATGAGGATACGACCTTTCCTTCCCCTCCCTTCCCTTCCCCCTCCTTTCCCTCCCCACACAGCCTTTCTCACATGCCATAAAGTCACCATCACCCTGCCAGCTGACTTGCTACCATTGCTGTTTCCCCCAGGGGAGGGATCCATGGACCCCAACGACCCCAACAGGGAGAGCACTCTGAGCCAGCTTTCCAAGACTGAGATTTCCCTCTCCCTGACGAGCAAGTACGACGTAGGCAATGGTGAAGCTGTGGATAGTCGGAGTCTCCTGATACGGTGAGTGTGGCCTTGAGGGTTCAGGGCTTGGGTTCCACCGGGCAGAGTGTGAAGATGGAGGTGTGTTCAAGCATGAAGTGTCTAACGCAGGGAGGACGGCGTCCACAGTCCGGCACGGGAGGACAGCAGCTGGGAGGGTCCCTGGCTTCCCAGACACTGTGTGGGTTCTTCCAGAAGTTCATGCAAATTGCCTCATGCAACGGCCACACAGGTTCGGGTGCAGGGAGGGAGGGGGTGGACCGTGCAGGCTGATTCCTTTAGGTAACAGCTCAGCCTGAGCAGCCGCGGGTGACTATTTCTACGTGGCTGGGAGGTGGGCCTGTGGCCGGGAGGTGGGCCCACTGCTCCCTCTAAGCTCCCTGGAGGTCCTTGGAAGTGACAGGAAGGACCACTTTCCTGATTGGTTTGTGGTGGACTTAACACCACTGTCCACCTGCAGTCTGCTCCCACATCTGCATCAACCAGTGAAAGTCATGCTTTGGGTCTAAGACAGAGGAACAGATACCTGAACATTGTATTTAGTGTTTCTGCACACTGCATGGCCAGGCTTCTCCACGTTCCTATGAGGTTGTAAAGAGCAGGCACGCCTGGGCAGGGCTGTACCTGAGCTCAGAGCCCCGATGCCCTGCCCTGCAGCCAGCCAGTGGCTACATTGTTTTCCATGAAGCCCACCCACAAGATGAGTGTGCTATCCAGGAGTATACTGTGTGTCTTCAGGGTCAATGGCTGTTGAGGCCCTGGGTGCCTGGACCCCACATCCATGACTGCTGGGGAGGCAGGCACATGCGCCTCCTGGGGCTGGTAGCTACACATAAATGGGGGTCCAGGATAGGACCTGGACAGAGGCTGATGGGAAGCAGCATTCCCAGTGAGAAGGGCTGTTGTAGCTTTCTGTTCTAGAACAGGACCTGAACAAATCAGTCCTCATTGTCCCCAGTCGTTGAGCAGTTACACAGCTCCTGTAGGGAGAATGGGCCAGACTGTCCTACAGCGTTCCCAGGGGTAGATAGAGAACAGTGTCCTGGGTCATCCTATAGCATTCCAGGGGGGAGACAGCTGCTCTAGGGAGCTGTGGACCAGGCCATGCTAGAGCATTCCCAAGGGGAATAGTGCCCCAAGTGGTGCTACAGCATTCCAGGGGAGACAGCTCCTGCAGAGAACAGCATTCCCACAGTGATAGACTGTCACCTGCTCACATGCTCCCAGTCACTCAGTGCTTTTACTTGTAGCTCAGCATCCTGTTTGGCACACTATGATGGAGCAGGGGTTGTCCAGGGAGGAAATGACCCTCAGGGTGTCACTGGCTGTTTGCCCACCCTGAGTCCCCTAGGCTTTCTCAACCCACCCTGGGCCCCACGACAAGGGTCCACAGAAGTGGCTCTCCTGGAGCCGTGAGGAATGAGGGCAAGAAGCTACGCTGATCCCATCTCACACATAACTGTAGCATAGGGAAAGGAGAAGGACAATGCATTGGGTCGTCCCATGGACCCAGAGCTCATATGGAGAACTCACTTGGGAACAGTTGCTGTTGGGTCAGGATGCGGGGCTGTAGGTTTTGTCCCTGCATCTCCCAACCATGAGCCTTCCCTGCTGCCATCTAGGGGGCTCACTGGGCCCCGAAAGGGCAAGGGGAGCCTGTCAGAACTGAAGGTAAACACAGCGACTCTCTCTCGTCAGCCCCATCTGTCTGCCTCGGGCAGCTTCTGAGTGTGTGGGGGTGGGGAGGTGTCTGTGTGCGCATGCACACGTGTGTCTGTGTGCTGCAAGGGAACCCTTCCCAGATTCCCAGCGTTGTCCGCCACTCCGCCACTTCCGGGTTAAAAGCCTTGGGCAGATTTGACCTCTAAACTTTTCTGCAACTCCATGCCATGGGAATGGCCAACTGTGCCAGCACAAGTCTTGAGTGGCTGGACCCCTGTGCTCTGCCTGCAGCTGAGGACCCAGCCCGGCTGTTGTATTTGAGTTCTCCCAGTTCTTGGGTGCCAGTGCCCACTGCTGCCCTGTAGCTGGCAGCCCACCACCCTCTCACAGCAGGAACAGGTGGCTAGCCTGGCCCCACATTACCCTGACTCAGGTGCCAAAAGCCACTCAGGACATGGGACACTGTTCTGCTCCCTCTGTCCACCCTTGTCCCTCCAGCCCCCACACAAAAGGAGAAGTCCCACAGGTGACGAGCCTTGGATACTCTTGTGCCCATTGTGTGACTGTGTGAGCCTATAGCACCCAGACAAGGATGCTTATGAAGTACATGTGGAGCCTCCAGCACAGGACAGGCCACTCAGTGCTCTGGCCAGTGAGCTGCTGTCCAGGCAGCCTTGCTGTGTGCAGGAGGACTGTCTGAATGTCTCTTGCCTGCTCTGTCTTGCAAGGACCAAGAAGCTGATTGTGGACGTGGTCCGAAACCAGCCTGGGAGCACCCTGACGGAAATCCTGGAAACGCCAGCCACCGAGCAGCAGGTCTGAGTCAAGAAGGCACCAACTCCCCATCCTGGTGGATGTTCATATGAACATGACCCCCAAATTCAGCCCATGTCTGTGGGGAAGGCTGTTCTGGGGCTCCCAAGCTGCTGGTGCGAACCCCAAGGTTTGGCACATGGGGACTGGGTGTGGAAGAGCTGGAAATAGTTCTGGGAGGCAGGAAGGGAAAGCTGTCAGCCGTGCCAACTTGCCACGGCAATGAAGTGGCAGGCCCCGTGACACAGCTGTTGGTTGTCCTCATACTGTGCCCACGGGTCAGAACCCTCCAATTCCGAGCCAGAGACCAGCCTGCATGAGACCCACAAGGTGACATGTCTGCTCGGCCACTGGGGAATGAACATCACAGTGTCACGTTCAGTGTCAGTGACTGCCTCCCCTTCACTGTGGCAGAGCTTCTCAGCTGACCACAGGGACATGCCCTGACTTAGCCTCAGACGTGCTGGCTGCTGGAGACTCTCCTGGGTTCTGATTTTACAGACATGAGACAGAACCTGACGGTACTGTTGCTTGTCACTGGGCATTTCAGATGTGGCTGTAAGTCACTGTAAGAGACTGTGCTTGTTAGATGCCTTCCTTCCCCCAGATGCTCCTGTGCTGAGGGACTGGGGTCCCACCCTCCAACGTGTGTACATGGGCCCATGGGAGCCCCTCTATGCTGACTGGGGTCCTGCCCCTCCTACGTGTATACGTGGGCCTGTGGGAGCCCCTCTGTGCTGACTGGGGTCCTGCCCCTCCTACGTGTATACGTGGGCCCGTGGGAGCCCCTCTGCGCTGAGGGACTGGGGTCCCACTCCTCGCACATGTGTACATGGGCCCATGGGAGCCCCTCTGTGCGGAAGGACTGGGGCCCTGCCCTACCACGTGTGTATGTTGGCCCATGGGAGCCCTTCTGTGCTTCAGTTTCCTCAGCTGTGCAGTGGGAAGAATGACAGTGTCCCTGACTCATGGTCCAGGTTAAACCATGCTACAGGGAGGCGTTTGATCTGGAGGCTGAGGTTCCTGTGCCCAGTGTCAGAGGGTCCAGCTTTAGACCCTGACTCCAGCTGCTGCTGAGGCAGACCTTGGGGGCAGCTGTGATGGCCGAGATAGCTGGGCCACTGCTGTTTACATGGAAGCCCTGGATTCAGTTTCCAGCTCCCAGCCTGAAGCTCAGCTGACCTCTGAAGAGTGAACCAGTGGGTGGGCACCCTGCCTCTCTCCCACCTTTCTGTCTCAGAAGGGACACTGCGTGGGCAGACTGCCTGGTGGGAGTCTCACCTGCAGAGTGGTGGCATCCAGTGCTCACTTGCCGTACATTATGGGAGGCAGGAGAATCCCTAACCATGCCGTCCAAGTGGTTTTCATCTGTGCACATGACACCATCCAGGACCTTGCTGTGCTAGAATTCCTGGTTTTTCTGGTCCATTAACAGCTGCCTGCTCCTGGGCCAGACTAAAACCTGGGTCCAGGAGCTCCCTCAGGGTCTCCCATGTGGGCCCAGGCACCTTGGACATCCTCTGCTGCTTCCCAGAATACAGCAGGAGGGAGCCAACAGGCACACACACAGGAGACTGGCATCCAGGGCTGCACGCAGCTTCTGACCTGTCAGGGTGGTGGCCACTCTGGGAAGGGAGTGAAGCCCTGCATCCATGATTGAGGGTTTCGAGACAAGCAGGTGTCAGCTGTCCCCTTGCAGGAGCAGGACCACACTGCAGATGTGGCGAGCCGTGCAGCCGCGGCCTCCAGGACCACAGGTGACCAGGGGCAGAGCCAGCCATTGGTGGAGGATGCTCAGCTGCCCCTGGAGCAGAAGAAGCGCAAGATCCAGAGGAACCTGCGGACACTGGAGCAGAGCGGACTCGTCTCCTCCGCCAACAAATACCAGGACATTCTCAACGAGATTGCCAAGGTCAGACGCTGGCATCCCCCCTCCCCCGCAAGGGTCTATGAGGCATCAGCCGCTGGCAGCGCTGCACACCTGGAGGGGAACGGCGGGGCTCAGTTAGAACAGCTTCAAAGTGGACGATGGCTTTGAGTGCAAACTAGTCACAATCCCCTGAGCTGGCAAGAGAGGGACACGGTTGGGGATGAAGGAGCAGAGTGGGCTGTCCCACGGTCCATGGTGGGGATGCGCCTGGGCCAGTGGCTGCTGAGGCCCCGCAGTCAGCTTGCAGGCCCCTGTCATGCAGAGGCCCCTCCTGTTTCCTGCCCCCACAGTTTATGGTGAGAGCCTTCCCGAGAAGCTTGTTCCCCACTCATCTGCAGGAGGAAGCAGCACAGTACATGCTGAGCTCTGTCTGCAGGGATAAGGGGGAAAGCACGTCTCATCTAACCTAGGTTAGAAGGGGGCTAGAGGCGAAATGATCTTCACTGCTCGGAAACAGGCAGTCAGCCAGGTGTCACGGGACAGGGCATGTTTCCCTCTGGGACTAAGGGGTAAGGAAAGCAATGCTTTTGATTAAAGAAGCATTTCCAGAACCTGCTGCAAACATGATTTGAAAAAGAAAAGGGCTGTCTAGAAGACCTACCCCCAAGGAATTCTGCTTTGTGAGCTTGTTCAGCTCAGGGTAGTGTGAGTGTGGGGCCCCTCTGCTCCCTGGAGACAGGCAGTGTGAGGCGGTCAGTCTCCAGTGTGGTGTCTGCCAGTGCATCAGTGCCAACTGCAAGAATGCCAGCTCATCAGCCATCAAGTGTGGCTCTTGTCAGCTGTGGGCAGCCCCCTCCATTTGTGTTCCAGGAATACTATTCACATCCAAACGCAGACACTTCTTGGTAGCTGGGGTTCTGAGAAATGTCCCCTCTCCACACCCTAGCCTTCACAGATACTCAGTCCCCTGTGAAATGACAGAGTGGGTCCTCGCCTCCCCTACCTGCTCGGAATCCTCCCAGGTGACTGGGAGCACTCAAGGCAGCCCTGGTACAGGAAGTGTTGCCCTTTGGTGTCACAAAGGGCATGGTGGCTGGGAACCAGCCAATACCCGCTCATCACAGATGCAGCCATAGGCAGTCTGGTGGCGCACAGAGGGTGGGGGTGGGGAAGAGCTGAATCCACAGGGACCCCGGCGGGGGGGTGCTGCCGGGGAGCACAGTGCACAGGGGACTGAATTCACAGAGGTGGGGGTGGGGGGAGGAGGGCAGTGCACAGGGGGCTGGATCCACAGAGACAGGGTGGGGGGAGGAGGGCAGTGCACAGGGGGCTGGATCCACAGAGGCGGGGTGGGGAGAGGAGGGCAGTGCACAGGGGGCTGGATCCACAGGACCAGGGTGGGCAGTGCAGGGGAGCCATGACAGTCATCAGGGCCAAATCCTCGCCATCTGTCTCAATTATCAATATTTGCCAGGTCCAAATGCGTCTTCACACATGTTGAAAAATGTGGGCTGAATGAAAGTGTTTTGCTTACAAGTAAAACGAATCCCAAAATGACTTTCCAGCCAAAAGCAGGAAGGATGCTGATAGTCTGAAGAAATGACAGGGCTCCTGCTCATGCCTCGGGGATCCTGGCAGAAGTGGTGTGTTTCTGAACTCCCTCGGCAGGGGCCTTGCAAACCTGCTGTGGACAGAATGGGGTTTGCAGTGCACCATCTGCTGAAGCACACTGCCCATGACGACTCACGGGCCAGGCCATGTCTCCTTCAGCCTCCCGCCCTTCCTTGTCGTTCCAGGATATTCGAAACCAGAGAGTCTACCGCAAACTCCGGAAAGCTGAGCTGGCCAAGCTACAGCAGACCCTGCTCGCCCTGAACAAGAAGGCAGCCTTCTACGAGGAACAGATCAATTACTATGACACCTACATCAAGGCCTGCCTGGACAACCTGAACAGGAAGTAAGTGAGAGCCCCAGGATGGTGTAGCAGGCTGAGCCAACAGCTCTGCTATGCGGTACATTCCTGCCTGCAAGCCTGCTCTATCCCGGGGATCAGCGTGGCACTCCCAGAGCTCAGCCCAGTGTTTGAAACCAGTGGACAGGCATTCGGGGATGCCCTGTCACTAGCTTGTCACTCACAATCCCAGGTGCTGCGAGAACGCTAGGGGTGCTGTATGTGCTTGGTCCAGTTGGGCAATGCCAGGTACCGGCCTGTGGCTCAGGGACTCTTGATGGCCTTACACTGTCTGGTGGCTGACGCAGCAGGCACAGTCTGCTGCCAACCCCAACATGCATCATAGATTTCTGCAGGCACCGCTGCCACCTGAGGTTTGCACTCCTGCGCATAGCTATCCTTACCATCTGGCTCAGGTTGATGTGCTCTGCCTGAGCCACTGACATGTGTGGCACAACATTCTCCTAGAATCTTCATATCAGCCGGGCTGTGCGGCGGTAGGGCTGGGGTGCACAGAAAGGTCCACAATTGCTTGTGGGTCTGAGTAAATCATGGCTTTGGGCCCACTCGGTCTTGACTTCAGTCTGCCTGCGGGGAGCAGGCAGCCGCTCTCATCTCCAGTGTGCTTGGGGTGGGGGGAGTGGGGAGGAGGTCAGCTCAGCTGCCATGTCCTCCCTCCACAGTAGGGATTGAAGTAGCATGTGGGGAGGCAGCGTCTCAGTCCAAAGCTTCACAGGAACAGGCGTGACATCTAGTAGTGGGAGCTGAGTTGGCCACGTGACCTGTGGCACGTCCAGGCAGGACGCCTAAGTCACCCTTGAGACCCAAGTCGGCCCCGTGGTCCCAGGCATTTGAGGGGTTAGCGCTGGCTGTCACCTGCCCAGCTTTCAGCTGCTTTCCAGGAGCACCTTCCCTCAGGGTGCAAGGTGAATGGTGGAGGCCAGGTGTGGGCGGCAGTACCACCCTGGGCACGGTCATTGCGAGACCAGGAGTGCCTGCCTCGGTTGTCCTGGCCACAGTTGCTCTGTGCTGCTTTTGGCAGAAACTCCCGGAGATCGATCAAGCTGGACAACAAGGAAGAGGCACGAGGAGCCAGGAGGGCAAAGCCTGTGCGGTACACAGCGGCACGGCTGCACGAGAAGGGTGTCCTGCTGGGGATTGACGACCTGCAGCCCAGCCAGTGAGTGGGCGACTGGTGCTGATGCTGGCCCGGCAGCACAGGAAAAGCGCTTTGTGGGTCATGAGTCACGTTCTCCATGGCCCCACTGCAGATAGCGATAACCCCGATCAGCCCTCTGGGCTGTGTGCTGTGGGGGAGGGTGCCAGAGCCCTGCTGCTCAGCCCCAACTAGACAACCAAGCCTGTGCTCACTTTCCCTACCATCTGTCCAGGGCAGCCAGGCTGGTGCCTGGCCTAATCTGCCTTCCTCCCGGACATGGTGTCCCACCATTTGCCCTGGATCACATCTTGACCCCCTTCCCAGGGACACACTCCTCCCTCATTTGAGTTCCTGATGTTTTGTAGCCCCCTCCTCACATCATGCAGGTCACATGTACGGCATCCATGGTCCCACTCAGTGATTCTCCTCAGGACTGTGTCAGGTCCCTTCCCAGGATGCACATGTCCCTGCTCAGCAGGTGGCTCTCATATTCACATGTGGGGAAGCAGAACAGGGGAGAATGGTGGGAAGTTGCAATGGCTTCCCAGGGAGTCTCTGACACCGAGTGTCTGTAAGTCCATGACGACCGTCCCCTCTCTCTAGGTTCAAGAATGTCTTGTTTGACATCATTGCCACTGAGGATGTGGGCATCTTTGACGTCAGGTCCAAGTTTCTTGGTGTGGAGATGGAGAAGGTACAGCTCAACATCCAGGTGAGCAGGTCCCTGCCTTCCACGCTGTATTCCCCAGCGCCTCCCAGCTGGCCTAGGCCTGACGCCAGCCTCACCCGCCGGCCAAGTGTTTTAGAGCTGTGACATTTGCAGTGTCTGGTGGGTAAAACACTCTTAGATGGCAGACTATGGCGGTCAGTTTTTTTCCTACAGTCCAGGAAAAAGGCAGAAAATGTTTCTTGGTAGAAACTCACGCCTTCTGCCTGCCTGCATGTGCTCAGGCACAGAGCTCTCCTGCCGTCACTCTTTCTGTCCCTTCCCCTACCCACCAGCTTTATAAGTTTCTCACACCCACTCAGCGAACGAATGGGCTCACCAGATGTGCGTGACAGTGGAGTTCGCATTATAAGCTGTCTGGCCTTTCAGAATCACTGGAGACAAATGTGTTGAGAAGTGTAGCTTGTGTGCAAAAACAAGCACAGCCCCTTCATCCTCAGTCCCAGCTCAGTCGACATGGGACCGCCTTCCTGCTTTATTATCACTTCTACTGACTACTTCCAGAACGTTCCAGGATCTGTGCAGTGTCAACACAAGTCTCACTAAACCCCCCAGGAAGGAGTTAAACCCTGGTGTGCCTGCCTGTCCACGCCTGTTTGCCCCCACAGGCCAGAGTGCTTCCTCTCTGTCCATCAATCTTGGGAAACTCCGAGCAGAAAAGCAGGCAGGAGCAGATCTTGATAAGCACATATAGTGCATCCCTCACAGCCCAAGAGAAGGCAGAGCTGTGGTGGCCGGATCAAGGAGGGGCAGTGCAGTGTTGCTTTCCGGCCCAGTCGATGGCCCCCATGTACTTCGTGGTCTAGCTAGCAGGAATCTTCATCATGTCACATCACCTTTAGACAAGCATGGAGAGGGGCCTGCACTGTGTTGACAGCTGTGGGGAGTGGGTGTGCAGTGACAGTGGCAGAGACACACTGTGGGGTGCCTGCAAGGATGCAGACCTGGGCCCGGCAGGAAGAGCTGGACCCCAGCACCCACCACACAAGGTGTTTAGAGAGAACCAAGAGCCCCTCCTTGGGCCTGGCTGTCAACAGTCCCCATCTGCTTCCATGACGGCTGTGTCATGTTGCCCCTCAGCTGCTGGCAGATGGCCGAGGACCCTGGGGCTCCATTTTGTGCAGGGCTCAGTCTGAAACATGAATGCAAGGCCCTGGCTCCAAGCTGTGAGGATTTTAGGAACAGGAATCCCAGAGCCTGGAACAGGGCAGAACCCTCATGAGAATGGCCCCAGGCTGCTGCACCCAGAAGTGCAGTGTGAGCACCAGAGCTGCCAGACAGCTCTATGTGCAGTGTGTGATCCTCCACACACGTACCAGTTGACAGAATGAGACAGCCAGGACTTCCAGTGAACTGTTGGGAGTTCCAAAGACTAACAAGGGGTTTAGGCAAACCTGACAGTTCCGTGCCTCCAGATCCTACTCAATTTGTTCACCATTTTGGCCTAAAGAAAATTGTAGGGCCAGGGTCATGTCCTGTGGGAGAGGGACATGTCCTCTGGGAAAGGGGCGTGTGCTGTGTGAGGGTCCTGTCCTCCCAGAGAGGGACATGTCCTGTGTGAGGGTCGTGTCCTGTATGAGGGTCATGTCCTGTGTGAGGGTCGTGTCCTGTATGATGGTCGTGTCCTGTGTGAGGGTCGTGTCCTGTGTGAGGGTCATGTCCTGTGTGAGGGTCGTGTCCTGTATGATGGTCGTGTCCTGTGTGAGGGTCGTGTCCTGTGTGAGGGTCGTGTCCTGTGTGAGGGTCGTGTCCTGTGTGAGGGTCGTGTCCTGTATGAGGGTCATGTCCTGTGTGATGGTCGTGTCCTGTGTGAGGGTCATGTCCTGTGTGAGGGTCGTGTCCTGTGGGAGAGGGACATGTCCTGTGAGGGTCATGTCCTGTGTGAGGATCATGTCCTGTGTGAGGGTTGTGTCCTGTGAGGGTCGTGTCCTGAGTGAGGGTCGTGTCCTGTGTGAGGGTCGTGTCCTGTATGAGGGTCGTGTCCTGTGTGAGGATTGTGTCCTGTGTGAGGGTTGTGTCCTGTGAGGGTCGTGTCCTGTGGCAGGGGAACGAGTGGAAGGCCTTCTGCTTACAGCAGTCCTGTTCAGTTTCAGTGAGTTCTGTGAGAATCCCTCCCCCTGTGAAAAGGAAGGGTTGGGTACCTCTTCCCGGAAGGGGCAGCCAGGCCTGAGGCCTCCCTTCGCCACTGCTCTGGCCATCTTGCAGATCCCTCTGATCCCAGGGTACAGTGGCTGCTTCAGGGTTTGCAGACGCCTCTGTCACTCATGCAGGAATTCTCACAGCTGTGCCAGGGTGGCTCCACGTCCTCGCGTGGGGAAGCTGGAGTCCCTGGCCCACGTTCGTCAGCAGCCGATGTGTGTGCCCCTGACCCAGGTTCCCTCCCGTTTCAGGACCTGCTCCAGATGCAATATGAGGGCGTGGCTGTGATGAAGATGTTCGACAAAGTCAAGGTCAACGTTAACCTCCTCATCTATTTGCTCAACAAGAAGTTCTATGGGAAGTGAGGCCCCACCAACCCTCAGAAAGAAATGCGTTGAGTATTTTTTTTAAAACACGATCAAAATCACAGCTTAGGAACTTGTGATTTTTTTTTTTTTTCAAAGACCAAAACTGTCCTGGAGAATGCACCGTGTGCCTTCTGAAGAAATCTGCATTGCTGCATGGGAATGCCAAGTGAGGCAGTGGGTGGTGTCCACGGGTGGTGGAAGGCCTCGGGGCTCCCCAGCAGCACCCACAGGGCTTCACAGAGGGGACATACAGCCCACACCGGGCCACGTGGGAGCCTGACCTCCTGGGAGAAATTTTAAAACATCCTTCTCAAGTCCCACAGTTCTTCATGGATTCTTTTTCCTGATCTGTGAAGAAACAGAAATCTAATTATTTGTAATGAATTATTTAGACAGTTCTAAGCTCTGTCTTCTGGGAATCTGATTTCAAAGAAATTTTGTGCAATTCAAAATAGGGTTTTGTAAGTGATTGAACGTGACTGCACAGTGATTGGTGCCTGAAGAGGAAAGACCACTGCTGCCTTGAGTGGAGGTGCTGGGCTCTGCCTGGAGGACTCAGGGCTGGGGAGAGCCCACAGCCTGCCCCCGCAGCTTGAAGGGACACTCCAGCTGTAATGCTGTAAAATCAGACTGGGAGGTTTTAAATGTATTCTCTGCAAATGGTTTCACATAAAATAAATGTTACTTAATCATATTGATTTGGCTTTCCCTAATAAATTCAAATCATTTACTGTGTAGAAGATTCCAGATAGAGCGTATCAGGTAAGGAAACAATACCCAAGTGCCGTGCTAGTTACCCCAGGTGCTATACTAGTTATCTAGGTAACTAGTTACCCAGGTGCTATACTAGGTAATTAGTTACCCCAGCTGCTATAATAGTTATCCTGATAGCCATACTGGTTACTCAGTGCTGTACTAGTTACCCTGGTCACTGTACTAGTTACCTAGGTGTTGTACTAGTTACCCCACATTATGCCACTGTGTGTCTGTGTATTTGCTGTGACAACTCCAGGGTGGCTGTGAGGTCTGTGGTTCAGCCACAGCCCCAGGTTCAGGATCATCCCATCTGCTCAGCTCTGGCAAGGGCCCCCAACACATGGCACCAGGTAATGAGGCAAGGGAGAAAGGAAGACACATCATGAGCACAGCCCATCCCCTGGCAACCCACACAGCCCCACAAACCCCAGTGCACAGCCTGGGACCAGAGTGGGGGAGACTGGAGCCCCCACCTCTCTGTGATCAAACTCCAGCATGAGTTGTAGCTGGCACACACTACCCAGGTGCCCAGTGAAAAGTGGCCCAGAGGAAGGCCAGTCCATCTGGTAAAGAAGGAGGGTGGGTAGTCCCTGGCAGAGTTCAGGCCAGAACCCACCTACCTCTAGTCCCTCCCTGTCCAAGCCTCATCTGGAGCTCCAGGAGTGCAAAAAGGAAGGTGGGTAACGGGAGAAGGTATGGGGGTGGTTCAGGGGGCATCCTGCCAGGGACGTGGGAGAGTGGTGACCAGGTGGCCTGGGGGTTCTTCACTGACAGCGCTAACGACCCAGAAAAGGGCACGACGCCAAAGCAGAGAATGCTCATGGAAAATGCTCCTCGAAACATGCAGCGATTTGTGGATTCGGGACTGAATTAACCAACAATTCAGACCCACACTGCGCAGCAATACATTCTAACATTGGCCCAGTGTCGTTGAAGTGGGTGGGAAGGGGTGAAAATTAAGCAACTGCTTCAGGTTAGCAGGTGGAAGATAAAGAAGAAAACTCAGGGAGCTAGGACAGGGTCCTGGGCCCCGCAGGGCCGGGTTAGGGGGCTACCCCGGGTTTGGGGGCGAGGCGGCGGGCCCACCGGCTGGCCCCGCCCCGGGTCCCAGGCCCACCCCGTCCCGCCCACCTCCGCGGCCCCGCCCCGCTGGTCACCCCGAGCCCGCGCGCCCTCGGCCCGCGGAGAGGCGCTGCGCCCTGGGACAATGGGGCCTCGGCGGCTGCTGCTGGTGGCCGCCGGCCTGAGCCTGTGCTGGCCTCTGCTGAGCGCCCGCGCCCCAAGCCACGAGCCAGGTGAGCGGCAGAAGCGGCCGGACCCGGGTGCCGCCCCGACGCCGGCCGTGCGGGCGCCCTCGGCCACGGTGCCCTCCGGAAGCGCCCGCCGTTCCGCGGCCGGGCCGGGGGGCTCCGGGCGGAAGTGGGCGAGTGTCCGCGCTGGAGCTTCGGGGGGTCCTGGGCGGCGGGGTGGACGGACGGGGCACTGCGCGGCGGCCCGAGAGGAAGCTGGAAGTTGCGTGACCGTGGGTGACTCCACGGGCCCGCGGGCGGCGACCGGGTTCTGTCCAGGACCTGCTGTCGATGGTCACTCGGGCGGGGCGCGGGGCAGCATAGGAGGTTTGGGGTCCGGGGGTGGCGCGCGGTGGGGCCGGCCTGGAAAGGACTGGAGTTCGTCGGTGGGGCCGAGCCGGGCCCTCGCCCACCCTCAGGGGTCCTGCTCCTGACCCGCCCTGACCTAGGGCTGACCTGGGGCTCAGCCGGGCCAGCAGGGCGTCACCCTGGCGCTGAGCCCTCAGTCCCTGCGCGCTGCGCCCCTCCCAGGATTCCCTTCCCCAGGGAGCCCCCAAGGAGGGAGCTTGTCCTTGGGGTGGGATTCCCCACCTTCACTGTGGGTGCGTCTCTAATGTCGCCTCCCCGAAAAGGCACAGTGTGCTCTCAGTGGTCGCCCCAGAGCCCCTCTCCGAGAGCCCCTGCCCCATCTCTGGTTAACCCGGGGCAGGCAGCCGGACCCCTCCTGTTCCAGACCTGCCGGAGGAGATTTGGTCCTGGTGGGCAGCGAACCCCACTCCACCTCCAGAGTCCTTGCCGCAATCGGTTCCCTGGATGGTGCCTAGAGGGGTAACTATGTCCGGCAGGTGTGGATGTCTGCTTCCCACTCAAAATGTTGTGGGGCAGCAACCTTGCTGGGCACACAGAGGGTGAATGGTGGATGGGTTCTAGGTTCCTCCCTCAGAGAGGTTGGCCCGGAGGAGGGGTGCTTATGGTTCGTGGAGACTGGCCTGTGGCCGTGTTTAAGGGCGGAAACCAGTGGTGAGGACCGCAGAGCCTGCTGCGGTGGGGCCCCTGGGGATTATGCGGTCCACAGCTTGACGGTCATGGTGGCCATTGCACGTTCTCAGCCTGTTCTGCCCCTGACACGTTGCTCTGTCAGTGTTCCTGAGGGTCACCCCAGCCAGCCCTGTGACTCACAGCCATGCAACAGGCCGTCTGTCCATCTGTCACATGCTGTCCACGGTGCATCATGGCTTCCCACTGCGCCCAGAAACCCGCGTCCTCCTCCCCCAGCACCCTCCCGTCCTTACTCTCCTTAGTCCCAGAGCAGGCTCTGGCTGTGCTGCCAATGACCCACACCTTGGTCATCTTTCCTTCCTCTATTTTTTTTAAAGATTTATCTATTTTTATTGGAAAGGCAAATTTAAAGAGAGAAGGACATACAGAAAGATCTTCCATCCACTGGTTCACTCTAAGTGGCTGTAATGGCTGGAGCTGAGCCAGAAGCTTCTTCTGGGTCTCCCACGCACATGCAGGATCCCAAGGCTTTGGACCATCCTCGACTGCTTTCCCAGGCCACAAGCAGGGAGCTGGATGGGAAGTAGAGCAGCTGGGACACAAATCAGCACCCAAACAGGATCCCAGCACATGGAAAGTGAAGATTTAGCCACTAAGCCATCGCATCAGAACTTCTTTTTCTTTTTAAGATGGATTCATTTGAAATCCAGAGAGAGCTCTTCCAGGCTTGCTGGTTCACCTCCCAGTGACCCCCTCAGCCAGGGCTGGTCGCCCACAGGGATTCAGGGCCCAGCCTTGGCTCTGCTTTTCTGCAGCTGAGATCCTCTTCCGTTGCTCTTGTCTGTCTTGGACATGGTTCTGTGGACCCTGTTGCCCTGAAGCATCTGCCTGCCGCCCCCACCTTGGCCTGCTTGGAGGATGGGGCTCCCGGGAAGGGGCTGGTCAGTGTGGGCATCAGCACCTCAAGTCACATGCTTGGGGCCAGGGTCCCAGCTCCAGTCCCAGTACGTGTCAGACACCAGCTCCCTGCTAGGGCACACTGGGATGCCAGAGGACAGCTCCTGGACTTTTGGGCCACTGATACCTGTGCAGGAGACCCAGACGGAGGACTGACATGCTCAATCTCATTCTCCCCTCTTTCTCTTTACCCTATCTTTCGAACAGGCCCTACCTCTCTGGCCATCAGGGATTTGGCTGCACTCCTGACCACTTTGCTCCTCACATGACCACATTGTTGGGGGTGACCAAGGGTCACTTTAGCATCAGCCTGATGCTCCTGGAAAGTGCCCTGGTCACCTTGTGTACATTTCCCACCCCTGGCCTGGGGCAGCCATGTCTGGGGACCTGGGTCTCCCTGCTGGACAGCAGTGTTGGTTGGAAGGGGGAGGTGCACTACCCAACGCTGCATCTGTCTGCTGGACGGGAGCTGAGGGTTCCTGCTGTCTTCCTACATCCAGTTGCACACACAAGGCCAAGTGCTTTTTATGGGCACCTGGCCAGGTCCTGGCCCTCTGCTCAGGTCACACCCCAAGCATGAGCCCCATGGGGCAGGACTGAGTCCTGCCCAGCTATGGGAGCCACCGGACACTCGCCCTGGGATCAGGCAGGATGCTGGCAGCCATTGCACCTGTGCTCTGGCCAGTGGTTAAGATGAGGTGAGGCCAGGCATTCGGGAATGCTCCAAACTCCAGGGGGGGTAGCCGAGTTGGCTTTGTTTCTGCAGCTTCAAGAGGCTCCACCAGGGACAAGAGGACTGACCCCAGGACCTATGGTGAGTCATGGGGTGCAAACCTTGACGCCTAACCTGTGGTGGAAGGGAATGACTCCCACTGGGACCCCAGCAGGGGCTGGGCTGGCACAGGTTCCCAGCCGCTTGGCCTGGTTCTCACTTTCCTTGGTACTAGTGTATATTTCTTGGCCTTTTTGGATTTCACAAAAACCAGAATATCAAGTCTGAATGACCTGAAAGGGTAGTGCTGTGGGCAGTGACATTCAATCCGGGGATTGCGCGCCTCCTGGCATTCCTAGCTGCTGTCAGTGCCGTGTGCTCAAGGCACCTGGCATGGGGAAGCGTGGGAAGCCTGGTGAGAGCACATCCCAGTAGGTCAGTTGTTCCCATGCTGTGTGAAGCCAGATGTGCCCTGGCATCCTGACTCCTGGCCGTGTGAATGTGGAGGTCATGGGCACCTGCCCCACAGGGCCCAGCCTGGAGCACCTGGAGACTTCGGCAAGGCTGGGCCCCAGACCCTGGCTGGTCAGGGCCATCTGACAGGCATGACCTCACACACCTGCTGGCCATCTCTGTGTCTTCCTCGAGAGCCGCGCACCCAGCCCTTTTGCCCGGGCTGGGGTCTGTGTGCCGCTCAGTTCCCCGTGTGTGTGTGGATGGGAGGAATCTCGCTCTGCTGGTTCCTCACTGTGAGGAATGTAATGCTTCAACCCATCTTGTTTTCTATGTTTCTACTTCTCGCCGACTTCCTTGGACAGGCCGTGGCTTTTGCCAGCTCCAGCTGTGACCCTATGGAGAGCAGAAGTCTTAATGTTGTCCATCAGTCCACCTGGCTTTGCGTCTCTCCCTGGGAAACATGATTGGAGGTCTGTGGCAGGACAGAGGCCAGAGCCAGGGGCACATCTGGCCATTCCTGTCCTGGGATCTGTGTGTGCCGGGCAATGCCTGGGTCTACCTTTGCCCTGGCCCCGGATTTTGAGGTTGTGTGCACCAGAGGTCGTTTCTCTAAGCCATGGCCGCCTTCCATGGTGCTTCCGTAGCCTGTCAGCCTGGTCAGTGCTGCTGTGCAGGCTGTATCCCCTCCACAAACCCCGAGACTGAGTCCGAATGCATGGGGCAAGGAGGGAGGCAGGCTGCGGGCACTGTCCTTGCCTCAAACCCCGGGAGCAGCTGGAGCAGGTCACACCCAATGAGACCAGAGGAGACTTAGCGCTCAGAGCGTCTGAAACTCCAGGACAGGAAGTGGGGCCAGAGCGGATGCCTGTCACCACTGCAGGAAACCCTGTGCCTCCCTCAGAGACACCTCCTCCCCCAGACCCAGACCCTGAAGGCACTGCTGAGCCGGCAGGCAGCAGCCTGTTATCTGAGGCATTGCATCTGGCAGGGTCTCGGCACCATTGTGCTTGCTCTTCCTGCCCCCACCTCCCTGCCCTGCACAGTGTTGGCTGTAAACAAAGCCGGAAGTGGGAAGTCCCCTGCATGTGTCCAGCTCCCAGCCTCTTTGAAATCCTGCAGCACAGGAGAGGCCTATGTCATGGCCCGTCCTCCCCACTGACCCAAGGCCCAGCTAAACCCCCTCCCTACCCCTGCCCCCTGCTGCATGTCTGAAGCCTTTCCACCATGTCTGGTCATGTCTCCCAAAAGCTGGGCTCCTGCGTGGTTCTGGGCACAGTAGCATCCCAGCAGAGCGGAGGCAGCCAGACAGGCAGAGGCAAGAGCGTTCGCAGCTCTGTTGGGACCATGATTGGGATCTGGTTGTGGCAAGACCCTTGGGACAGCCGCCGTGTACGCAAACTGAGGTGAGAAGAGGACACTCAACTGATTCCAGCTGGGAGCCCTGGGCCCTGCCCCGTCATGCCTCCAGGCCCTCGCAGAAGCCCCTGTGGCACCTGTGTTGGTGTGGGGAGCATGGGGTGTCTTGGGCAGCTGCAGGCAATGTGGGAAAAGCCACGGCCACTGGGCATGAGCAGTGACAGGCCACAGTGCTCCTTGCTGGGGCCTGCAGGCAGAGCTGTATGCGCTTTGTCAACACAGACACTGTGCAATTTTCCAAGTAAAAATCTGGATTTCTGTGTGTCACCTGCTCCAGCAAGGAAGGAATCAAAACGTGAGTGAACCGGTCATCTGTTTTAAAAAAAAACATCTATTATTTATGTATTTGAAAAGCACTGTCACAGGAGAGCAAGAAAGAGATCCTCCAGCTACCGGTTCACTCAAATGGCCACAATGGAAGCCAGGAACTTCCAGGTCTCCCGTGTGGGTGTAGGACCCCGGGCCTCGGGCTTTCCTGTGCATTAGCAGGGAGCCAGATCAGAAGTGGAGCAGCCCGGAATCAAACCAATGTCTGTGCAAGATGCTGGCATCCTAATCATGGCTTTACCCTCCACATCAGCCCTTCTTTTGCCTTTAATCCATTCACCTTTTAAATCCTGTTTTGCAGAACCCGACTCAAGCAACTACACTGTGGGTCCCCGGACCTTCTTCCTCAGGGATTCCAGCCATGGGTTCGAACCATTCCCCTGGGAAGAGGATGAGGAGCAGAATGTGAGCACGCCGGTGGAGGGCAGGCTGAGCCCTGGCAACCGCAGCCTGCCGCCCTCGGCGTCCATCTCCCAGGAAGCCTCCGAGTACTTGGGCAGCCCCTGGCTGCAGCTGTTTGTCCCCACGGTCTACACAGGTGTGCTGGTGGTCAGTCTGCCGCTGAACCTCACAGCCATCGCCGTGTTCCTGCTGCGCATGAAGGTCAAGAAGCCTGCCGTAGTGTACATGCTACACCTGGCCACGGCTGACGTGCTCTTCACGGCCGTGCTGCCCTTCAAGATCAGCTACTACTACTCGGGCAGCGACTGGCGGTTCGGGCCCGAGCTGTGCCGCGTGGTCACAGCAGCCTTCTACTGTAACATGTATGCCTCCATCATGCTCATGACAGCTATCAGCGTGGACCGCTTCCTGGCCGTACTCTACCCCATGCAGTCCCTGTCCTGGCGGACGCTCGGCAGAGCCTCACTGGTGTGCCTAGCCATCTGGGCCCTGGCCCTGGCAGGCGTGGTGCCGCTGCTGCTCCAGGAGCAGACGGTGCAGGTGCCCGGGCTCAACCTTACCACCTGCCACGATGTGCTCAGCGAGCGCCTGCTGCGGGGCTTCTACGCCCACTACTTCTCTGCCTTCGCCACCATCTTCTTCTTCGTGCCGCTCGCTGTCTGTACCGTCTGCTATGCCTCCATCCTCCGCTGCCTCAGCTCCTCAGCCGTGTCTGATCGTGGCAGGAAGTCCCGGGCCCTGCTGCTCTCAGCTGCTGTTTTCTGCATCTTCCTGCTCTGCTTCGGCCCCACCAACGTGCTCCTGGTGCTGCACTACTCCTTTCTGTCGCACGGCCCCTCCACCGAGGCCGCCTACTTTGCCTACCTGCTGTGTGTGTGCGTGAGCAGCGTGAGCTGCTGCCTCGACCCCCTGCTGTACTACTTCGCCTCCTCTGAATGCCAGCGGCAGCTGTGCAGCCTGCTGTGCCACAGGGACAGCGCCGACGTGGCCAGCTGCAATAGTAGCGGGCAGCTGATGGCCAGCAAGGGGGACACCTCCAGCCACCTGAACCGCAGCGTGTACAAGAAGTTGCTAGCTGCATGACCACAGGAAGCACAGGGCATCAAGGGATTGCGCCATTCACTGCCAGGCCCACAGCCATGCCACCAGTCGAGGCAGCATATGTCCGATCACTTGCAGCTTCCCATGCAGCCAAGTGACCCTGCGGGGTATGGCCCGTGCTGCCGCACTAGCCCAACAACACTTTCCCACATGCCTGGGTGGCTTGCCATGTGTGCACATGCGTGTACCATGTGGATTACCCCAGTGACTGTGGAGATAACCCATTCTTAGAATTGACATGCAAGGTCCAGATGCAGGAATTCAGCCCTCAACTATGAAAGACATCTACCCACAACGGGGGCCCCAGCTGCAACTTGGGTGGCTTTCCCCAAAGACTGTTGAAATCACTGCACTGCTCAGGGAAGCTGTGGGAGGAGAATGCTCAGAGCTCTGTGTGTGGGCAGAGGGTCAGGGTTCCCGCTGTGGCCATAGGAAATTCTTAACACCAACATCCCGTCAGGCACTGGACACCCTTCTCTCCCTCTGTACACTGTGTGTGTTGACCAGGACAACCACGAGCCCACATCCCTGTGGTGCCCATGGCCACCAGCCAAAAATGCCAAGCCCACAGCTACACACTGGTCATGACCTGCTCCCCAAGCGGCCAGCCTTGAGAGGGCCCCACACAGCGGATGTGCCACCCCTTGGGTGCGTGCAGACACGTAGCACGACTCGGCAATGGGGCCGAAACCACCCCGTCCTTTCCTCCCCAAGGCCCTGAGGGCCTGCCATGCTCTGGGCATGTCTGTTGGAGACGGGCTGAGCAGGGGTGACATCCAGGAGGCAGTGAGGGACTTCTGTGTCCATCCTGAGGCAGAGAGAGGCCATGACCGCGTCTAGGAGTCTGTGCAGGGTGGAGACCAAGGCCTAGCTTGAGATGAACTAGCAGCAGTACGGTGCACGTGCAGTGTATGTGCTGTGTACTTGCCATATGTGAGAGAACGTGTGTGTGTGCACGTGCATGCTGAGTGAATGAGGGGATGTGTAAAGGACTGTGAAACACATGTGGGATGTGTGTGCTACATGTGCAAGAGCCTAGTACATGTACAGTGTTGGATGTGTGATATATGTGTGTGCAGTATGTAGGACGTGTGGTACATGCACAGTATGTGTGATGTGTGTGGGATATGTGTGCAGGAGCCTAGTACATGCAGAGCGTGGGGGTCATGTGTGATATGTGTAAGCAGTGTGTGGTATGTGTGGGACACGTGTGGTATGTGTGTGCAGTGCCATATGGAAGGGCGTTTCCAGTAGCCTCGTGAGCCCTGGGTGCTGCTGCTGTGCTTGGAGCTTCTGATGGAGCAGCTGCCTGGGGTTAGGTCTGAGTGAGGGAGGTGGTTGTGAGGGCGCTCCCATCCCCTGGGAGACTGTCAAGGATGGAGAATGTTGACACACGAAGTTATCTTTCCTGATGGAAAATGGTGACATTTCAACAAAGAAGCTGCTCGGTGGACACTCAGCTACTAAACGGGCAGCGTGCTTCCTAGCACCACAGTATAGCCAAGCTGGTGCTGGTGCCCTGTGCCTGCGGCTGTGTGCATGTGGACACACAGTGTCCAGGCTGTGCTCCTGAGGTACCCTGCTGGCCGGGGCCAGTCACGGGTCACAGTCATCATGGACGGTCACTGGCTCACAGCCATGCCCTGCCCTGTGCTCCCCTCCCGTTACAGTACTAGGTGCCTGCCTCAATAAACATGCAGATTAGCTGTGTCTGTGTGCTGGGCAGTGTGGGCTGCAGGTGCCACCAGCATCCGGGCATCGTCATGGGTGGGGATAAGCACTCTGGTGAGGGGATGACACCTGCACCCCATGACATACCATCTGCCGTGGCTGCTGCTCTCAGCAGAGGCCCAGACCTTGGCATCTGGAGGCCTCATGGCATGGCTGTCAAAGGTCACCTTTCTGGGCGAGGAAGAGCTGAACAACAGTGGCTGCCAGAGCCACGGGGGGGGAATGGGTCAGGCCGTTGTGGTTCTGGGGTGCAGAGCTGTGAAGACCCCGACTCTGTGTCTGCCTGCCTGGGAGGGGCAGGGCCCGAGTGGTCCTTGGGTCAGAGCTGAGCACACCCAGCTGGGCCGCCTTCCTGCTTCCTCAGGGACATGGGCTAACTGGCCCAGCCAGTGTTCCATGGACTGGGGACCCTCAGGACCTGAGCTCAAGTCAGCCCTGGCTTGGTGAGTGGTGCCTCCTCCCAGGAGAAGCCAACGAGCCCTCTGTCCCCTGGCATAGGGTGAGCTGCAGCGCCATTCCTCAGGAAATGCATTATGGGGCTTCTGAGTGGTCATGCCCTGGGATGGAGGAATTGGTAAGGGGCTAGCTTGGCCTTCAGGCGGCACGTGTGAGGGAGGGGAAGAGGGGGCTTCCCCCAAATCAGCTCAGGCTCAGGGTATTGTCTCCTAAGCCACGGACCAAGCCCATGACCGTGTGGTTATCACTTCAGGAAGTGGCTCTGGAGCCCCAGAAGGAGGAGATTGGCTGCAACCTGCAGACAGGGCTGTAGCTGGCCTGGCTGATTGTCCACCTTGGAAATAATGCTGCTGGGGCTGGGAGCCCAAGGTGTATGCGCATGAGTCTGTGTGTGTCTGTCCTTCAGTCTTGCTGTGAGACATTGGTCATTGTGGAAGCTGGGAAAAAAGCCCCCAAACTGGAAATGAGACCTGCCATGGGCAGTTCCATCTGGGTGAGCACAGGGCACACACACATGGGTATTCATGCAGAGCTATGAATGTAGGGCACATGTGGAATTTGGCATGTCCTATGGCCAGTGAATCAGCTCCCTCTCACCATCAGGCCTGTCAATCCGTGTTGCCACAGAAAAACAGACATCAGAGACTCTCAGAACCAGATACTTGGGAAAAAGTTCAAAAAGAGGCTGTTTTGATGAAAAATCCTGTTTTCCCATGCAGTTTAGTCATACCACATTTTTCATCAACTCTTCATGTGCATGAATTTTATTTTGCACCAAAATAAACGTGATTATTCTGTTTTCTGTAGCGTTTACAAAGTCCCCTTGCGTGCGCAGCACACGTGGTGTGCCTGGCCACATCCCTTGGGAAAGCTGACAAGCAGGTAGCCAAGAGCTCCTGGGTCCTGCGGCAACACCTGCAGGGACCTGCCCCTGGTGGCTGCAGTGCCAGACAGTGTGTGCCCGGCCACACCCACAGGCAGGACCAGGGATGCCCTCTGCCAGTTTGTTGGTCAGCTGGGCTTTCCCTCTTAGTGTGGCTGCCCCAGGAAGGAAGGAAAGCAGGGTTGATGTCAGGAGGGGTCTGGGAGAGGAAGTTTTACAGATTGTCATCACTGTTGGAAATGTTCAATTTCTAGCAGCCTTACCTCCAAAAATAACTAGAAATAATCACTAGCAGTGGGATCCAGGGAAGGCAGCAGCAGCCGCATTTACATAGTAGCAAAAGACCTGCTTAGTCCCAGGGTACCTCTCCCTGGGAAGCTGTGTCTGAGATGCAGGGAAGGGCTTGTAGTACCAGACCTAAAAAATAGAAAAGCAATTTATGTGTCTGAAATAGAGGGTGAGACAGAGGAGTCTTCCACCTGCTGGTTCACTCCCTGGAAGACCCCAGCAGTGAGGGCTGGGCCAGGCTTGATCCAGGAGCCTAGAGCCTCCTCCAGGTCTCCCCCAGGAGGACAAGGTCCCAAGGACTGGAGCTGTCCTCCACCACCACTTTCCCAGGTGTATTAGTAGGGAGCTGGGTGGGAAGTGGAGTAACTGGGACTTGAACCGATGCCCACGTAGGATGCCAGCACAGAGGGAGCAGTTTAACCTAATGCACCATGGCTCTAGCTTCATCGTGTTTATTTATTTATTTATTTTGAAAGTTGTGTTTCCTGCCTCTCACCTGAGAACAAGCTCCCTGTCTGAACCGAGGGACGTCTCGTGACCCGGGCAGCCCTTCGGCTGCTCCCACCCCTGCTGCAGGCTCTGTGCTTCCAGCAACACGCATGAGAAAGGCTAGGGTTCCTCGCCCACACTGACGTCATCCAGACTGGTAATCACCTTGTGGGGCCCTGGCATTCACAGAGATAAACAAATGTGAATATCTGATTGCAGAACGTGTTTGTCCCCAGAAGTGGCCAGAATGTCCAGTACAGTACTGTGCACACCCGAAGCCCTAGCGTGTCCCTCTGGGCAATCGCAGACACCAAGCAGCCCCCAACTTCCCTTGTCAAATGACAAAACTGTTGAGGGATTCCATGGCGTGATGATGTCAGATGTGTGTTCTTGAATTTGCGTGCTATTACCTAGTATTACAGGCTAATTCTCTCATGCACTGTTTAATTTGTATATTTATTTGCAAGGCAGACAGGCATAGCGTTACACATAGCTCTAACATCTGCTCGTCACGGCTCCCAAACACCAGGGCTGGGCCAGAACTCAGCTGGCAGGGACCACACGACCTTGAGCCCTCACCCCGTCCCCCAGGGTGTCGGTCAGCTGGAAGCTGGCCTAGAAACGGAACAGGGCCCAAATCCAGGCCTGCGCCAGCCAGGGACCGTCTGTCCGGCTGAGCAGGGCCGGTGCCCCGGGAGGAGGCCACACGTCCGGCGTGTCCGCGGAGAGCGCGCCCTCGGGCACAGCCAGGGCGCGGCTGCGGGTCCACCAGCCTTCCAGAAGGGTCCGCGGGGCCGCCCCCAGGCCCGGTGCTGAGTTCGGTGGACGCCAGGCGCCGTGCGGGGCTCCAGCTACGTCTTCTCTCCGCGTTCAGGACCTGGTTCTCTCGGCCCGAGGACAGACCCCGGCGCGCGACTCCTCGCTCTGACGAAGGCACGGCGCAGACGCGTCACCACCTTCTGACGTAGCTTGGCGCAGTCGGATGACGTCATAGACTGAGGGAGGCATGAGGAAATGCGTCACGCGCTCTGAGGAAGGCCTGGCCTCAGTGTGTCTTCGTGCGCTCTGACGAGGGACGCGGGTCACGAGCCCTGACGGGAGAAGCGGCCGTGAGGACCCAGGAGCCTTGTGAGGGTCCAGTGCTCGCGCTCCTGGCCACGAAGGAGGCCTGGCTGACAGACGAGGGCTGCAGAATGGACAACCTGGAGACGGCGGCCCTGGGCCCGCCTGCTGTGACTGGACGGAGCCTGGCAAGGGCGACCCTGGACCCGCTTGGTGTGACTGGACGGAGCCTGGTCGAGGGCTCGCCTGGTGCAGAATGGACGGAGCCTGGCGAGGGCAGCCCTGGACCCGCTTGGTGTGACTGGAAGGGGCCTGGCGAAGGCGGCCCTGGGCCTGCCCGGGTGTGCCCAGCTCCTTCCACCTCAGAGTCCGTAGAACAGGTGCTCCTGGAAACCTGAACGTTCTTGGAGAAGAGACATTTCCCGGATGGGACGAGTCCAGGCCAGCAACTGCGTGTCCTGGAGGAAAAGCAGCGGGTGTTAACCCCTCAGCCGTGGCCGTGGAAGACGGTACACTCCACCCAGGAGTTTGCTGTGGAAACGGGATCCCACACTACAAGACTGACAGGAGATTGGCTGCTGAGCGAGGCTGCAGGGTGACCCGTCTCCTGGCATGATGGAGCCACCACCAGGGCCCTTACTCCGCCTCCCATCCTCCACTAGCCACAATGCTGCAGGAATCCATAAAAAGGCTGGAAATGGGACAGGCACCAAATTCCTGCAAATGCCCACCCTTTTCTAGAATCCACCTCTAACGCCCTGCCCCCTGCCTCTGCATCACCTAGAGGGGTGGCCCGATCCCCCTGGGATGCACATGTCTTGTTGGGGACACGGCAAAGCCCGGTGTAGGTGGCATGAGGAGGTGGGGCCGTCCCTCTACCCTGTGGCTCTGGAGCTCCTCAGCCCAGACACTGTGCTTTCGTGAAAACACACCCGTGATTCCTGAGGGGTTTTGGGAACACAATTCTGATGTTTACAGAAGACTGGAAGCACCTCAAAGGCCTCGGACATGCCCAGTCCAGCCTGTGTGGCCTGCTGACACCAAGTCCTGGCCCGGGCCGAGGATGCTGCGAGCCCCGCTCGGGATGGGCGTTGGAGCAGAGAGTGGCTCTCCAGGGTCACGTCCTGGGCCGCGGGCTGCCTGGGGAAACCGGAACCAGGCTCAGCGGGTTTCCAAGTCATGGCCCGATCTCGGGCTGGGTGAAGTCAGCACTCGTGCTCCTGAACTGACCGTGAGAGAGAGCTGGGAAGTGAGTGCTGGTGTGGGCCCGGCCTCTGCCTCCCGTGGAGCTGTTTGCACGGTGTTTGCCCGTTTTAATGCATAAACTAGTTTCCTGGCTAGTCGCCTGAGATGCTGTCAGCAGCCCCATCCCAAGCTCACAGAAACAGTGACCTTTAAGCAGCATTCCCCAGGACTTCCCGACACGTGTGGAGCTGCTTAGACGTTGATGTTCTCCACCCACCCGTGGGTTGCTGCCCTGTTTGCACAGTTTGCAGGTAAGGCTGGGTCCCATGCAGGACGGGCTGCAGGCCAGAGCACCCAGCCCTCCCACACGGTGGAGAGGTGGGGCCGCTGTTGGCCATGGGGGTCAACTGTCCGCTGACGCCAGCAGTGTCCACAGTCTGAGGGTCACAAGATCACACACTCTGCCAGTCCCCTTCACGTGCCATGTCCTCCTCATCGTGGCAGGTGTGGTGGCAGCACCCTCGCCTCTTTGGAGGAAAGAGTGGTCAGTTTCTTGTCAACGTACTTATGTGGGACCTCACTGCTGAGGGACTTACTCATGCAGTACTGCAGACAACCCAGTGCGTGTCCGTGGGGGCGGATGAGCCACTAGCGACCTGTCCAGGAATGCTGTGATGAAGGGAAGCCAGCTGCCTGCGCAGGAGAGGGAGGAGCAGGAGAGTGGAGGCGGTGGGATGGATGGAAGTAAAGGCACCTGCTGGCCGCTGAGGACGTGAGGTAGAGCCCAGCCCTTCTCTAGTCCATGCCCACTTCTCCGACTCTTCTCACTGGCTGTGCTAGGTGGTGGACGGAGCTCCCCGAGGCTGTGAGATCTGCTAGGAGCTGCAGGGCCGAGTGTGGAGAGTAGAGTCAGGGTTGCGTTGGGGTGGGCAGGTCCCTTGTTCCCAGCTGCTCCAATGACTGTGCTGGCTCCTGGATCATCCCAGGCAGGTGCGGGGCCTCCCAGACCTGCTGCAATCACTCCCTTTGGGCAAACATTAACATTTGAAACCCTTGTGACATAGCAGATCTCCAAGTCCAGTTCCTGGGCATTGCCCCTCTCTGGGAGGCCCACTGACCGTCTGGGGGTGCACTCCCCAGCTGGGGGGAGACTTCCTGTGTCCTGCTCTCACGCTGGGCCCCATGTGCTGGTCACAAAGCCAGCAGCTGCCTGTTCACTCAGACCCCTGCAGCCGCCGTCCGGGGTCCTAGGTCTGGCAGGTTCTGCAGGTGACCCTCATGTGGGAGGCAGTGTAGGGAGCCAGGGCCCAGCATAGCAGGGGCTGCTGGCCCGCTCTGTGCCTGTGGAGTGGACGCTTGTCATTCACGGAAAGGTCATCACGTCAGCCTGTGCTGGGGGAGGAAGGGTCCTTCACCTGGTCGGCTTCTCCCAAACCACCCCCTCCACCATTCAGCACTCGGCGTCTCCAAGGAGACAGCCCCAGTGGCCTTCGCCAAGTACAATGTGTTTGGGTTTTTTGTTTATTTGTTTAAGATTTGTTTGTTTTGGGGCCTGGCATGGTAGCCTAGCATCTAAAGTCTTCACCTTGAACACGCTGGGATCTCATTGGGCACCAGTTCTAATCCTGGCAGTCCTATTTCCCATCCAGCTCCCTGCTTGTGGCCTGGGAAAGCAATGG